TTACTTGAGGGGACTAATTAAAGCCCTGAGGCAGAGCCACAGCACAGCTGTGAAACCACTCCCCCTCACATTCTACTGAATGCTTAACAAATCACTTTACTAAGCTTATGTCGCTGCGTTCACCTGATTTTAAATTAAACCTTCAGCGACTGCTGTTTCCGCAGCTCTTGATGAAAGTTGTGTGATCCAGACTCAATAACCCCTTTCCATGTGCCACGGCCTCCTCTGTTTACCAACAGAGCCGCCAACCAGGAAAATCAAAGTCCTCTTTGCTTTCACTTGTGCAGGAAGCTGGAGCAAAGCAGAATGCCAAGCAGCACAGAGAAGCACAGCTGCTGGGCCATGTGCAAAAAAAAAAAAGGGCTCTAGATAACATATTTTGCTGGGCTAGCTTCTAATTCTTGTTTTGGGCAGCAGCATTAATGGAAGCTTTAAATATATAATTTTTTATAAATTAAATGCTTTCTGCTCTTGGTGACGTTCAGGGAAAAGAATGGATACAAAGGCTGTCAGCTTTCTTGCAGGAGGTTAATCAATGAAAACCTTGTAAAGGATTTCTGAGACAGTTTTGTTTTACTTCTCACTAGCAAACTAGTCTCACTTCCTAGCTGGAGTCTCATTTCTTTAAAAAAAAAAAAAAAATCAGATTCAAAACTATACCTACAGAGATCCATATTCACATTGACCACCTCCTCAGTCTGGTGTAGAAATGTTATATTCACATAAAAATGGAAAGCAAAACATGCCACATTTGGTTATTTAGGTTTCTGTTATGTCCCACAGAGTTGTAAGTAAATATTTTCCTAATTGTTTAGCTTAATTAACTATGTTGTATTTGAAACCTTTAATTCCAGTAAGTAGATCAGAAATGTTGCCTTAAAATAAAAAGTCAAACTGTTGAAGCATGAATCATGGAGCCAGCCGCTGTCCTTGCTGTTTTCCTCCTCAGGTCACAGATACCTATTCTTCCAGATGCTGGAAAGAAAAAAAATAGGTAGTTTAACAGTTTCCTGTTTTCAAGGGTTGCCAGCAATGTTAAATTGCAGTCATATCCAACAGAATAAGAGGGTTTATTTCTTTTGGTACTTTTACCTTTTGTTTTGTAATCAGCTTTTTCCTTTTATTTATCAAGCTAAATAAACAGTTGAAAGATTTGTTTACGATGTGTTTTTTTATTATTATTATTTTGATGTTTGGTTTTGTTATTCATCTTCTATTTTCTCTTTATTGTTTGTAAAAGAAGTGAGAGTAAAATTTGATTGGTTGAGTGGTAGCAGCTGTATTGGTGTGGCGCATTATTTGTTAGATCTGACACTGGTTGTTAATTCAGTTATGACCCCTGTGTGTCTACATATTATCTATATATAAATAGATCGAGTGCTGATCTCATAGCCTGCAGCCATGTTGTTTGTACCTTTAACAATTATATTTAATTAATCATTATATTTTATAGTAACAATAAATGAATAGATACTGTGTTTATACTGGTTCTATCCAGCTTACATCCAAAATCAAATCCATGTCCTATATTTTGTTAATGCAATGTTTATGCTTGACTCAGTAGCCAAGTCACAAGTGAGGTTCCAGATGCTGAAATCTCTCCAATCTTCTTTTTCTAGATGACAGATATCCCATCCTAAACACAATTTCTGCTGTAATATGCTGACCCAGCACATTTGGTTAATGAAGCTTCTTTAATTTCAATGAAAATTGCCAAAGCCTTGTTTGTTTTTAATCCTATATCTGACTCAACACATAAAAGTGCAGGCTTTTCTGTGTGTACAACTTTTTTCTTTACAGCAGTTAGCTTCACTGCTAAAGTGTTAGCGTATTTAATGCCTATTATGATATGACTTTTTCGCTGAATGGGTCTGTTCTCTACGGTTTTGAATTAGGGTGCACCAACCAAACAAGTTATTTTCATGCTTTATTGCTGTGTTCACAACTAAAGCGATTTCAGCGGCAAAAAAGCTTCTGCTGCTTTATTTGTGATGCTTGTACAAACTTCAAGGTCGGACGCGCCTCAAGACCATCTTTAATGCTCCTGAAGCGCGTCCAGTAAAGCGTGTACAGATGCGTCTAATGCTTCTGCTCCTCCTGTGTTCAGTAGCAGAGAGCGGCTCTCCTATATTAGCTGTGATCAGTGGGTAAAAAGTATTTTTATAGATTTTTTAGCAAGAAAGTTCACTTCAAAACATTGTAGGTGCAGTCAATTCATCAAGATTATGATCCTCCCTTAAAATGTAATTTTGCTGTCGGAACGGTGTAGACCCCCGCATACCGGGGGTGCTCTGTCACTGGGATTACCCAGCAGCAGCTGCCTCAGGCCGGGTCGCCTTTTGGGGGGTTTTCCCCTACTATTAGTGGCAGCTGGGAGTAGATGTTAGCGTTTTTCAGGTATGTGGTAAAAACTGCAAGCACCAGAATGATAACGAACATATTTTGCCAGCAGATTTTGACATTTTAAATTAATTCAAGCATTAATAAAAAGTTTCAGGTGGGTGATCATCTGTATCAGCATTGCTGTGTCTGTCTCCCTGCCCGCTCCCATATCAGCTTCTCTGATTGGTTGATGTGATGTGTCAAGCAGAAATGGTTTTCCAACTCCAGCTGCTGCTTGTGAAGCGTGTCATGCACCGCAAAAGCTCACTAGGTGCTTCTCTAGCTGCTCCGATGTGTCAAGATGCGCAGATTCTGCTGCTCGATACACGCTGGGTGAACCATTGATGCGCCTTGATGCACGTTAACCATAGTCTTTGCATGTAAACCGGCTGCTTCTGCTGCTCAAAGTGCATACGGTGTGAACGTAGCATTAACCTGATGGACATTCAAGGTTCAAAGTGGGTGGCCGGTGCAAACATTTCTTGCATGCATTCCTTTATAATGTGCAGCTTTTAAATTAATGGGTGAAATGAATGTGTGGAGAACATGCAAACGAAATAGTTAGCCTTCACAAAGCCTGAAAGTGATTGCAAACAGAGTTTTTGTGTCTATTTTTACCACATTTTACAGTTGAATGCTTTTACACTCATGGATTTTATAGATCACCTGCAACACAGCAGGTGTATTTACTTTCTAATTTTTACTACTGTGTCCACACAATTTAGTGTTTCTTACTTGGACTCTTTACAGATCAGATCCTTAGTCCTGTTACATAATTCAACGCTGCTCAAGTTGATTTAATTGTCTGCAGAGCAGAGAAAGTTTAAGAGGTAAAAAAAATCTAGTCATGATTGACTAGTGAGGCTGTTCTTTGTCCAAGTCACCGTTACAGTCTCTCTTTCACCATTAGCATCACTGTGGTGTAAAACCCAGAGTATTTTGATCAACCACATATTGTGCAAAGCTTCTAATACAGCTTTGGAGGCCAATTAAATAAGTAGCCTTTAATATATATTTTTTGACATTTATGTTTTTTTTGTTATGTTTTTATTCTTATATGAACACTCCCTCTGTTTGTTGACCTAGAGTGGTGTCCTATAGCCAATTTTTAAAAATGCAAAAGAATTAAAAACCTTACAAGTATTTACCAGCACACACTATAGTTCAGTTAATATAAACTGAAACTACTTAAGAAGCTTGGAAAAATTCCCCTGTTTGTCCCACGACATGTTTTTGATGTTATATTTAGAAAAAAAGCATGAAGTAGGCCCAATTCTTTGTTGTTGCTGTGGGAAGTTTTTACAGAGACCTACCTCCTTTGCTGCTAGCTGCTTGCAAACCAGAAGAGGAAGGGGTTTGACTAGGAGGCCGAGTATAAAGGAAATGAGCTTCACTTAAAGTGACATGTAATTTCCTGGCTGCTTGCTTGACGTTAGCAGACGAGAGGCGATTGAGTTAGACGCCTGCGTTAGGTTGAGAAGTGATGTGCAGCTACAAAGCTGCCTGCTGTTGTCCACTCTAAAGGTTTCACCAGAGACTGGGTTCGCAGGAACCTGGCACCCTGCTCAGACTTAAACAATGAGAGATGGACTGGCACCCAAATCAATGCCAGTTGGTAAGGCTGATTTTAAACTAATGCAGCAATTGAGAATTTAATAGAGAGTGATGTGTCTGACTTATAGTATGACTTATATTAGTTGTTTTCCTGTAGCTCAGTATTTCTAGCCAAAGGTATATACTGTATATGTCTTATTTGCTTGCCATATTAGTGGAAATGCTAGACAAATTGTTGCACTTCGGATTGAGTTCCACATTTTATTTATAAACTGTGAGTAAGTACGTGTGAAACAACTCATCATCCTTCTGATAGCCTGCTTTTAATAGGTGTCCCAGTCTCAAATCAGCAACAATGGTAGCTGTTATACTCATCCAATGGACAGGTTTAGGTTGCTCTGTTTCAGCAGCTGTTGTTGAGTAATTTCACTTTGAAAAGCAGAGTTATTACGAATCATTAATCTTCACATCAGTCTAATATGGAGGTCTTTTTAACAAATGAATGCCGAGGGTCGTGCAGTTTGTTTGTTGAACTGTGTTGTTAGTTTCTGATGTGAAATAGAAGCTGTTGTAATAAAGGAAGAGTGGCAGGATATGTTGCACTGCAGAGACTGATTGAAGACACGATAACAAGCGTCAATAAACATCCTTGACTCACATGACTTTCAAAGGACCCAGCAACATAGGAGTCATCTCTACCAGACAATGACTTTGTCTACCTTGGGGGAAAAAAAAAAAGTTTTTGATAGAGACTTTGCAGCTTTATTCTGACTTATGGGAGACGTGGACATTGAAATATTGGAAGGATTTTGCTTGTCTTTTGAAAAAAAAGATTGGCTCATGTGTTCCTGTGTTGCATTTCTTTGCAACATCCTGTTTCAAAACAGGTCAAAACATTCAGTCCCCGCTATCATTTCAGCCGCAGGTTATCAAACATTTAATGCTCAGTCTAGTCACTTACAGTCGCATATCTCAGACGTGATTTTTGTCTCTGAATTTGTTTTGAACTAATTCTCAGAATGTGCCAGGGGTCATACTTTGTTCTCTTTTTTAATGTCCTACAGAAAGATTTAAGCTACTTACAGCAGTGGCTTGAGGCATTTGTGGCATCCTTTGAGCGGCTCATCGATGTGCAATCTCTGGAGCCCCGGAGGTGGGTAGTAACAGTTGTAGATCTTAACACACTAAACATTCGCTGATTTGCATTCCTCCGAGGCAGGTCTATTGACATGTTTATGAAGCACAGTGTCGTCCCAGTGCACATTGCACCTTACGTTATCCCCCTCCTTTCTTCCAGGCTGGAGGAAAGCAGCTCAGAAGTGCCCCTGCTCCCCAGGGAGGTCCTGGTGTTCCTCAGCACCCAACTATGGCACAGCGCGCTCCACCTCTCCAGCACCACTGAGCACAACGGGAGCACTCCTCACCCGCTGCTCCTCATTAAGTTCTTTATCATTGTCTGCAGGTGAGATCTCTTAGCCTTCACTGCTGCATCATCTTAGATTTGCTTGAAAGCTTTTGTAATTGAAGTGACCAAAATTAAGCACGTCTTTAGATGTAATTGCTTAGGACTTTGATGTTTGGCTTCAATTGTGGTATTTTTGTTTACTTTTTAAAAGTTTTGTACTCGTTGTCTTCTGAGCCTCAGCACTTCGCTCTCAGGCGACGCCTCCTCCAGCTCTGCTGTGGGAAGCCAGAGGCACTCCCAGGCCAACTGAGAGACATAGTCCCTACAGTGTGTCTGGGGTTTTGTTTTACTTCTAAAAAGAAAAAGCGAGACACGCCTTATTAAAAGTAAAACAAAGAACTGACCACTCTAATTTATACAGGGTCATTATACACATCAACGTGAAGATATACTTACAGCCCATATTTATTGTGCAGCCAGGATTATACTCCACAGTTGCTACTGTTCAGTAAATAGAGTTAGGATCAGATCTTTAAGAATAGGCCAATCTGAAGTGCTTTTAAGATAAAGTAGTGGATTCAATATCTCCACATCCTGAACTTTTAAGGTGCGTTCGAATGCGATTTTCCTGCTCAGATTTACATGTTATCCTTATGTAGAGGGTGGCTCAGGAGCACCTGTGAAATGCAGGAGTTGGAAAAACTAAGCTTTTGTGTATTTTTTGCTTTGAGATAACCAATCAGGGACTAGATTTCTGTGATGTGTGGCTAAGGAGTACAGCGGAGATGAGCTTTTTTCAATCAAACTGGAAGATGGAGAAATAATGTTAAGAAAGGATGAAGCAGGGAATGTTCTTAAGAGGTTTGTTGTTGGCTTTTAAGAAATCCAGTTTAATGTCAACCCAAGAAGGGCTTTTAAATCATTTATTATTGGTCGTCCTCCCTTAGCTCCAGCACAGATACCTGCTGCCACCTCTCGCCGCTTTGGTGGTCTCTCTACCCAGCTGACTTGTTTGATTTAACTTGTATCCAGCTGTACATCCTTAGCTTCAGAGGAGGCACAGCTGGCCGCCTTGTCCTGGCTATAGTGCTCTCCCTGCTCGAGTTCTGGCTTTGATTTCAAGCTATTCCTGTCTGAAATCCGTTTGAATTTACCTTAAGCTCCACAAAAGATGGCCGCGATCCAGGCATAGCTTCTGGACTTCTGATCTGGGAGCATTTCTATTGGATCAATTGAACCCAGAAATACTGGAGGCTTAGTTTGGCTTTCCAAAGTAAATAAAGCACCACTACTCTGTGCTTTATTGAGCAGCTGCGTCAAATCCAGCGTTGCTTTATTGAGATGAAACTGATAACAAGCAGAGTCAATGAGGCAGTCGAGCCTTTCCAGAACTGCTGTCAATCCCAAGGTGAATTTCTGGCAAAATGGCATGCAAACAACATTTTTTTGGTTTTTGTTATGAAGATTTAGTGTTATGTGTGTAGCAGCATTATTGTAGTCAGGGCTCACATAGAGCCGTCCAACACAAAATAAAAAGGTTAACAGTGGCCATAACCATCAGAATCAGAAAAAAAAATTGGAATTTGCTTTAGTGATAAGATGCCACACCTAGACAAACAAACTGTCGATATGAATTTGGAAATATATGAGTAAAAACAGAAAGCCTTATAGGGATTTGCAGAAGTAAATGATTTTAAAAAATCACACATTGTGATTTTTATTGAATTTTGTCTCTCACAGTGGACATGTATCTAAGATGAAAATGTCAGACCCTTCCATGATTTGTAAGTGGGAGACTTTCCAAATAAGCAGGGTGTTTAAATACTTATTTTCTTCTCTTTGTTTAAATAGCCAGTTTTTTACATTCGTAGTTTTGTGTCGAACAGTATCAAAACTACAACACTGTGGTTCCGTTTGCATTTCAAAACATTCCCAGACTTTTTTGGTACTTAAAGAGGGTATTCAATCAAACTCCTCCTCCCTATTTTATTTCGTTTTTGCAAATAAGTAAAAGACAATGGGATTTAGAGGGAGCTTTTCATTTTAGTGCAATAAAAAGCTAAATAACCTCTTTGTTTAGAGCTTGACTAATGATTGTTTCTTGTACATTATATATATTTTTTTATAGCTCCGTTTATGATTGTTTAGTCATTATCATAAATGCATGTCTTTTTGTTTTCCTCTAGAAATCTTGAGAACATCGATCCCGAAAAGACTCCCAGCTTTGTTTTTGAAACAATCAAGCTTTTAAATTTCTGTTTGGACCAGGTAAGCTCCTTGTTTGTTAGTTTTATAATTGGCCTTGCATGCAGGCTTGCTGGTTATATTGAGCATGCAAACCCCAGAAAAGTCAAAGCAAAGAGAGAATAAAGTCTCACCCGAGTTGATCATAGGTGTTCTGTGACAGATCTGGCTCAGAGTGAGAGACAAGTGGGTGTGTGGTTGACCTTCTATTCAAAGGACTGGAATTGTTGCCTTTACAACAGGTCTATCTGTGAAATGCGGTTGAATGGAAAATGAATGCCTGTGCCCAAACCTTTTATTTGCACAGCTCAAGAAGGGAGAAGGGGAGAAGTCATCCTTGGAGTCGGTTGTGCAGTATGGACTAGTACTCTGTGAGAGTCTTTTTGACCCTTATCAGACGTGGAGGAGGCGTCTGGCAGGGTGAGTTAGCTGCCTTACCCTTTAGAATGTATGAACATGGGGAAGGTGGGACTCCCTTACACAAAAACTCCAAAAGATTATCACGTGAACATAATGGCTTGCCCAACCTTCTGCAATGTGTAACACCTCAACTTGTTGCTCCCTACGCCTTGAAGACAAACCAAGCTCTGTACGATCAGCATTAGCGAAAATCACAAGTTGATTATTAGGCGTGATATGAGGGTGATGACTCAAGGCTTTGTGTTTTGCAGGGAGGAGGTGAGCTTGCTGGAAAGAAACAAGTATAAGTTCTCGCCGTTGGCCTTGCCAGAGGAGCTGCCTGCTCTGTTCCATGGTGAGACACTCCCTCTCTGCCGTTCTGCTCTATCTCAGGCATTCGTATCACATCATTCTCTATGTATATAACAATATTAAGCCTATTCCTGTCCGGTCTAAACTATTATTGCTCTGGTATGATTAGAACTCAATTACTAGATTTTTCATTACATATTTCTATTTGATCAGCGGGTGCTGATCTATAAGCCATGTGGGAAAGCTCATTCTTGGCCAGTTTAAGTATACGCAAATCTTTAAGAGGATTATGCTGTAATTACAAAGTTTGATTGCAAATGTTAAGGACCACTTGTGTAACGTTTTGAGAAGTTGTTCTTTTTTTTTTTTTTTTTAGAAAAAAGCCGAAGCAGGGAACATTTATCAGAGAAACTTTAAAGAACATACTAGCATAGGCTAAGCAGGGTCCATTTCTCTGAGGATTTACTGATCGGAAGCTTCAAAAACAGATAATTTTCTGATTAGGGAATAAGTAAATCTAAACCACTAGCATAAAACTCCAATAGCTTTCTGTGGAATATTTTAAAGCAGAAGGGATCCAAGTTGACTAGTTTTAATAATCGTTTTACATACAGTATTTCATAAGCTGTTTAAAATCAAGTCAGGGCAAGCCCAAACATGATTTGCCATAGAGGTGCACCAATTATTTTAAAGAAACAATTTTTTAACTTGCATTTTGATGCAATACATGTGCATTTATTCAGCTTGTAAGAGAGTGTGAGAAAGCAGGAATTAAAGCAGATAACATCAAGTAATGTCACTCTGCTCATACTGATAGCTGCTTAGGAACCTTGAAGTTGGACTTGTTTCCATTTACTGCCACGTTTATTATACTAATAATTCATATAAGATGCTATAAGATGGTGAAGAAAAAAAGGGATACAACAAAGTGCTTATGACCCCACTGGGGTGAATCTTAATTTTTGTTTTGCAAATGAAGTCTGCAACAGTTTTGTTGAACAAATGTCATTAAGTATATCTATATTGTATGCATGCTGCATCTTTTGAAATGTTGACAATTCAGATGGAAGAGCTGATCTACATATCCTGACTGGCTACAGTATCATTTCAGTATATCTTTTTTTTTATCTGCCTAACAATGATTTTTAATTTTCATTTGTGTTTATTTATAATATATAAAATAAGCTAAGATTAATATATTGGCCCTTTACTAAATTCGTACCAAAGCTAACATAAACATTCTTTAGATGCTTGAGCCGCTTCTTTACATTGATCGAATATGGGACTGCAATGGCTTCCATTGTACAATCAGCAATCAGTGCCGCAGCGAAAGTACTTTCAGTTCATTAGCATATCTGGAAACTCTTTGTTCAAATCATTTCATCTAACTTCAAAAAGTATCATCTGAAAATGCCTTTAATGATTAAATAAAAAGTAAGTACCTCGTCTTTAAGTATGTAGTATTTCCTTAACTTTAAAGATGTGAGTTCCAGATTGCATTATCTACACTAACCTTTAATATGACAGTAAGATTCCTGGTGCTAGTATTTGTGGCTGTCCTCAAGTACATTGTCTTGCCTTCCTTCCTTTTCCAGAGAGTCTCCAGGACAGTGAAAACATCCCAGAATTCCTTACACTCAGACTGGTTCATCTCCAAGGTGCTGTCATCAGTGGAGGAAAGGTTTGTAAGCAAATCTGTCCTGGTTACTTTCCACTTAAAAATAATTAGTTTTGTATGGGGCGCAGAGTTAATCCAACAGACTTTTTGTTTGATTTTTTTCTAGAAAAATGGCCTCCTCTCCATCAGCCCTCAGTCTGTCGAGGACCTGTTCTCTGTTTTACGGGTGTGGTGCTGCCGGATCTCTGCTGAACCTAAAAGCACCAGGCTGCCGCGGTTGATTCTGCAGTGCCTGACGGCGATGATCCACCTCCTCCATTCCAGCAGCCCTGCCGAGCGGCAGGTGGAGATCAAGACCATACTAGAAAGCTACTTTCAACTGCTCAACTGGAACCGTCCACTCAGCAGCGACCAGGAAGACAGGCGGAGCTGGGAGGACAGCCTGATATTGCTTCAGAGCCAGATGCTAAGTAAGAACATAATCTCCACTAAAGATAAAAATCTGTGGTTGTACCAAGTACTGATGCATCAAAACACATTTAAACATCACCAAAATGCTAATTTATATTAGCGATCTGATTAAAAAACACAATGTGATTTTGGTTCAAATATTTCCATTTATTGATTTTGATGATTATAACCTAATCAACTATTAAAACTCCCTAAATTCAGTTGCTCATAAAAGTAGAATATTAAATAAAACAAAAGTCAAATGTCACTGGGAGGTCTACAGATTTGGCACCAATCCTTTCATTAACTAAGCAAAAAAAGTCATTGCTGTATGAGGTGGCGGTTAAAATGGTGAATTTTAGGATTTTAATGGAAAGCTGAGTGGAGGAAAAAATTATGCTAGGGAAGGATTACAAACCAAAAGCTTAAAGGATGGTGCATTCAAAAGAAACAGACTATTGCTGGAGTCAGGAGTTCAAGTACCAACACACACACACAGACATATTCTGGAAATGGACTACAGCTGTTGCATGTCTTTGGTTCGGGCGTGTTAACCATCCAGACTCATGCCATCTCTCACAATGTTGTAATTCTTTTCTTGTTTTTTTACATTGTTTACTTAGGGACACTTTTCATAGGGCCATGAGCCTATATTAAAATACAGTTGTTTTTTTCCGTTGGTTTAGGGTAAACTATTTGGAGAAGTAGGGTTTTGTGGTATTTATTTATTAGATCTAAACAATATTCCTAAACGTGTGCAGAATCATTTTATATACCTTTCACTTTGGGCTCAGTGTAGCTGTGTTTCTCCTAGACCAATCCATTAGAGGGGCTACTTTGGCATGTAACCTTTTAGTTTAACTCCTAGCTAGCCTTGGCAGACAAGTCCTTACTAGGGACACACATTATCTATTAAAGAATTCATCTAAAACTGATCGATCTTATTGATCAGCTAAGGATTCATTAATTAGTGGCCATTTTCTTTAAAACCTGAGTTTTCTCTTCTATCAAGAGCATCTTTACATTAACATTTTTGTTTCCAGAACTGCTTTCAATCCCCAGGTGAAAGTAGTACACCATTATATTCTAACTGTTAATTGTGAGAGCTTTTTTTAATTACAGTTGGAATAAACAAAGAAAATTGAAGATATAACAATATAGGAACATGTTAGGGTCACTGAGTAAAAAAATGTAAACTGCACAGAGATGTAAAATTGCCCTTAAAAAACATAGAACATAGCTATTACCACTTCCTTTCAATAATGTGCACGGTAACTGTAAAGTAGCTCTCTGCTTTTAGCGTAATGCGGCAATCAGTGCTGGGAGACACTTTGCTCTGTTAGCAGCACCTTTAAGCTGGTAGCTTGGTTGCTCTCAGAGGAATGTAAAACGCACGGCACACGGCAGCCTTTCCCATCAACCGTGTTTATTGCTAGTCTTTTCTATCACTTTACAAACGTTTTGCGTACTGTCCCCCACTTTTCCGTCATCACATCTTCGAGAAAAGCAACAGTGCCACTTCATGCTGAATGGCTAAATGGGCGCTATTTAGGTGATAACTTAATACATTTATCGAGTGTTCATATTTCCAAATGGAACCGCATTAAGTGCATTCTGAATCCTTCCGCCATTAAACAGTATAAATAATCCCGGATCAGATTGTGGATTGACTCATGCTATAGCATGTCTTAGTCACTTAATAAATGGCACTGCCTACTAGGGGACGGTGCAGGCGCTACATTACAACACTGAAAAAAAAATCCCTTCAAAGTGGACTATATCGATGAATAAATTGATGATAGAACCCAGTTTAATCGAATTAAGCATTATTCAACAATTCATTGTAAGTCCATTATTTGTTTACATCCCTAGTTCTTAGACTAAGCTTTGTTCTGTTGGAAGCTTTTCCTTTCCACTGTCGCCACATGCATTCTCAGTATGAGAAACCTCACTTAATTTATAACTGGGGATCAAATAGAAATGAATGGGACTAATTTTGATTATGATTGCGTTGCATTGACCATACAGTGTATTTCTGTATAATGTTGGATCTAGGGCTGAAACATTTAATCAGATTAATCGCGATTAATCGATTAATGAAATATTCACCAACTAATTTAATAATCGATTCATCGTTAACTGGAGTATAGAGACTGTAAAACATGTTTTTAGCTGACAGAGAAACCCACTCAGAGCAGTAATTATATCAAAATTGTAAAAAAAATATGTAAACATTTTGCATTTCAGATTTAAAAAATAATTTTCGGCTCTCAATATGCTCTATCCAGAACTCCTCAAGTGGAAAAGTTTTAGTTTCCCCTGGTTTTATTTCGTAAACAATATTCTTTAAGGAACGTTTTTTTATCCAATTATTAATCAATTAATTAAAAAAGTAATCGACAGATTAATCTATTTGCAAAATGAGTTTTAGTTGCAGCCTTAGTTGGATATGTTTAATTGCTTTGAGGTGGCATCTGCTGTGAATCAGCTTATATATGTAGACTTGTTTTAAATAAACACTGTTATAAATATGTGAATTTTCTCTCTTATGTTGCTTAAATGTCACTTTTATTTTTTAATGATTTGTTGGTGTACACCGGTATCTGTGCAAAAGGCAAACTAATTTTTTTTAATGATTTTTTTTTCTTAGCTGCTGTTCCTGAGATCCTGCAGTGTGCTGACAGACCTGTCCTACAAGCCATCTTCCTCAACAACAACTGCTTTGAGCACATCCTCAGGCTGATCCAGAACAGCAAGGTTAGACTCTTGGCCATCAAACATCTGTCTTTATTTTTAAATCAGCCTGCCCACCTGTGTCATTCTCTCACTGTTCTTATTATATCATCCCCCACTTCCTCTTTCAGCGGCACTGCTGCTTTTAAATTACTGTCTGTACTTTTTAAATTGTCACAATCATACATGCATTTTCCTGCCTGGCAAGTCTGCAGCCTCTCTCGGCTGATTTTGTTATTGGGTCTAATGGTCTGACTCTTGTATGTTTGCTGCGTGCTTGTTTTTTTTTTTGCGTTCTGAAGCTCTTTCAGAGCAGCAGGTGTAGGCCGGAGAGTGAGGTTGTGTGTGACCTCGCCACACATTTACTCACAGATGTCAAAGTGGACCAGGTACTCCCCGCTTCCCTTGTGTGCTTGGTGTTGTTCTTGATCTTGTCAGCAGGAAACTCAGCCCTCTCTGTGTTCTATTTAAACAGGAAGTTAAAGGCAGGAAGTCAGGCTTTTACTAATTTGTAAATAAAACAGGTATTGCTGGATATGATAACCGCCATCTGGTTATCTGCCTTGCTTTAACTAACTTGAGTTCAATTTATTGATGTAAATCTCTAAAGTTATTGGCTGAATTCCCTGCTGGCAAAATGGACTGAGTAGGACTTTTGGTGCTCCTCTTTGTGCATGAAATGGATGGTTTCTGTTTAGGTCTCTTTTACCTCCTGCTTTTCCATGGTACTGCTGCAGGTTGTGCAAAAACACCTGGCTTAGTGTTGACTAATATCCAGCAGTAGCTTAGGATTGCCTCCCTTCTTTTTCTCTTTTTTTGATGGTTAGCTTTGGATTTTTCTTTTTTTGCTTCTTATTGCATGCCGGGACCTGTATTAAACAAAGAGGTGATTGAATGGTGGTTGGTAGAAAAAAATTCTCCTGATTTTCTCTCGGCCTGCTTCAGCATCATGGTTTTCATCCTTTAAACAGCTAATCAGGCTGGAGAATGGTTTCGGTGAAAGATATTACTAAATTCACTTTTTGTGATCGTGTCATGTCGCCATTTTTTATACAGTGTCCTACAATGAGCTGGCTTTATTTTCATGTAGGTGTTGGAAAAAGGAGCAGACAGCATAACAGTCCATGCCTTGGGGGTCCTTACAGCTATAATGAGCAACTCCCAATCTGCTAAGGTACTGATATTGTTATCAAAATAATCCAAACGCATACTTTTAATGCACATTTTCATTCAAACTCTAATGAGATCAAAATGCTTTCTGTTCATGCACGATGGTTTTCCTTTCCTTCCAGTAATGGAAGTGTGCCAGATAATTGTCTCTGTCGAGCAGTTTTCCTCTAACCTATTTCTGTCTCTCGTGATCTCAGGAGGTTTTCAAGGAGAGGATTGGCTACTCCCAGCTGTTTGATGTACTGAAAAGTCAAGGTCAACCCACCAAGCGACTGCTGCAGGAGCTGATGAACATGGTGAAGCCTGAATTCTTTCAGCATAGAGTCACGACCTTTTGTCTCAATACTGATCCGAATAACTTAAGATAAGACACTCCCTGATATTGAGTCATAAATTGCTTCTTAGAAGTTTGTCTATGTCTAGGTTCTACACTAACCTAAATAAAACCAAATACATTTTTTTTCTAAACCCCAGTAGCTGTATATACGGTTAAAACTCACTCTTTTATTTACATTAGTATTGTGTTTGTATTCCACTATATTGACTCTTGGTGATGCAGAAGTTGTGCTTTTTTTTTTTTTTTTTTTGCAATTTTTCTGAAAAATTCTCCACATAAAAATAAGTTAGCTGAATTGCTGGGCTAAAATTTGCATGTCTCCTCTGCTTTGATATGGCTGCTTAAACGTTGTGTTGAATCAGATAATTGTGTTCTTTGAGAAAACGTGCAGAAAAAGCTCTTCTTTGTTCTTACAAACCCTAGAGCTTGAACTGCTGTGAAGTTTTTGTAAGATGACTTTGTAAAGACGCTGTTCTCCGCTTCAAGTTGGAATGCCTAACAATTTGCTAAAGTGCTATGTTAACATTAGTGTGCTTCTTCTCTGTTTATCATAGCCTTTTTAGTGTAGCTCAAGTTAATTGTGTGCCTTCAGATCTTACAAATCAGTTTGCCTGTGTAGTCCTAGACCATCATGGCAACCACAAAACAGGATTAAATTGGAAGGCAACTGGAGTTTTGACCAGTTTTTGAAGTTTTTTCAACACAACAACCCTAATTTGTAACTTGAATAGGTGTTGAAATGTCTTCAAAAAAAATCTGAGCGAAAAGTTAATCCCATTTCCAATTGAAGTCTGTTTCGTGGTTACAAATCAGCCGCTCTCCTGGGGAATTGCTGTGGATTTTATAATTTATTTTGAATAATAATTCAGCTGCCTCCTGTAGATCTCTGCCTCACATTTAGAGCTGTCTGTGCAGGTCTCTATCTTTTTATCTTGGGGAGATTGTTGCTCAGATGGAGAAGTGGTTGTCTTGAAAGCTAAATGTTTTGGATTGAATTCCAGCCATCTCCTGCCATATGTTGATGTGCCCCTGGTAGGGGACTCTGATTCCCTCATTTGGATTGGTTGTAGACATTTCTCTTTGGGCAAACTTGACTATTTCTTTTCTTTGATCGTCTTTCTTTTTGTCACCTCAGGCGGTGGAGGGCGAGCATGCCCACGCTCATCACCTTGGCATTAGCAACGACCAGCCCTTGCTGCTGCTTCTGCAGTGGCTGCCTGACCTGGCGGGTCAGAGGGACCTCCAGCTGCTAGTAGCCCAGTGGCTGGCAGCTGTGTCCGGAGGCTCCCGGTCGTGCCGCACTGTGGCTGTGGAAGCTGGGATGGTGGGGGCTTTGCTGCAGGTGCTCTCCCAGCCCCAAAGTCTGGACAGACAGTGTGCAGACGCCCTGCTTGGCCTCCTGCAGGATCTGGGTTCCTTGTGTCTCAGACCAGAGGAGATGAAGAGCCTACTAAGACTTCTCAGGACTGATCAGGACAATGCTGCAGTGGGAGGGAGGATGCACCCTTATTGCATCCGAATGATATGTGTGATTTCAGCCATGGCGGCCAGAGAGGGCCGGGATAGTGCGCTGCAATATTTTGATCTCACGCCCCCTATGGCAGGTATTATGGTCCCGACGGTCCAACGCTGGCCAGGCAGCGGGTTTGCATTTCATGCCTGGCTCTGCCTCAACATGGACTTCCCACCTTATCACACAGAGTTTTTTAATAACAACAAACATCCCGCCAACACTGACAAGGGACCTCAGTATGAAATGGGAAAGGGGCCACGCAGAAAGCAACTCTACAGGTAATGATGACAATGTTTAGAGGTCAAATTGGACCGCTTGTTTTTTTTATGGTTTTGACTAATTCTATTTTTTTCTGTAAAGTTTTTTCACAGCAAGTGGAACCGGCCTAGAAGCGTTTTTTACCATGGAGGGTGTCCTGGTAGTAGCTGTTTGCACTAAGAAAGACTACATGGCCGTTGCTGTTCCTGAATACCCACTAGTTGACTCATGTTGGGTGAGTAGCTTTTTTTTTTTTATTATGTTGTATATTAAATGTATATTAACCCATCCCTCTAAGGGGATGGGTTAATATACATTTATATATATATATATATATATATATATATATATATATATATATATATATATATATATATATATATATATATATATATATATATATATATATATATATATATATGGAATAACTTTTTTAATTTACTGCACCATTAATTTCATAATGTGGCAAAAGTTAATTTGACATGTATGACTTTTTTATTTTATCTTTATCCCAGCATTCGGTGGCTATAGTGCATATCCCAGGTCGTCGTCCTTTCGGACAGAACCTGGTAACAGTCTACATCGATGGAGAGCAACAGAAAACTGCACAGCTTCGTTTCCCATCTTTCAATGAGGTAAATCCATTTTAATTTTTTTTTTGACTTCAGACTGGATGTCTTTCATAGTCTAATTTTCTCTGTTTCACCTTATCTGATCCTAAAGCCGTTTATCTACTGCGGCATCGGCTCCGCAGGCCACCGCACCACTACCACCACCACGTCTCCAAACCTTCCCTCATCTTTCACCTCCTGCCCGTCACCAGAGTTTGCCTTCCCATCCCATGCTCCTTCCCTCCTTCGATCCCAGTCCTTCCCAGCATCCTTTGCAGGCGGCCGATGGGGGCCTACGGCGGACTCCCCGGTGCACACCATCTCAGCAGGACTGCAGGACACAGAGTGGGGATCGCCAACCTCTCTAGATGGGCTGCTGGGCACCGCCTTCATCTGCCATGAGGCTCTGCAGCCTGCCCAGGCTCGCGCTCTGCACGCTGCAGGTACGGCACACTCTTTTGCCCATTCAGCAGAAGGATTCAACACTTATATCAAGTTAAGTTTGCATGGCTTTTAAACTCTTCACATCCCCCTCTCCATCACAGGCCCTAATCACGTGCCCTTATTCAAAGCGGACGGAGAGTTATCTGAACTCAACAGCAAGCTGGTGCTGTACTACACTCCACAGGTAAATGAGGCTTATTAAAACACACACTGCATTATTACTCTGCCACCACCAGCTTCACTTCCTCATGTATTTTTTCCCTCATGGGGTTTTTAAGGCTTTCAAGAGTCAGATATGTCTGGATCTGGCACCTCATCACCAGCATGATGGTAGACTAACAGGACACAGAGTGGTCAGCTGGGACACCAAGGTTAGATGTCAGCCCTTTTTGATTAAAATCAGAGATTTTTCATTTTTTCCTGTTATTTGATATAAATAATGGTAATTGTTAAACCTTCAAATAGATGTATAGTTTGGTTTTTTAATTTGAAGCTCTACAGAATTCATGCTTTCATTTTTTTTTTCATTTTTTTGTTTTTGTGATTTTTTTCGTATTTTCTCTCTTTTTTTGCTACCTTCCTTTAGAAAGAGTTCATTCAAAGCTTTTAAAATGTATTTGTTCTATCATTACAGGATGTTTTGAATGTGGTAGGGGGAATGGGGGTTTTGTTGCCCCTGCTAGAGCAGGTGTGTGAGGCGGAGCAGGTGTGCAATGGTGGTCAGGAGACTTCAGACCTGCTGGGACCAGAGATCACCTCCTCTAGAGGCCCGGCCGCCATGCTGCTGCCTCTTAATAAATCTGCAGGTCAGTGTCTTCTCCGTTTTTAAACATTACATTATTTTTAGACATTATTTTGCCTCGAAACACTGCAATCTCTCAAACTGCTAAAACTAATCAGTTAGACAAGCAAGATATTAACCTTAGGGTTTGATGGAATTTATTTCATTTTTACATTCCCCTATTGCAGTGGTTCTCAAACTTTTTCTGTCATTCCCCACTTTGGACAAAGGGGAATTTTCAAGCCCCGCCTGTCCCCATCGCCCCAACACAATGCTAATGAAATATGAAACAATCTTAAAATGTTCCAATTTTATTGAAGTAACAAGTAGTATCTAAATACAAACTATCTACATCAAATAACAGCAAGCTCAAAAATAAAGAAAATAAAAATGCAGCTGTGTCAAAATTTGTATCAAGCTCAAAGATAGAAAAAATTAAAGTGCCACTCTGCAATCTGTTAATAAAAGAAAAGAAGTGAAATCCATCTGGCAAGACAGGTCTATTTATCCCTGCATTAGTGGCTGCAATGAGCCTGTTTTGCATTGCACAGTTTCTCAAAACGGGGATGCAGGCTTGATACTGCCACTCTCAAGTCATGCTTTGTTTTCAGTGAAGCAACAGCTGAAAAGCCCATCTCACAGAGATATGATGTGGCAAAGGGAAGAAGAATGCACACAGCTCTCTGCCCAATGAGTGGATACTCCCTCTCCACTCCAAACCAGAAACATGAACATGTGGCTGTGTGAATCAAACGCTGTTATTCATTTAAGATAAAAATTTAAAATTCAGTTATTTATGGTCAACCTGCGTCGTCAATCCCGGCGCATGTGCGCTTTATTTGCAGTCTGGACGCTGAGGGTAAACATGCTGTGTCCCTTACTGCAGCGCTGAGAGGGACTCCTGCAATAGCGGGGGAGAACGGGGTGGGGACGGAGGAGGCGCCCCACGGCAGCACCTGCCGCTGGAGGACAAGAAAAGGAACGATACGTGCTTTCCCGTAAGAGTCTCCAAAAGTCGCTAGATTTGTCGCTAGTCGCTTTTTTGAAAAAGAGTCGCTGGAGGGGTCTGAAATATAGCGACAAAGTCGCTGAGTTGGCAACACTGGGGCGAGAAAGTTTATTCCGTTACTAATAATATGCCGACGTCACGTCAATCATTATTTTGGCACTTCAGTTCCAGGTGAAATTTTTCTCATATCTAATGTTCTTTTAATTAGACTGCATGTAGGCTAGTAATAATTACTTTGTGGGTTTGATTGGTCTAAAAAGCGGCATCATACAGCTATAAGGACAGTTTGCTCTCACAAGTTCTACATTTATAGTCACACAACACACACACACACACCGGAACTTGGCGCGCCCCACCTGTCACGTCTCAATTCCCCACCAGTGGGTCGCGCCACACACTTTGAGAACCGCGGCCCTATTGTAAGTATTATCCTACATACGACCTCAATTATTTTCTCATGGATTATTTATTTCTCAGGATTCAGATCTCAGAATGTAAACACACAGTCCTAGTTTAATGTAACAAGTTGTAAAAAAGAAAAAAAAAAGAACTTTTTTGAACATTGACAGACTTCAAACTCCATTCTAGTTAGATATTTGAGCACTTCTCTTGTAACCTCTTTGCACAAAGCACTAAAAAGAATGATGCTACCACCACCATGCTAACCAGTTGATGCAACATCCTTAGATTTCAAAGGCTCTACAGTCATTGTACCTTAATAACCAATTGGAAAGTATTGTCTAATTTAGAAATAATTTTGTACTTGTGTGTTTAAGTAGTAAATTTTTCATGCTGCTGGCATGTATACAAGCAACAAATACTCTAAGCTGTGGCATCAGAAGCTACACCAAAGTTTTACAGGCAGATCCAAGATCTTTGGATTATCTAGTTTAGACTCAGATAATCAACATTGGTTTGTATGCTTCTCAATTGCTCCAATCCTGTGGAACAAAAGTGGTTCTAAAGTGTATATTGTACTGAGATTGGAGTTATAGTGGACGTTTTGTTGGCTTCTATGGGAATCATATTATCAGTGTTTATCTAGCCAGTGAGGTTTCAGGCTTACAATGACGAAGAAGAGGAAGGCCTCAGATGAAAAATTTGACTTTATTTGGGATATTCCTTCAAATTATGGAGGAAAAGCAGGTAGGATGGTTAACCAGAAAGTGACTTTGGCGTTTCTTTCCAAAAAATATCCACTATACCTTTAAATCAAAATAGACATTCCCTATTTTACTTAAACTAAAATTACATACTTACAGTTTTCATTTGCTTAATCCCTTAGTATAAAAAAATTAACATCTTTATAGACTGTAGCTTTTTAAACTTTCTCCAAAATAAAGAAAATGATATAGCAATTATATAGCAAATTATATAGCAATCTCAGTATTTAGACATTTACACTTAAATAATTGAACAAAGCCTTTGGATTATCTTCCCACCAATAGATCTGGTGTAACTATCTAGAGTAATTTGTCAATGTGCTGACACACATCTTTTTATCTCGTGGTTATAAATTTTGCTATTGGACTGAGACGAGGAGTTTCTAATGGTCCCTCCTATATATCAACTTTGTTGATCTCAAGCCATTTTGTACCTTTTTGGTGTGGAAGGATGATTGCCCCTTCAGAAGATGCATTTTGGTGAAAGCATTAGCTTTCTGGCTGATGTCTTGAGATGCTGCTACAATAATTCAGCTGTCACCATGATATTTTGCAAAGTGCACCAGTCCCTCCAACAGCAAAACAACCACTCAACATGAAGCTGCCACCAGGGAACTTTACAGCCAGGGAACTTTACAGTTCCCAACTTTACACACAGGAACTTTACAGCAGCCAATGATTTGGCTTTCAGGATTGCAAGCTTCTCCAATGGTTATTAAATTTAAAAAAAACTTACCTTTACATTTAATGACATCCAAGAAAATATTTCCTAAATTAAGGATTTTTTTCCCTGAATGCATTTGTACACTTTTACTCTAACCTTTTTATCATGTTTCTTCTCTCCTTGTGTGGCCTTTCAAGCAATGCCAATACAGAACTGTTTACATAGTGAATAATAACACCCTCCTACCAGTTTCATCCTGAATCTTCACAAGATCTGTTACTCATTATTACTATAGCAGATAAATGTGTCACCTTTAGGCATGTTCTTGACAAACCACACACTGTCTAAATGTTCATCCTTGATACACGGCTTTGTGTTTATCTAGTTCATTTTACTGCATCATTTTTAAGACTCTAACCTACTTTCATGGAAGGTTGAGCATTGTGAAATGAGTAGGCTTAAGTCTGCACACAACCACATGATGTAATGGCAAACAGGAAATGATTGACAAATATAGTTAATAGCTCAAAGCTAGGGTGTTGAATGAGGGGGAAAAAGTGAGGCGGCAATCTATGCTCATAAAGATTTTCAGCAAGTCAAAAACATCACAGAAATATAGCATATTATCAGTGAGGTAACTGGGATGTGATCTTTGTGAAGTGCCTTGTAAAGCAGAAATATTTCAGTGGCTTACACAGGAAATCTTAAACCCCATTTTGCCCTATTTTTTTTTTTATTTTTTCCTCAGAAGGCAGACTTGAAAGAAACAGCATTGCTGCCTTCCTGCTGATGGTGAAAAACCTGATTCGTCACCACCCTGTCAATCAGGAGAGTCTGCTGCAGTGCCATGGGCCCAGCATCATCGGTGCCATGCTCAGCAAAGTAGGTCCCACACATGACAATTATTTCCAGAAACTTAAAAACACAAAGGGCTGATTAGCATCTAAGAATCAAAATCTGACCTTTTCCACCTCACTGTTGCTGAATAATGGAATCTGGCATTGCTGAAACAGCAGCGCTGTGTCAGAATGACTGGAATGAATGTGTGGGACAAAACATACAGACATTATATTGTTTCAATGTGAATAATAACAAATGATGCAAACTAAGACAGGTGAGAAAAAAAGGCTTTTGTTGATAAAGCTGTTCACTCTAAGAATATAAGTCAAGGCAATTCAGCGTGCTGTATGCTGAGAGAATAAAATGGTTGAGAATAAAATTTTATTATCAACATTTTATTCTCTTAAATCTTAAAGTCGTAGGTAAGATATATTTAAAATGCAAATCATTCTGGCTTTAACATGTATATAAATGTACTCTTTATCAGACCATATTGTCCCAAAATTTTTAAAATTTCCATAAAAATAAAAAATCCTGTCTTAAAATCTGCAGGGTTTTTTTTTTCGTTATTTTATGCAGGCCAGTTAGTTATACGTCAGCTTGTACACCTAAATTGGGCCAATCATATATCAACGGTCATCTGTCAATCAAATGTTTTCGGTCATAGCATCTTGATTCATATGTCGCAGCTGATATACGCAACGGTTGAAATAAGAATAATTTACTTTACCATTGAGTTCCGTCCCAGTGTTCACGGGGATGGATGTCTGTTTCTTCAGCAGGCGTAGAGCTAACAGAACTGGCAGTGTTGCGAGGCAAGGGCTTAAACATGTACGGCTGTAAGCCTTCTACACCAAACGAAGCTTCTGCCGCCCTGGCGTACTCTTCCACAACAACTTTATATGACGGAGGAGACTCATCCATGACCTCCGACACAAAACTCTCCTCCTCTTGCATGTTTCTGCTGTCCACAGCATTCCTTGACAGTGTCGTTTCTAAGTCACCAATTTAGTGCTACTTGATCCCAATGTAATTTCCCATTGGGAACCTACTAGCACTAAGCTGCTAACTGGTTAGCAAGATGCTTCCGATAAACCGGCCAAAACCAAACTTGCCTGCCACAAAAATTCCCGCCCCCTTGATAAACAACCAATCACATTCACTTTATTCCCTCATGTAAAGTCGGGCACCACTTGGGAGAATTTGGAAATTCAAGAGTTGGAACAGCCGTTTTCCAACGACTTTAAAGGAATTTGCAAGAGGGACCTGGACAGAAAATCTAAGGACTAAAAGCTGTTTCTCTGTGTTTAGTTCTGGTTCTGGGTATGTAGAATCCAGAACCAGAAAGCCTAAGAGATCCGGAAGGTTGATCCACTGGCAATTAGTCTGTAATATATTTTGTTCCTAACCCATTTAATGATTTATAGACTAACACAAGTATTTAAAGTCTATTCTCTGACATATGGGAAGCCATTGGAAAGAGTGTAGAACTAAAGTTATGTGCTCTACTTTCTAAGTTTAGTGAGGATGTGGAAGGCAGCATTATGAATCACTTGTAGCTGTCTGATCGACTTTTAATTTGGCCGGGTTGATCTTGCAGAAATGTCAATCATAAACCAAGCTTTAGGGAGACCTGTGAAGACTGTTGCAGTTAATATTTCTACAGAAGATGAACGCATTAACTAGTTGTTCAAAGTCCTGCTGGGACATTAGTCCTTTAATCTTGGATATGTTCTCTAGCTGATAGAAGGCCGACTCTTACTGTCTTTATGTGCCTGTGGAGGTTTTAGGTCTGAGTCCATCATTATGCCTAGATTTCCAAACTGATTGGTGCTTTCTAGCTAACTTTTAAACTGTCTTCCTTTGGTCCAAGCATTATTACTTCGGGTTTGTTATGATTCAGCTGAAGACACTTTTGGCACATCCATGCTTTGATTTCTATGCATTGATGTCCCCTTTTACACTTTCATAATTGGACAAATCCTTTGGATTATCTTCCCACCATATTCTCCGAATAATTTGCTAGACTTTTGTCCCATTCCTCCCAATAGATGTGGTGTAACTGATTAGAGTAATTAGTCAACATGCTGCCTCACATCTTTTTATCTCTTGGTTATAAATTTTGCTATTGGACTGTATGTATTTATCCAGGACTTTGATGGGTTCATACACGGGATCCCAAGCAGACTTGACTGTAATGCTTTGTGTTTTTTTTTAATCTTTTTACATCTCTGCCGTTATTTATATAGAATTATGCCCCACTCCCCAAAAAAACAAGTCCAAAAACAAAACTGCAAATATCAGCTGAGCTTAGGCATGGTAAAAGCTTGTTTGCGATCAATCAAAGTGCAGGGTCAGACTTAAGTCCTTGTTTGGATTTGACTCATTAATGAGCACAGCTGATCCTAGAATTGGTGCAGCAGAGCTGTGGATACAGGCTGACAGGATATGTTGAAATCCATGTTGAGAAGTTGGATCATCTTGTATGGAAACTATTTTGTATCTTTAGAGGCATTAGTTGTTTCCATATTTGGCTGTGGAGAAGATTCACACAAACACTGACACTCAATCTTATGAACAAACGGTACAGTTTCAGTAAAGCTATTGGCATGAAAAGGTTCCTTTTGTAAATGTCTCCCATACTAACCTTGGGCAGGTAGATGATGCCTAGTGGTTTTTTTTGGAGGGTTGATGATTCCATGAATCTACTTTTTGCTGCAGCTTCTTGCTGATCTTTTTCTTTAAGGCTCCAGTTGCTTTAAACTATTTATGTATTGCTCAGACTGTGGATACAAGCCCATTTTAGTGATTTTTTTTTAAATGGCTTCTTCTCTTATATTCCTTTTAAGGATTAGCAATAGACTTTAGTCTTTTGAAGACAAACCAAGAATTGATAGATTACTAAATTCAGGTCAAAGAATAAAATTGTTTTATTTTAGCACTGATTCCACTGAATAAACACAAAAGATAAAGGTCATTTTTTTTCTTCTTTTACTGGTGGATTTAGCCATGCACAGATATGTAAGGGACTGTATTCTACTGTAACATTAAACCCTTTAAAAGTGTTAAATGAGGCCCCCTTTTGGTATGCTGCAGGTTCCAGGCACTATGATGGACATGAACGTTCTCTTGGCATGCCAGCTTCTCCTGGAGCAGGTTTTCAACGAGGGAAACAGCCAGCTCCTGCAGCAGCTCTACCAACATCTGTTATTTAACTTCCGCATCTGGACAAAAAGCCATTTTGCTGTTTGTTTAGGTAAGGCATCAGTAACCTCCCTACTGCTGACCAAATCATCTGTGAAGCTTGCATTGCATCTTAAAGCTGCCTACAGCTGGAGCAAAAGAGGATGATGGTGGATTTAGATCTCTTTAAACTCTGGAGGTGTTGGTTAGGATTTAGGGTGCATCCTTTAAATTACAGCTCTTTTTCAACACAACCTTACATCTTGATTTGACATTTCTAAATGTCAGCCGGAGGAGGGATGACTGTGTTTCTTTTTGTTTCCCACTCTGAAGCCCATGTGCAATATCTGTCATCTGTGATAAACAAGAGCAAGCAGCGTATGAAGAGAAAGTATGGGGTGCAATACATTCTGGACACTATTCGGACATACTACAGGTGAGCAGGGCACGATGAAGCACCAGCATAAAATGTTTAAATTCAGCTCATTATTCTCTCACCTTCATATATGAAACCTGATCCTAGAGTCTTACCCCTCATCTGTTTGGTTGCAGTGTGGAGCAGGATGGCAGCCCTCTCTCTGATGAGAAACAGACGATTCAGACGGCCCTCTTCTCGCTGCTGAAAGATTTCCTCAAGTCTCCGACACAAGAGGAGCTGCACAGCGTGCTCGCCTACATCCTGACAGTCGGAGAGGAGCAGCAGGTAATGCTGAAATGTTTTATTGCTGTTTTTCTTCCAGAAGTTTGATATTGCAATCTTTTGACCTTTTCATGTCCGCAATGTACTCCCAGTTAAACACTCATCCTGAGTCATCCATCTGAGTGCTCTTTCTTTGGCTCTCTACCTTATATTTTTGTTTCTTATCTTTTCCTTCGTACTCCTTTTTTGTTACTCAACTTCACTCCCCCTGTCTGTCAGGTGGTGAAGGCGCTGGATGTGCTGTATGAGCTCCTAAGGAGCAGCCCGCCTCGGGAGCAGGTGCAGACTGTGCTCCTGGAGTGGGGCGTGGAGCAGCTGTATAGCCTCCTGCTCACCCAGAGCTTTGGAGATGAGGCCAGAGAGAGGGTGTTCAGGGTAAGGACAACTGAAACCACCTCTTTTTATGACTTTTCATGAGCACCCATTCTGATTATAGGTGCATCTCGGGAGTGTTATTTAAAGGGTTTGTCTCAATTATTGGATTAAATAAGTAATAACTTTATACAGATTCATCACATACACAATGACATAGTATTTCAGATGATTTTTCTGTTAATTTTAATTATGTTGTTGCCCATCTTATAAAAAGCAGACATTTTCTCAAAAACTCAAATTCTCTGAAAACAACAACTACAAAAATAATACCAGTAAAATTAGTTTTTGTTTATGTTTACACAAGTATGAGGAAGACTGAGGAGCTGACCATCAAAAATAGAACTGTCCTTCAAAAAGTGCTGCATCCCAGAATGTTAATGGAAATTAAGTGGAAGAAGAAAGTGCAGGGTTTCCGCGGGTCATTAAAAATCATTAAAAGTCATTAAATTTGTTATTTTTTAAATAAAGGCCTTAAATAGCATTAAAATTCATTAAATGTGTTTATTGTGGCATTTAAAATGCTTTCTTTAAAAAAAAAAAATTATAAAAACAATTTCGTCAGACATATTATATCACGATATACACTATATTGCCAAAAGTATTTGCTCACCCATCCAAATTATTGGAATCAGGTGTTCCAATCACTTCCATGGCCACAGGTGTATAAATTCAAGCACCTAGGCATGCAGACTGTTTTTACAAACATTTGTGAAAGAATGGGTCGCTCTCAGGAGCTCAGTGAATTCCAGCGTGGAACTGTGATAGGATGCCACCTGTGCAACAAATCCAGTCGTGAAATTTCCTCGCTCCTAAATATTCCACGGTCAACTGTCAGCTGTATTATAAGAAAATGGAAGTGTTTGGGAACGACAGCAACTCAGCCACGAAGTGGTAGGCCACGTAAACTGACGGAGCGGGGTCAGCGGATGCTGAAGCGCATAGTGCGAAGAGGTCGCCAACTTTCTGCAGAGTCAATCACTACAGACCTCCAAACTTCATGTGGCCTTCAGATTAGCTCAAGAACAGTGCGCAGAGAGCTTCATGGAATGGGTTTCCATGGTCGAGCAGCTGCATCCAAGCCATACATCACCAAGTGCAATGCAAAGCGTCGGATGCGGTGGTGTAAAGCACGCCGCCACTGGACTCTAGAGCAGTGGAGACGCGTTCTCTGGAGTGACGAATCGCGCTTCTCCATCTGGCAATCTGATGGACGGGTCTGGGTTTGGCGGTTGCCAGGAGAACGGTACTTGTCTGACTGCATTGTGCCAAGTGTAAAGTTTGGTGGAGGGGGGATTATGGTGTGAGGTTGTTTTTCAGGAGCTGGGCTTGGCCCCTTAGTTCCAGTGAAAGGAACTCTGAATGCTTCAGCATACCAAGACATTTTGGACAATTCCATGCTCCCAACTTTGTGGGAACAGTTTGGAGCTGGCCCCTTCCTCATCCAACATGACTGTGCACCAGTGCACAAAGCAAGGTCCATAAAGACATGGATGACAGAGTCTGGTGTGGATGAACTTGACTGGCCTGCACAGAGTCCTGACCTCAACCCGATAGAACACCTTTGGGATGAATTAGAGCGGAGACTGAGAGCCAGGCCTTCTCGTCCAACATCAGTGTGCGACCTCACAAATGCGCTTCTGGAAGAATGGTCAAAAATTCCCATAAACACACTCCTAAACCTTGTGGACAGCCTTCCCAGAAGAGTTGAAGCTGTTCTAGCTGCAAAGGGTGGACCGACGTCATATTGAACCCTATGGATTAGGAACGGGATGTCACTTAAGCTCATATGTGAGTCAAGGCAGGTGAGCAAATACTTTTGGCAATATAGTGTATTTGCGTGGAACTGCTTCCGGTTGATCGCAAAGACGTATGTTCGGAAAAGAAGCTAGAGTCGGAGAAAAAGCTAGAGAATGGGGAAGAATGCCAATTTCAACAAAAGTGGTTGGAAAACGAGGAATTCGGGGCATGGCTGCAGCCTGTTGACGGGTACCTGTTGGTGGCATTAAAATTATTTCTAAGAGCATTAAAAGCATTAAATTAGAGTTATTCATTCCTGTATAAACCCTGAAAGTGTCACCACACATTGACATATTCAAGATGTTTGCTCTGCATATCAATTTATTTATTTTTCAGTTTTATCAACATATTTTATGTAGTTCTTAATTTGGGGTTTGCAATAGCAGCCATAATCACTGAAATCTCCAGAACAAAGGAAGAAAAACACATTATGCATGTTAAATCTAGGTGTTTAAACCCTTAAATAGAGCTGCCAGGATGTTGGATGTTATTGACGTGTGTTTAGATGTAACCAGGCATAAACTGATGCTTTTTTGTTCTTGCAGGTTTTGTACAAAATTCTGAAAAGTGAGAAAGTGTCGGAGCGTAACAAGCAACGAATCAAGCTAAAGGATTTTGGTTATCTCGGAATGGTTTGCTTTCTGGAAGATATTCCTGTGACCATGACAACCGTCCGCTGTTTGTACGAGCAGGTCCTCGCCACAGGTAATACATGAGATTTTTGGATGTATTCACTTCACGTTTTTCAGCAAAAGTGGTTTAAATTAGAAAGTTACAAAAGGACATAAAAAAAGGGGATAATTTAAGGTTGAGGTTCCTTTTTTTTGTGTTCTTTTTTGTACGATTAAGGTAAAGTTTAAACCAGCTTAGACTTGCTGATTTCTGTGGTCAGTCATTATAAATTTTGATAGCAGAAGGGAAGCCCCTGTAAGACAGAGTTTTAACTTTATATTGAAACAAAGATATTATGATTACACCTTTGAAATTATGCACTCTTTAGCTTTTCTTGTTAGAAATTAGCATGGCAATGCCTTCTAGGAATATTATACAAGCAGCAGAGAACAATCTTATTTTTTAACATTATGTCTATAATGTTCAACAGGCTGGCATGCTTCGTAATCCAGAATGAAAGTTCAAGAAAACAAAAATGGAGCTACTGTGCTGTCCGCTGCGCTCAGCCTCTGCAGCAAACATTTTTCACTTACCTTAGGAAATAGTTTACCTTTTAAATCATCTTATACATCTTTGTGCTTCTTTGACTTTATTTTAAACATCTGTCAAGTAAGCTACATCTAGCCTTGTTTTTTTTGTTCCTTCCTCTGTTTTTCCTCACAATGAACACTTCCACAGCACAGGGTGTTGTCCTGGTAGAGCTTAGTGTGCTGCCTTTATCGCTTGGAAAAAGATTGAGCATTCAATTTTCCAAACCGATGGTCACCAGCCATGGACTGATTTCCATCTGTATCCTAGCCAAAGTTGAACAGCTCATTATGCTGGTTTGTTGATGCTTAGAGCAAAAATGACCACGTCAACTCTGTTTAAGGAATTTGGACTAACATAATCAAATCAATCCTGTTCTGTACAAAAGAATAATACGTCAATTTGTAAGCAGCTAAATCTCCATGGACACGTAAGTGGTTTTGCTGAGTGTCAGAAAATACTGAATAGCCCAGCACAGTTGCAGAAAATTGGTAAAGGTCATTTTCCTCACTGTGTCATATCTCTAAGGGGTTTCTAACATTTTTTTTTACTCGTCTGCTGTATGGAGATTGAGTCATGTGTCTCCTTTAAATAGATTCCATTCATGCCTGGTATTTAGGTTAAATTCAGGTTGTAATCTGTCATATTTAATATTTAAATATGTAAATGTGATGTGAGGTTAAGTAAAATGTAAAGTAAATCCCTTTATTGTCCTACAATTGGGAAATTCACTCTCTGCATTTTGTCCGATCCCCTTGGGGAGCAGTGGGCTGCCATTGTGTGGCACCCAGGTAGCAGTGTGGGGTTGGGTTTTGCTCAGGAACCCAGAGTGGAGGCTGTGGGGATCAAACTGGGTATGTGCAACCTTTGCAGAGCACAAGCATGCTGCCTTAACTGCTAGGCCAACATTCCCCTATTATTTACATCTAAAGCAATAAAAGTTAGAATTTAACTTTGGTTAGATGTAGATCTGGCCATTTTCTGATTATTATTTCTCATCAATAATCTTAACAAACAGAAGAATTAAGCAGATAGGCAGTGATTATCCACATGGTTAAGAAATATTTCTTTTACAGAAACCAAATTGAATCTAATTGTCTTGAAGGGACAAAAGATGTTACAAAGCAGGTTGTATAATTTTTTAATGGGGCTAAATGATGCAGAGTCAGAAACAAGACATAGATTTGTCACTAACCGCCATTGATCAGACTGTATTAATATTTAATTATATTTGTGAAATAATTGAAAAAGTACATCTAAGCCTTTAACTTTTAAACCATCAGAAATGGATTAATGTCACTTTTTTTTATATAAAACCACATTAATAAAATGTGAAATAATGATCTGAATTTATTTCCCAGTTTGATTGATTTGTTAAGGTTTTGTTTCCATCATCCCCCGTCTAAAAGGATATGAACCCTGTTTAGTATTTTTTACTTATGAAAAGTCAATCTGTTAAAACAATATTAACACCTACTGAAAGATTTAAGTGACCATAATCACTCATTAGCATCACTGTAAGAAGTTTTTTTTTTTTTTTTTTTTTTTTTTTTTTTTTTAAGATTTCACACCTCTAGGTAGAAATGGTTTGGGAAGAATGAGGTAAAACGGTCTTTTGATTGTAAAGGTTTGCCTCTAGAGCCCTGGTTTAAGAACAACTAACCCACTGACCTGAGCCCGCCTGGTTAAAGTCCAGATCTTTACCGGTAACGTTATTAAATTGTCAGATGTGAGGATTTTAGAGAAACTCAACCACAACAGATTCTAACTAAGTAGAAGTTCCATCAGCCTTACTAGAGGAACTTCTCATATATAAAACAGCATTTACTATACATAGAGGTCCAAGCAAGTCTTGAAAGCAGAAATTCCATCACTTATTATAACCAGGGGCCAAAGATTAGTAGTTCTGCAAATAAATCTTTATCTAGTGTAAGAGTGTTGCGTGTTTAAAACATTCTTGCACAACTATGATTGAATACATTTCCATTACTTTGAGCTTTTTGCTCAAACCTTTTTAACTTTGCTGAACTGTTAAAGTATCTTAAATCATACACTAATGAAAAAGCTTTTTCTAACAATGCATTTTTTCCCCTGCTAATTTAAATTAAAGCAAATAATTACGTCCTGTAAGGAAATAATTTATAAACAAAGAAATATTGCTTTTTTTTTTCCTACAGATGCCAGTCCTAATTTTAGAGACCTCCTTGCTGTGGTCTGTCTGTCCCATCGGGCTGAACTAACCGTCCGATTGGACGTTTGCCGCAAGGTCTGTTCCCTCGCACCTTAATATGCATGTGGCCTTTTATCATATGCAAATCTGTTTCCAACAAATCCATCTTAATTTTCTGTTTCTTTAAATCCTCTCCAGCTCTTTCATCTGATCTACTCCAACGAGGATTATGTGAAGCAACTCGCCAAACAGCCCGGCTGGCAGGACGTTCTGACCAAACTCTATGTGAAGGAGTCCTACGAAGCTCATGTTGGGAGCATCACAGATTCTGATAACCACAGCGGCTTTGCACCCAGCTTTCGGCCCCCACTGCGCAGAGACCAGTCCGTGGTGGAGGACTCCCGCACCGACATCTACTTAAACTACCGTAACTCCCAGGACATTGAGGACGAGGAGGAGGACGAATGTGGTCACCGGGACATCTCTGAGGGCTTCTCTGATTTATCCCAGTCGCCTCCTAGTGGAGACAGAGGACCGCTGAAGAACTATGATGGCGGCCTTCATTTTAAGTCGTTTGATTCTGTGGATCAGGGGAGCCACTCGTCCTCCACCTCCAATCCGGTTGACATTTCATCAACTCGACCAGATGACGAAGGAAGGGACTACCAGCCGCTCTCTCCGTTTGGCACATCTCCCTTTGATTTGGAGTTGGGAGGCATGGGGGACACCGGCAGCCACACCCCTGCAGGCAGTTTGACCAACACGCCGTCTCCTCTGGAACACTCAAAGCCATTTCCACCACTAAGGCCGAGGAAGAGCTCCAGTTTGTCAAACGTGCTGGATGACACCAGCTATGGGACAGACCCTCCAACTGGAGACACCATCTCCAACACGTCCAACCCTCAGGTATAGCACCTTGATTTTCTCACATTGTTGAAGGTGCTGTTAGAGGTTTATATGATAGACCATCCATGGGTTCTGTCTAAAGTGGAAGGAAAAGAGACGATGGTTTGAATTTTTTGTTGTCACAAGTAATCTTAAAATTGCTCTCTTCTCAGGGGGTTTTCTTCCAGGATTGTCCTGTTTTCAGTCCCTTCTTTTCCGTCTTTCCTTCCAACTCTGACCAGCTCCCGTGTTCTTGCTAACAAGGAACGTCCCTGCAGCATGATGCAGCCACCACCATGTTTCACTGTGGTTTATGAGGTTTCACTGTGGTGAAACATGGTGGTGACCAAAGGGTTACATTTATCTCTCGTCTTGACAGATTTGTAGAGTAGAATTCAACTGTATTGTCATAACATTGTCATAACTACAAAGCAACTAAATTAACTCTCTAGATTTTACCCATCCCTTTGGGGAGCAGTGGGCTGCCATTGTTGAGCAGTGTGGGGTTGAGGGTCTTGCGCTATGACCCAAGCGCAGTGCCCTAACCACTAGGCCACCACTCCACCACTAGCATGCTAAACTAATAGTTCTTCTGCCATACAGATTCCATCACCAGAGATGTGGGTCTGTGCAGTTCCTCCACTATGACTGTAGCACTCACGGAAGCTTCACTGGTTTCAGCTGTCTTTGGGAGTTTTTCCTTTCCAAATGTATCTGTTTGTACTCCAGCAGACCCCCGAGGAGGAGCTGTGCAACCTGCTAACCAACATCGTCTTCTCCGTACTGTGGAGTGGCAGTGGGGCTGAGGGGGCAGAAGACGTGGTGTGGAGGGAGAGGGGGCAGGTGTTTTCTGTCCTCACCAAACTGGGCTCCTCCTGCCAACTGGTTCGTCCTCCTGATGAGATAAAACGCAGGTCTGTTCTACAGATTTTAACACGGAATGTGTTTCTTCACAACTACCTGGATGTTATGCGATGGCATGCTGAATGTGTTTCCATTGACAGTCTTTTGGAAATGATGCTGGAGTCCTCCCTGTCAGACCTGAGGGATGCACAGGGCGTGTCTCTGCCCTTCTGTCCCAGTCTGGTGCGGCTCCTCAGGCTGCTGCAGGACTTCCTGTTTGCTGAGGGCACAGACAACAGAACCCTGTGGAGTGAGAAGGTAATTTATGTTGGAATCTTACAATAAAATATTCCCGTTTTTGTTTTCTTTTTTTTATTACTACTCAATTAACTAAGGTATGGCAAATAATAATCTGTCTAAAAATATTATTAGCTACTCTAAAGATGCCACCTTTACTCTAAATAAGTGGACCTACACATTGATGGACAGATGAGGTTTATTCACTTTTTAATATCAGGTCAAGTCCTTAGTAAATACTCAGTGTGCTTTTCAAATTATTCTGTTTTATCAAAAAAAAAAGGATGTCATCCAGGCAAATCTGGTGCTTTGTAAAATATGTTTCCAGACACAAATGTTTAATAATGAAGCTGATAAGCCATTTTTTTTTCGTATCAGCTTAGCTAGCTGCACCCAGATTTGATTAGTGCAAGCCCTTTATTATTTGAGATTTACATAACCCTTGGATGAGCCCATTTTGGTTCTTTGTCTGGATATCATTTACCAGACTTCTCTGGCTGTACAGCTAAGCAATTATACATTATAGTTAAAATATTTAAAGGCTCAGTGTGGCCTACCCATTCAGGCCTGTTTCTCAGCAACATCCCCTTTAGAAATAGTTTTAAAGGCCTTTAAATCCACCTTACCTTTTATTGGATGTAATTAGTAAAGTGTTTCATAATACTGACTAGGGCTGAAACAATTAATCGGATAATCTTGATTAATCGATTATTGAAATAATCATTGACTAATTTAGTAATCGATTAATCCAAAGCATGCCTTTAGCTAACAGAGCGGCCCACGTTGAGCACCAATTATACCAAAATAGTGAACAAAATATGAAAACATTTTGCATTTAAGATAGTAATCATTTTCATCTGTCAACATGCTCTGTCAAATCTCCTCAAATGGAAAAGTTTTAGCTTCACCTGATTTCATTTCGCAAAAAGTCTTCTTTAAGGAATCTTTAGCTATGCAATTATTAATAAAAAAAACACTCGACAGATGAATCGATTTGCAAAATAGTTGTCAGTTGCAGCCCTAATACTGATCTGTTTTTAATGCATCAATCATGGTGTACACCAGCACAATTATCGAATAAAAGGAGCAGAATCAGGGTGCTAAAGCGGTCTAGTCAAAGCCCGGATTTCAATCTGATCCACATTCTGTCAAATGGCTTTAAACAGGCTTTTCAGGCCCTTCCTCATTAATGTTAAATCATTTCCAATTATTGGAAACAAAACCTTGGGGGTAGGTGTTTCCACCAAAGTTGGCTCAACCAGTTTTAAGGTTGAAGGGTAATGTTAGGTTACCTTGTATAGATGTTTTACTCCTAATAAATGCATTTATTCTGGTTAACTTTGTCTGAAATAAGTTTAATGATCAGACACATGGAATACTTCTAGTTATATTAAAATGCTGTCTTTGGGTTTTGTGTTTAAACCAATGAAGTTGAAATTAATATTTTCTATGATAATCATGGGTTAGTTTTTGTTTGATAACTGTGTTGCATGAAATTAACAAATAATTTCTTTTTTTTTGTTTCTTCAAAGACTAAAGCAGTAAAATACAACACACCATCGGATGGGTGGTGTCCTTGTTAACCTTTAGGTCAAATGCTTCTTCTGTTTTGTGTTACAGAAAGGCTTAGAGAGTCAAGGTTGGGTTTTAAATGCAGCTCAGGGTATACTTAAGGTTTACTGCAAGGTGTGGAAACAGGTCTGGCCTTCTTTTGCCGAGGCATTCTGTTGACACCTGTTGTTTTGCTGCAGATCTTCGAAGGGGTGGTGAACCTGCTGGACAGGTTACAGGCCTGGCACAGCACCCCCGGCAGCCCTGGAAACACTGAACTGAAGGAGATGGCCCAGATTGGCCTGCGTATCATTCTGGGATACATCCAACAGCAGAACTCACAGGTCAGCTGCACTCATCTGTTGAGCACATAAAACTATAAAATGACTCTACTTGACTTTTACAACCCAAGATCCTCTAAGATATAATATCTACAGAAGGTAGTTTTGAAAAATGTCTCAAGGGACTTAGAGTATTTAACTTGATAAGTGAGCTCAGATAAAGAAACCGTTTAAATACCAAACCTTCTATGGTTCTCTTTGCAAAGACATTGCAGTCATTCCTGTTAGGGAGTGTTCAGAATGAAAGGGCAGCTCCACTCTGAGTTATGACATCTACTGTTATATGACTTTGAAATAAAGGGAGTGCTCATAAATTAAGCTTACCATCTGGATTTCCATCACGTGCTGCTGTTTTGTTTGTCTATTAACTAATTAGTTATTCTTGAACCTTTAAAAAGATCTATTAAAATTTTCCTAAACATCATAACTGTGTGTCTTTTGAAGATGATGGAGGAGTTGGAAGAGAGTTTAATTAATTAAGAATAGTACTCATAATATGTCCCCTTTAGATCTATTGATGAGAGGTAAATCTGCTTGTTTAGGCTTTTCAGTTCAATTTTTTTTTTTGCAACTTTAATTCAATTCGGTCTATTGATATATAGCAACGATTCATAACATGCCATCTCAAGGCACTTTACAGAAAAAAATTCCACCAGATCATAGTCAGATTAGTTCAAAGTTTTCTATCTAAGTAAAACCAGCTGATTGCATCGACTCATTCACTCAAAGGCAATCACTCACACAAGGCATGCTTATGGCAACAGTGGAGAGGGAAAATGTCCTTTTAACAGGCAGAAACCTCCAGCAGAACCAGGCTCAGTGTGGGCGGCCATCTGCCAAGGCCAAAAGGGGTTCAAGGAGACAGAAGCAGACATGAAAAAGCAGAGATACAAAAGGCAACTGTAAACCAGCTCCACAGGCGGCCCCATCCGGGAAACACACAGCCAGGCAGACAAGCTACATGCAAGAACCCATGTCAGTGGATGAAAGGGAGCACATCACAGTCAGAGAAACAGGACTACACTGAAAAACAGGCCAAGCTCCAACATCCACAAACAATGGCATTAATGGCAGCAGCACAGCTGATATTTCTCTCAAGGATGGAGTCACAGCCAAACAGGAACAGACCAGATGAAGCTACTATGAGAAAAAGCAGAGATAGAATAACATTAGATTGAACAAATTCTGCAGAGTGGGAGAATAGAGAAAGGATGAAGCAGAATGATGAAAAAGGGTCCCTATGTCCTCCAGCAGTTTAAGCCTATTGCAGCATAACTATAGAGATAGCACTGGATGACCTGAGCCACTCTAACAATAAGCTTTATCAAAAAGGAATGTTTTAAGTCAACCCTTAGTATGTCTGTGTGTCTGTCTCATGGACTAAAACTGGTAGTTGGTTCCACCGGAGAGGAGCCTGATAACTTTTAGAAATTCTAGGAACCATGGGTAAACCTGCAGATTGAGTGCAAAGTGCTCTGTTAGGAACATAAGGAACAATCAGATCTCTGATATAAGATGGAGCTTGGCCATTTAAAGCTTTATATCTGAGAAGGAGGATTTGAATTCTTCTGCTCTGAAATAATTGTATATTTGCTCTGCTACTTCATGGATTCCATAAAAAAAAGCTAATAAAATACAGCAAAATGCTAGAAATCAATATATATTGACAGTCTCAATTCCCTTATGTGCAGACATTTGTATTTGACAATCACACTGAAATAACCTCAAATCCTTTTGAAGCTGGGGGCATTATTACCAAAAATAAGAGTTTAACTGTTGTTGTTTTCTTCTTTTACTAATATTTCAATATTATGTGATTCAAACTAGACTAGATATGTTTTATTTGATTTTAATCTGCTGATTATTGGACGTAAAACAAACCGAATCATTACATGGATACATTTAATCAGATTATATTAAAGCAGGCAAATGTAGTTTTGTTCATTCATTCTTTGTTTAAATAACCAGTTTTTCCTGAATCAAAGGTCAGGGAGATAACTATTTTTGCTACAGTTGAACTGATAAATGACTCATTCAAGGTGTTGCAGGTAGAACGCTTAAGCTGGAGTTACGAAAAAAAAATGATTGGAAATGTTGTTTGTCTCAAATCAAAGCTATTGCTTTAGCTGAGGCAGTTGACCAGGCTTTGTAGACCTTGATCAAAAGTGTTAACTTCATATGAAATACAGAAGAAGAAAGAAATAAGAGTGAACTTGGACTTAGACTTTATACTTAGACTTAAAAAACTTTATTGTCATTTTGTATACACAGAGTCTTGTACAGCTTTCAGACAGTAAATCAGCAGCAGCTTAGCAGTGAAATTAAAATTTCCATTCCATAAAGTGCAGTACTGATCAAATGTAAACAGTGTGGGAGAAAAAAGTGAAACTCACAAATTGTTATTTTTTGATATGTTTTAGATTGTCAAATATCAGAGTATACTTTTTTCCTTATGCATTTATATTCTTTTTTTTTATAATGTGTAATTTGAATTGTTATTATTAGTAGTATATTAAATAAAGTAATCTTGTTTTATTTGTAGTTTTCCAAGATGTGCATTTTTTTTTTCTGTCCTTGACTAAAATAATTTTTCTTTGTTGGTCTTTAGGTGTGTGAGATGGCCTATTTGAAGCTTCACAGTCTCCTCCAGACAGTTCTCTGTCTGAGCTGGGAGGAGGTCTGCTTCCTGCTGGGAAAGCTTGGCGCCCCCTTGTGGCCGGATGGTATAATGGATGACACAAACAGCAGTCATTCAGAGACCTTCTCCCAGTTGGTACCCATTATGAGGACTCTGCTGGATCAACACGCAGACCCCATTACCCTCCAGAACCACTTGCCCAACCTGCCCATCACCAACGGCAGCACCACGTTCGCCGAGGACCTGAAGGTTTACTGTAACGCGCTGGAGTGGCAGAGCTTTTACCAGCAGAAGGTCTGTATCTGGACGTGCTTTGTATATTTTAGCAATGGCTGACCTTTGTCTAGTGTTTAGGGAGTCTGTCCTCCAGTTACTACGCTCTCTGTTCTTTGTCAAATTCCTGTATTCTGGTCTGACCTGTTACCTCCCAGATTGTTCCTCTGATATTTACTGCAAAGTTTAAAATTTTTCAAATGCTTTTGAAAAATGTTAAACTGCTTTACATCAAATTACTTAAACTTTCCTTCTGTGTGTGTTGGTTATGGAGAGGTTTATATTCCAACCTGAGGCACACTGCTGCCAAAAAATCTCAATCCGCTACAGCTGAGCTCAGATTCATTGTGGCTCCGTGTGACTTGGCTGCTCATAAATCTGCTTTGTTTAGTTTTCCTCTGTATACGGATCTTCCATTTCATTTTACATTGTGGCAGAGCTTTGGCTGCTAATAAATGTTTAAAATACATTTTAAAGAGAAAGTGGTCTCAGACACTGCAAGCATGTAAACTCAGGAATTTATTTATAGAGAGTGTGTTTGTTTTAGATGTATGTAAGTGTGTGTATTTTTATTAGCTTGATAGAAACACAGCAGCCGAGCAGGATAAATAATGAATTGGAGATGACAGCGACTGCTGGCGCCTACCCAGAACATCACATAGTGTGACTGATCTGTCTGAGTTTTCTCCTTACGGCTCTGGAACTGTCTTTTTCTCAGGTTCAGCCCACCATGGAGCAGTACGAGTTGGACACGTTTGGACGGAGTCATGACATCATGTCCAATTTCTGGAACTCCTGCTTTGATGATCTGATGAGCACTGCGTTTAAACGAGACAAAGACAGGTCTGACAGCAAGTCCAAGTTTCAGGTACTTTTCTGAACTTACTGGATGCAAAAGCATTTCTTCATGAATGACCCACAGCATTACAGATCCTCCACTGTGTTAATTCCTTACTTTGTTGCAACCACATACATAAATCAATTTTTTTTCAGGGGTTTTATGTGATCAAGCAATACAAATAAGATTAATTAGAAGTGACATTATCTATTTTTTTTATTTCTAATAAAAACCTCTTAAGTGCAGACTGTTCCACCCCCTTTACTCTGATACCTAGCTAGATAGTCCACCTTGTTTGGTGTTTAATCTTAGTATGAAGAGAGCATAGCTGTGAAGGCCTCAGGGGTTTGTTGCAATGAAGACAAGAAATGGCCTACCACCTAACAGGAACATTTTTCAGAGACGTAGTCAAGTGGTTCATGTTCTGAAGGAGCTCCAACACTCAGGTGGGTGAATCTGTCAACAGTAAAACTTGTAGTCATACCAACCAATCAGGCTTTTATGGAGGAGTGGAGAAAAGAATGTTAATGTTGAATAAAGGCGGTAAAAAGTCTGTATTGTAGTTTACCATGAGCCATGTAGGGCTGGAAGAAGGTCCTCTATTCAAATGACAACAAATGTTTATTTGAAATGTTGAAGAAAACTAACACTGCACATCACCTTGAATGCAGAAACCTCCATGGTGAAACATGGAAATGGAAGAGTCATTCTGTGGGGATGGTTTTCCTGAGCATTGAATGCAAAACTTGACACATAAATACCTTGAAATCCTGTGCGAAAATCTCTTAATAAATCAGGGCTTATTAATGCGTTAGAATGAAATCCAATTGAAGAGTTGTGGTAAGCCAAAAAAACTGATTGTCACAGATACTCCCTGACAAACGCTGGTAGTGATGTCTGATACACGACATACAAAAGAAAGTGTGGGGAACCTATTTCAATACAAAATGTTAACTCAGTTGGCTAAATTTAAAATATGTCCTGTGGTTTTCAAAAAAAAAAAAAAATGAAAATCCTGGTTTAATTTTCACTAACATGCCACTTTGTGTTGACAAATTAAAAAGCATAAAATTTTCCAGTTGTAACATGACAAAATGGGAACATCTCCCCTCAGAAGACTGATTTGATGTGTCTCACTGTGCAAACAGGAGGTGATTGTGGACCCCTACATGAAGCGAGTACGCAGTGAGAACAACCGGTACACTATTTGGCAGAAGCAGAACTCCAGCCAGCTGGGCATGGTGTGGCAGCACTGGAGAGCGCTCCGCCGGCTCTTCACCTGTGAGAGGGGAGCCTGGGCTAACGGGTAGGACTGACACTAACACCTCCCTCTGTTCTTTCTTTGACCCTTTGTAAAGTCAGAAAGGACTAAGTTTCATTTTTTCTCACGCTTGATGTCAGAGTTCAGCCAGAGGTGAAGTGGAAATTGTCCGGCGCTGAAACTTATTCAAAGATGCGACTCAAACTTGTGCCCAATTATAGCTATGATCCACACTGTGAAGCCAGCGCCTTGAGGGATAACATGGGTATGAAACATAATATATTTAAATTTCTTTGAATCTTTTCTGACAAAATAAAAATAAGTTATGTTGTGATCATCAGGAGCTGAAAGTCCCCGCAGCTCTGAACCACTCCCACTGGCTGTTGCTAAGGAAGCCAAAGTTAGCGACATGGAGGACGATCATTTGGAAGATGAGGACCTAGTCTTTTCAGATAACAAGTAAGTCCACAATGTCCGTAGCAACAATGTTGGTCTCTGTTGTGCGTGATTCAAACAAGAGCTGCAGATTTAGGAGTCTCTCTGTCTATGTTGCTTTCAGAGGGGAAGGAGAGGATGAGAGTCAGAAAGAAAAGCTGGTTCTGTCAGAAGACTGTGAGCTCATCACCATTGTGGCCGTGGTTCCAGGTCGGCTGGAGGTCACCACGCATCATCTCTACTTCTATGACGGCAGCAGTGATAAAGAGGAAACCGAAGAGGGTGAGAAATGTGTGCAGCTATGGTTTGCACCTATGTGCTTTATGGTTCCTCGGAGTGCTCTAGGCGACTCATAGCTGTGGCGCCTTTCTCCTGCAGGAATTGGGTTTGATTTCAAGAGACCTCTGTCTCAGCTTCGGGAGGTCCATCTGAGGAGGTACAACCTGCGGCGATCTGCGCTTGAGCTTTTCTTCATCGACCAAGCTCATTACTTCATCAACTTCAGAAAGAAGGTGATATAGATATTACATTTAGGGATTTAGATACATACACATACATTATGTGTGTAAAAAAACAAGCTTGTTATTCTGTTTATAAGTAAGATTTTTCTTAATAACCTTTTTTTAGGGTTGCATAATAGATTTAATTGCAGTCAGGATGAGCTCAAATCCCCTGAGGTCCTTTATCCAAACACATTTCTGCATGTTTGGAAGAGCAGTGCCAGGTTTTTAAGCCAAAGCACCTTAAACGGTACAACAATGGTGCTGCTTTAGTCTGATTTGACTGTTTTAATTGAATTCTTGATGTGAGGTAGACCAACAGCAGCTCCACATACACAATACTGCTGTTGGTAGAGTCATCCTCTTGCTATAGGAGTCAGGGAAATTATTCGGTATCAACAATCCAGGTTTCAGTGTTCAGGTCTAGAGGGGAAAAATCATTCAGGAACCCATAGTGGATGCAGAATTTTTAAGAATGAGCTTTTAAGTCGGAGAAAGTCGTGGTGATTCTAGTGTGAAACAAAGAGTGAATATACAGTAAAAAACTTCATCTCCACTGTTGGGTATGGTGGAGAATCTGTAATGCTGAGGGTCTTGTTCTTTTCCACAAACCCTAAAAGCCTTTTTTAAGAGTCCATGTTGGTCTCAACAACTGGAACTTTTAATTAAATGGGTAAGCCATGCCATGACGTTCAAGATGTGGGTTGGTTTTCTCTTTCAGCATCATAAGACCCAATCACACAGGAAAGTGTTTCTCTAAAGCCAAAATTATCCTTCCTATCTACTATAGAAAACAAATAATCAAGAGAAGGACTACCAGTAATAATCACACCCACCTGATTCTGTTAAAAACAGCTTTTAATTAAGGTTTTTCTTTTCATAATGTTTCTTTAAACAAATGCCTTTAAATTGAAATCAAAAATAAAACAAACATTCTGCTGTAATAAAATGTTAACTCACTCTATAATCTTTTTCATGGTTTATATATATAAATATATATATATATATATATATATATATATATATATATATATATATATATATATATATATATATATATATATATATATATATATATATATATATATATATATACATATATATATATATACATATGTGTGTGTGTGTATGGCCATTATACGTTATGTGAAATTAGCTTTTAAAGTGCTAAAATGAAGATAATTTCTTACCCTGCAGGTGCGAAACAAGGTGTACTCAAGGATTCTGGGTCTGCGACCTCCAAACCTGTTTTATTTCGGCTCCCGTTCCCCTCAAGAGCTGCTGAAAGCATCAGGCCTTACTCAGGTATTCATCATCTCTACATATGGCTTTGCTTTATTTAGAGTGAAATGGCTCTAATGCTTCCCATTTGTGATATGTTGAATTTTCTAGAAATGGGTGTACAGAGAAATCTCAAACTTTGAGTACCTAATGCAGCTGAACACCATCGCTGGGCGGACTTACAACGACCTGTCCCAGTACCCTGTGGTGCGTACCGCAGTGCTTCTGGAGCTTTCTCTCTGCCGCCAAATGCACACTCACTGTCAAAGAAAGCATTATTGTACACCTCTGTGTGTGTTTTGCTTCTCCTTAGTTCCCCTGGGTTTTGTGTGACTACACTTCTCCTGTTCTGGATCTGGAGGACCCCTCGGTTTTCAGAGATTTATCCAAGCCTATAGGTGTGGTCAACCCACGTCATGCACAGAACGTCAAAGAAAAGTAATCAGCTCTTATAATTTGGAAAAATACAACGTATCAGGAATTTCTTTATTTAAAAAAAGTGCCAAAATGTATCCTTTTAACATAATAAAGTCCAACAAATAGATTTGTTTCTTCAGGTACGAGAGCTTTGAAGACCCGACAGGCACCATCGACAAATTCCACTATGGGACACACTACTCTAATGCAGCAGGAGTCATGCACTACATGATCCGGATGGAGCCGTTCACCACCCTGCATATCCAGCTGCAGAGTGGCAGGTGAGAACCTGCAGAATATCTTTTTTTTGCATGATTTTTGGTATTGGACTGGTCTCACCTTACAGTTTTGGCATCTTTCAGGTTTGACGTCGCAGACAGACAGTTCCACTCAGTGGCGGCAGCTTGGCAAACTCGCATGGAGAGCCCGGCTGATGTCAAAGAGCTCATCCCTGAGTTCTTTTACTTCCCAGAGTTCCTGCAGAACATGAACGGTGAGCTGCTCTGCAAACGCTGGCAGAACCTGTGCTCTTGGACCCAAGGCTAATCAATCCACATTTTGTGCTAGGCTTCGACCTGGGTCGCTTGCAGATGTCTCAGGACCTGGTTACAGATGTTGTGCTCCCTCGCTGGGCAACATCAAGGGAAGACTTTATCAGGAAACACCGGAAAGCTCTGGTGAGCCATCAGTATAATGAAACTCAGTTATGCATCTGTTGCCTTGGTTACAGTGAATAGCCATGAAAAAACAAGTACTTTGAACCTACAGGAGTCCGAGTACGTGTCCTCCCACCTCCATGAATGGATCGACCTCATCTTTGGATGCAAACAGAGAGGAGAGGAGGCAGTGAAAGCTCTCAATGTATTCTACTACTGCACTTATGAGGGTGAGGCTGCAATGGGAACCTTTGTGAGAAAACTCATTAGAAAACTGACAGTTTTTTTGTGGTGATCCTTTGAAGTCATTTTTTTGTTCTGTAGACCCCCAAAAGATGGGCTAGGGTAATCTTTTCTGTTGTAATTTTTGCGTTATTGAACAAAATTGTCAAATTTTCCGCCATGCATGACGTGGAAAACAGAAAATATTCTGAGCTAAATGAACAAATTTTTCTTCTACTTTCAGTGGTTATGGGTTTTATTATCTGCTTTTTTTTGTTCGTTTGTGAGAATCTTTTTGTTCTTTGACAAATATGCTGATGAGTGAGAAACAAGTGGAATTGTTGTACTCGTTAATCTTTGGCAACAGGGAAACTCCTGAAATTCCTGGTTTATCGTCCTTATAGGCTTAAAACAAAAAATTAGATCTTCTTTAGACAACTGTTTTTTTTTTTTGCTTTTGTTTTTTTTTTTTTTTTCTATGTTTTCACCCAAAGTTTTAAAATAACTTTCTAAGGGTTTTATCCAGTTTTCAGGCTGGGGAGCAGTCACTTTAATATCTTTAAGAATCCATTTATTTATTTTTTTTATTTTATTTTTTTGCTACTTATTGGTAGCAAACATTTAAAAAGTGTAAAAAAAAACCTTCATAAAAGTTTGTTACTTTATTACTCCACTTTTTCTACTTTAAACTCCTGCTAACTGTGCATGGGGAAAAATAAAGCTGCAAATGAACTGAGTTGCTTTAATCTCCCTGAACATTACTAACACTCCAGATAGATATAATTTTTATGTCATCAGCTCCTCACCTCTTATGATCAACCCACATCTGACTTGCTTGTGTTGGAAGTTTTCTAGTCTTTTCCATTTTGAAGGGTAGCTAAGCTTATTGTATCTCTCTCCTTTATTTCATGCCCAGCGATATCGAAAGACTGATACCTGCTTTAGTTTCCTTGATACTCTGAAATTAAACTTAATTAATGTGAGCTACTCAACAGCAATACTATACAAGAAATTCATAGAAATTTCGATTTGTTTTAAGGCTTGCTGTCTAATATTTGCTTTATGTGAACCTGAGTCTAAAGTTTTTAACAGATTTTTTAATATCTCACTCTTTGCTTGATTTTTGTCTCTTTTATTTATTGTTTCAGGTGCTGTGGATCTGGATGCAATTGCCAATGAGACTGAGCGAAAAGCATTGGAAGGCATCATCAGCAACTTTGGACAGACTCCCTGTCAGCTTCTTAAGGTACAAAAAATGATCTTCAGGAAAATACAAAATGAACCTTCATCTGCCATATAAAAATTAATTATGTTTTTTTAATTGCCACAAAATTTAACATGACAGTCCAGTCACATTTAACCAATCAAATAAATTTCCTTTTAAGCTGCTGTTTTGCAGCTTTTCATGGATACAAATTTCAGCTCTTTGAAAAACACGCTGAGATTTGTAATGCTGTAATGATTCAATGCTGGTTTTAATAGCTTCAAAACATCCTAATGTTTGTCTTTGTCTCTGAGCAGGAGCCTCACCCTCCCAGAATGACAGCCCAGAACGCATCCCGGCGGCAGGCCCGCCTGGACACTCTACCTGCAAACATCTTCGAGCATCTTGGCAAACTCAGACCATTTGTGGAGGTGAGGTGTCGTGTGAATGCTCAGATCAGCTCATCTCTGATATGATATTTATTTACATGTAAAACTGGGTTTGCATCAGGTTGTCAGTGATGGGCTTCCTCTGGTTCAAGCACTGGTGCCAAAGAACCAGAATCACTCCATCATGCATGGCTCAGATACACTGGTAATGTCAAAACACTTCAATGTCAGATCACTTTGCATATATAGATTACATTTTTAAATTTCCCTTTTTTTCTGCACAGGTTACTGTAAGCTCTAGTGGTTTGATTGGGACTCACAGCTGGCTTCCATATGACAAAAACATCACAAACTACTTCACCTTCACTAAAGACCCCACCATGACCAATCCCAAGTGAGTGAGTTTATATATTTGGCTTTTTGCCCTAGCAGGTTAAGCAAACAGTATGGTGGGTCTGGTTGCCATGCAGTGTATTTAATATTTCTTATTGTAGCCAGCCTGCAGTCAAATCAGTTAGTTCACTCTTTTTTATGTGGTTGCTGCAATGCCATGGAGGAGCTTTACTTCATGCAAGAGCTGGACAGGCCAACAACCTGAGAGCAATTGTGACCAAGTTGTCATTTAAATACAGAGAAATATGGAGGATAACAGCTCATGGAGTTTTGAAAAGATACAATCAAAGAGCTAGTTTTAAAGATCTTCCTTTATGTATGCAACGTCAAGTCAAGATTATCTCTGATCCAGTTTTTTGGGGCTATTCATGACAGAGCAAGTGGAGGTCCCCTAGTAAAGATCCACTCGAAGTTCAACAGAGTCATAGGTACCAGCTTTGCCACTGCTGCTACCGTTGGATATAACTGTTGATCCCAGTCTCACACTCTGGAGGAGTGTTTTAAAGCTGAGGAAAATGAAGCATCAAAATAAAATAAAATTTCTGAAGGAGAAAGGATGTGCTTTGGCTGCCTGTGCAGTGGACAGATTATTAAAGATCAATATATACAGGTGCTGGTCATAAAATTAGAATATCATGAAAAAGTAGATTGATTTCAGTAATTCCATTTAAAAAGTGAAACTTGTATATTATATTCATACATTACATACAAACTCATATATTTCAGATGTTTATTTTGTTTAATTTTGATGATTACAAATGACAACAAATGAAAATCTCAAATTCATCATATCAGAAAATTAGAATATTACTGAAGACCAATAAAAACAAAGGATTTATAGAAATGTTGGCCAACTGAAAAATATGAACATGAAAAGTATGAGCATGTACAGCACTCAGTATTTAGTTGGGCCTCCTTTGGCCTGTATTACTGCAGCAATGCGGCGTGGCATGGAGTCGATCAGTCTGTGGCACTGCTCAGGTGTTATGATAGCCCAGGTTGCTCTAATAGTGGCTTTTAGCTCTTCTGAATTGTTGGGTCTGGTGTATTGCATCTTCTTCTTCACAATACCCCATAGATTTTCTATGGGGTTAAGGTCAGGAGAGTTTGCTGGCCAATTAAGAACAGGGATACCATGGTCCTTCAACCAGGTACTGGTAGCTTTGGCACTGTGTGCAGGTGCCAAGTCCTGTTGGAAAATGAAATCTGCATCTCCAAAAAGTTGGTCAGCTGCAGGAAGCATGAAGTGCTCTAAAACTTCCTGGTATGTGGCTGCGTTGACCCTGGACCTCAGAAAACACAATGGACCAACACCAGCAGATGACATGGCACCCCAAACCATCACTGACTGTGGAAACTTTACACTGGACTTCAAGCAACGTGGATGAAGTGCCTCTCTTCTTTTCCTCCAGACTCTGGGACTTTGATTTCCAAAGGAAATGCAAAATTTACTTTCATCAGAGAACATGACTTTGGACCACTCACCAGCAGTCCAGTCCTGTTTCTCTTTAGCCCAGGCAAGACGCTTCTGACGCTGTCTGTGGTTCAAGAGTGGCTTGACACAAGGAATGCGACAGCAGAAACCCATGTCTTTCATACGTCTATGTGTGGTGGTTCTTGAAGCACTCACTCCAGCTGCAGTCCACTCTTTGTGAATCTCCCCCACATTTTTGAATGGGTTTTGTTTCACAATCCTCTCCAGGGTGCGGTTATCTATCTTGCTTGTACACTTTTTTCGACCACATCTTTTCCTTCCCTTCGCCTCTCTATTAATGTGCTTGGACACTGAGCTCTGTGAACAGCCAGCCTCCTTAGCGATGACCTTTTGTGTCTTGCCCTCCTTGTGCAAGGTGTCGATGGTCGTCTTTTGGACAACTGTCAAGTCAGCAGTCTTCCCCATGATTGTGTAGCCTATAGAACTAGACTGAAAGACCATTTAAAGGCTTTTGCAGGTGGTTTGAGTTAATTAGCTGATTAGAGTGTGGCACCAGGGGCCATCAATTTTGAACCTTTTCACAATATTCTAATTTTCTGATATGATGAATTTGAGATTTTCATTTGTTGTCATTTGTAATCATCAAAATTAAACAAAATAAACATCTGAAATATATGAGTTTGTATGTAATGTATGAATATAATATACAAGTTTCACTTTTTAAATGGAATTACTGAAATCAATCTACTTTTTCATGATATTCTAATTTTATGACCAGCACCTGTATATATATATTTGTTTTTTTTTTAATCACAATCAAGTTTATTGCAAAGTAGGTTTGCATTTACAAAGGAATTTGAGTTGGTGTTGACGGTGCAGACAAATTAGATAGATACAGAATATAGAATCTATAGCTATATACAATATAAAAAAATAAAATATACTATATACAATATATAGTTTATAGCTATATACTATATAAACAGTAGACTGTGCGTTAATGTAATGCAGGAGGTCTGGAGATGCTTTGTTGGTGTAGCTTCTAGGTCCTGAATAGGGGAGGGAGAGAGGCAGTGTCAGTGTCACGGGGTCTCTGGGCCTTGTTGATAAGGCTGGTAGCGGATGGAAAGAAACTGTTCTTGTGGTTTGAATTTTTCGTCGTGATGGACTGCAGTCTATGGCCAGAATGAAGTGACTGAAATGTTTTGTGGCTGGGGTGCGAGGGATCAGCAACAATCGTTCCCTTAGCCTGAGAATCATGGAGGCTTACAGATCCTCAAAAGATGCAAGATTGCCGCCAATCACCTTCTCTGCAGACCGGATGAGACACTGCTTAAGATAGAATCACATTTTAATCTTCTCATCATGTTGCAGGACTCAGCGTTTCCTGGCAGGACCTTTCTCACCTGGAGTGGAGCTCAGCGCCCAGGTGCTGGTGGTGTCCAACGACGGCCGTCTGCTGTTCAGCGGCGGACACTGGGACTGCAGCCTCCGCGTCACTCAGCTGGGGAAAGGAAAGCTGGTGGGCAGGATCTGCCGACACATTGGTGAGCTCTTTCATCATGAATGGGGGAAAGTTCAATTTTCTTCTCCATGGCATGAGATAATTGTTTGTGTATATTTCTACAGATGTCGTAACCTGCTTGGCTCTGGATCTGTGTGGCATCTACCTCATCTCTGGTTCAAGGGACACCTCCTGTATAGTGTGGCAGGTTTTACAACAGGTGAGACTCTTTACATCCTCTGTGCCACCTCCATTTTCTGGCTGGAACTAAAAAATTTTTTTTTTTCTTTAAATCATTTTGCAGGGCGGATTCTCCAGCGGCCTGTCTCCTCGGCCAGTGCAGATCCTCAGTGGACACGACCAGGAGGTGACCTGTGTGGCCATCAGCACTGAACTGGACTTGGCTGTATCTGGGTCAAAGGTCAGATAAGCTACTGCTCACCACTAGAAGATACCTGTTTTTTTTTTTAAAGCAACAGAAAATACTTGTTTTTTCACCAAAAAAACAAAACAGTACTGTTTAAGTTTACAGCTGCGTGTGTTTAGGAGGGAGAACTGCTATTAAATCTAAATATTTACAGTATCCCTCCTCCTTCCTGGAAGATCACTGACAAAGCGGGTGGCAGTTGTTTAGGCTTCGGAGGCCCTCTGTAACGCAGCTAAAACTGATGTGGGGAACATTTCCTCTCTGTCAAAATATAGAATATGCTGTTTGGAAAAGGATCTTCAACCAATACGCATACTTTCTCTCCCTGCACTGTCTGCAGCGCCTTTAGAAAAACTGTGGAAGAACCACAGAAACTGTCCCTTTTCCCCTGTGTAAGCTGCAGCTTCAGGAAATCAGATCTTCACTAGATGTTTCTATACTTCTTTGTTAAAAACACTCATTTTCAGCTCGTCAATTTGGGACTAAAGCAGTATATGGTTAGGTTGCATTAAATTAGATGTCATTAATTGAGAAAAAAAAAGATAAATCTGCATGCAAAAGTTTGATTATTATCTATTAGCTCTGGGAAATGTGAAAGCTGAGGAATTTTATGATTTAACAATACATAATAGGAACCCTGGCCTACAGATAAACAGCTTGGAAGATACTTTTCCACTGAAATTCGCTAAATTAGACACATGCAGCTGATAGCAGAGTCAGCAGTTATGGCTGATCTCATGACTGGGGGCACAGTAGAAAAATCCAACGCTAAAGCATTTTCTTAACCGATTTAATCTGATCTCAGAGGGCTGCATATTAATGCCGTAACCATGACATCACATTTCGGTTTCCCAGCTGCTTCTTATCTTATTTCTGAATGGTTAGAAAGGACCAAATTTGGAAAAAGAAAGTGGTGCCTGAAAGATTTAAAAGACTGATTTAACAAAAATGTGTGTCTTTGAAATTTAAGACGAATTATGAAGTGGAGGAAAGAAACCTTATAAGGTTGTTTTTTTTTTTACCACTGTATTCCTAACTCTTTTAACGACCAGATTATCCATTATTTGCCTCGTTAAATCTAAAGTTATAGTGAAAAATCTAATTAGTCACACAGCATGTGTTATTTTTTTTAGGTAGTTTTTGAAAACTCGTTATGTTCCATGTTGAGCCTTCGCCTATCTCCTGACTCTCTGCTGCTGTTGCTTGGTTATCAGGATGGTACAGTGATTGTGCACACGATCCGACGGGGCCAGTTCCTGAGGTCACTGCGGCCCACCGGCGAAGGCAACGTACGTGCTCCGATCGCTGCCCTCCAGGTGGGGATGGAGGGCCACATCGTGGTGCAGACGTCTCAGGAGGAGAGAGCTAACTGGAAGGTATGCAGAGTAATACACACCAGTTCCTCACACGGGTAATCAAAAACTTTTTCTGATCTTACGACCTTGAACTTTAATGTTATTGAGTTCATAGACAAACACAGAGGAGCTTGTAAAAGAAAAGTGCTATAAAGCTTTTCTTTTACCAGGAAGTTAGCCAGCTCTGTTGGGAAGATACTGATAAAGAGCGGTACTGGAGAAAAACTTGTTAGAGGATGAGGTTAAATAAAGACCGAAGTGGAGGTTAATCTAAACGTAGCTACAGCCATCAAAGCAGAAGAATGTAGAGATTTTCATTAAAAGTCCAAGGAATCTATTTAAAACTCATTAAGCAGATTTTTAACAAACCTTTTGTTATTTTCACTGCTTTATGTTGATCGATCCCATACATTTTTTTTTTTTTGTGACCCATTGTGAAAAGCTCCTAGGATACACTTGCCTTTAGCAATGCCTTGTGTACACCACTCCGTAGGGAACAGCAGGCAGTTTCCTGTTTCTGATGCTGGTATCCGTGTTGGGCTCATTCCCACAGGGCAAGCACTCCATCCATGTTTACTCTGTGAACGGCTGTCTGCTGTCCTCTTTCACCATGGAGGAGCAGATGACTGCACTTCACCTGGTGTCTGAATATGTGATCGTGGGAACCCTGCAGGGCGGCCTCCACATCCGGGATTTATTCAGGTGAAGACCTCAAGTCATTTTCAGTCCTCACAAAAGGAGTCAAAGTCCCATTTTACATCCTTTCACTGAATTTGGATGTTTGGATGATTTTAACGTCTAATTCTAAAATTATTTAAAAAAAAGTGACAATTTGTCACCCATGAATAATTTTGTTGAATTGAAACTAAGTATTTTAAAGGTTTACGTCCACTATATGAGCCTATTATGGTTCCCTTATCTTATTTGCTGTCTCTATTAAAGGGAAACATCCCCATGATGGATAAAATATCAACAAGTTCCGGATTTTTTTATACTTTTTTTTTTTACTTTTGAAGAGCTCTGTATGAGAAAGGTCTAACTCTCCTAATTTCCCTTCTGTTTTGCAGCCTGGATTCCCTGACAACACCCCTGGCCTTGAGGGTTCCTGTGAGGAGTGTGTCTGTCACTAAGGAGTTCAGCCACATACTAGTGGGCCTGGAGGACGGGAAGTTAATAGTGGTGGGGGCAGGGAAGCCTGAAGAGGTGAGAAACCAAACTTTATAGAGAGAGTGTGAAATGGGTGGAAGGCAAAGGGGGAAGAGGATAATTATATTCAGAGTATTTCTAGAGAAACGGGTTTTTCAGACGATGATGTTTGCACTGTAACTGATCCGTTTAGCCTTTATGTGAGGAAAAAAAATGAACACATTCATTTTCTCGTCTCAGGTTCGCTCAGGACAGTTCTCCCGTCGCCTTTGGGGCTCCACGCGCCGAATCTCTCAGGTGTCATCGGGTGAAACTGAGTACAATCCTGCTGAAAACACCACGAAATGAGAGGACCAGCGATATTTGGACTCGATAAATGCCTTAAAGAAAAAAAAAAATGGGGAAACTTTATTCATAAGCCTCTGATATCTCTCTGGGAGAGAAATTATACACTGAGCACTTTTACGAAAATAAATCCTAAATGTTTTTTTTATATTTTGTTTCAGATTTCTTTAGAAGGTGTGCAGTTTTTAATCAGCATCAATCCAAAGAGTCATCTTGTTTCTCTTATTTCTGGCGGAAGAGCATGGTGATGGGAGTATCTTTGGGCTGTAAACTCATGATGGACTGCATGAACTCAAGTCACATTTCCGACAAATGACTCAGTCCGTCCCCATCCTAAACACCAAGCACAACTCCTTGGTGCTGTCAGAGTCATAGATGGGATCTCGGCACTCGTAAAAAAACAAACAAAAAAAAACTCCTAAAGCCATTGAATGGCAACGGGATCTTCTTAAAACTCCTGGAAACTTGAAAGACGCAAAAAAAAAAAGAAGAAAAAAAGATTTTTCCTGCTGCAATACTGGGGAACTCCACAAGAGGGCGAAACTTGTACAGAGAGTTTAGGAGATGGGTGGAAGAAGCTTGTGCTGTGTTGTGGGTTTAACAGATGTATGGACTTGCAGTTTATGGGTCTGCATTCCTTTTAAGGCTCAGAGAAATTAAAAACTGTTACAATTAAAGCAGCCCTGCTTTGATAGTCAAGTATGTGAAATGTATTCACTGTTTTAAAAATGAGCTTACATGTGATGAACCTCAGAGGAAGCCTTCTGTTGCCTTACACCAACAAACGACCTTTATGAACAGCTTAATTTAATTGTTTGGTTTTTTTTTGCTTCTTTCCACATTCCTATATCCTTGTTTGATTTTTATCAGATAAGTGCCTAATTTTCCCTCCACTCCTGGGCCTTGTAATAAACACTGAATATTAATTGATGGTTTTACTGTAAAATGTGACACTTTACTGCTCCTTTGTGACCTGGATGTGATGGAGATGTTCTGAAGGAAAACCATCAGTAAACTATCATCTGTTTGATCTACTCTTCTCTGCTGCTTTTGTGGTTGGACATCTCTAAAAGGTATATGAGGGAGCTTAGAAGGATTCGCTTCTATTAAAATATTATTTGGATGCAAATAACCGGAGCTTGGTTTAGGGTGACCTTGACCTTCATCTAATGATAAATCTGAGGCAGTACTGAAAAGAAATTAATCTACACAAATGGAGATAATTTACTAAAATTAAATGAATGGAGGAAAAACCAATTACAGATGTATAATTGGTTTGTAATCAGCTATGTGTTTATTTGTGCTGACCCGTTAAATTCAATCTATCTGAAACACCCTGAGGTCCGTGCTACTCATGATGTAAAATAATATATGAAAAGTTAAGCGGGAGTGAAAACTTTAACATTGCTGTGTGTGGGTGTGTGTGTGTTGCGCCATTATTTCTTACCTTTTATATAATAGTGTAAGGCCAATTTCCTAGAGATCTACTACTTTTGGGACTTCTCTTCTCGTTTGTTTGTTTTAGAGAACATCCACAAATAAAAATTACTCTGTTATCTAACATTTCTAATGTTCTAGGAACATACAGTTCATTTGTTTAAACCTATAAACTGCCTGATCATATTTATTTACAGATATATTATCAATTCCATCTTTTTTATACCTAAAGCTGCCTAATTCTGTGAAAACTCCTTCAAAGAAAAGACTGTAATTGTGCGATTGATACTTAATATACCCTTTCTCTAAGGAAGACCACATATTACTTGGATTTTATGCAACAGTAGAACATGGAAGCTGATCCTGCTGCCATAATTGTACATCATCCTGCTCCTCTACTGTAATCTTAGGTCGCATGTGTCTGTGATTTTTAACCCTCACCGGAGTTGAAAAGGTCACAGCGAGCAGCCATACATGGGGTGGACGTGGGGGGCTTTGATCTCCTGATGGGCCGAACATCCTGTCAGCCTCCCTATAAACACCTCCATAGGGGAACAATTTACAGGGGGTGGGGTGGGGGAGTAGGCTGAAGTGGGTGGTAAAACTAGACCCCCAATCAAGCAGAAACCACAGGAATCCCTCTCTCTGCTGAGCTCACCCTGACTGAGAAGGAAAGGGTTAACACGTCCCTCTCTGTTATGGCCCAATTTTTTCATTGATCCAGACCTGAGGGCAGACTGGGGCGGGGGGGGGGCATAAAATGCTTTAATTTTGGTGTCTACAACAGCCCACCCCCTCTTATCTCTGTGTGAGCCACTTCCATGGGGCCTGTGGACACAGAGGCCAGTTTTAATAGTTTAGTAATGTTATTGTTCACAGGAGAAAAAAAATCACCATGTAGCTGTAGGTTTATTCATACAGAAATATTTGGTCAAGCAAATAACAGAGCGTTTAACTTTTGTAGCTGATAGAAGAATGATTATCTAAATACAAACTCCTGTAGATCAACAAATGTTGAATAAACTTTCAATTTCATCCATTCATTCTCTGTCACGCTTATCCCTGCTGGGATTGCCAGAGGTACTGGTGCCTATCTCTGGCTGTCAAAGGGTGAGAGGTGGGGTACACCGGAATATGTTGCATTAGAGCTAGATTTTAGTCTGATTTAACGTTTGGATACAGTGATCTGCATCTAAATTTTTTCTAATCCTAACATACTTAGTTTTTTTTTTTTTTTTTTTACCTCTGGCAAGATAAACCTTTGTGTTCATCCAGCATGTTCCCGTTTTCAGTTGCTTTAAACCTTTAAATGATGTAAAGGTTCATACCGGTACAAGCTGTCGACATGTTTTAGCCATTACATGTTTTCTGGCTTATGGGAAAAACCTCCTCATTAAAAGGGATTTTTTTTCTTGTATTTCCCATTTTAAAGAGTTAAAAGAATTGTCTGTATATGTCAAGATTAATCATATCCTGGAGAGGCATTATAATTAATTAAATTCAATTAAATCTACTTTGCTCTTCAGTACAAAAGTAAAATATTTGTATTTTAAATGATAGGAAATCCCTTTTAAAAATGCTATTCTTAAAAAAAAAAAAAAAAAAACAGTTCTGTTAAAGAAAATGGGTAAATTTTCCTCTTTTGCCAATTGTTTTGGTAGAGAGAACAAAAAGTTTCTTACTCAATCTAGTTTTGTTCTAAATAAAAATTTCATACAGGATAACATAGATTGTACTGAACAAACTTTCTGGGTGAGCAGATTAATACTTTTAGAGTTTTGGTTTTCACAACCTTAGATTTACAAAAAGAACCCAAAAAAATAATGTGAAACATAATCAACATGTATATTCATAATCTAATCAGGGGGAATAGATAGGAAACGTCTTTCCTCTTAAAATCTGATCCACTATCTGTAATGTTTCCCAGCCCCTGTCTCTATTCATGCCAGTAACTGTTGAATACTAGAGGTTTTTAAAAAGAACAAAGCATTTGGCAATAAGGTGTTTTTTTTAGTTTTCTTTTTTAGGAAAAATGGGACATTAGTTTACTAAAAGTATTTAATTTCTTCAACGAAGGACAAAACTGTCTTAAAACCTCTCAAATAGTTTTTTTTTCAACAGCTATCCTAGCTCTCTTTCAACTTTATCTGCTTTTTCATCATAATACTCATTGTACCAGATCATAAAATCATATAATGGGGTTATTTGTCAAAGTACACTAAAAGCAGAAGCACAAATTAAGATATAGCAGACCTAGAAACGTATGTCTTGGAGTTTATCACCATCTTACAGTTACATCTCAAAGTAATACAGCAAAAACCTGCAGGACGTGAGTATGAATATAGTTAGAGCTGAACAAAGATACAAAGGAACTATAAAACCATGTGTGAAATTCAACAGTGAGCCAGCAGAACATAATCTATTATATAAATAGAAAAATTACAATGAAAAAGAAAGTAATCCTTAAAACGATAAGCTAATGAAGCAGCACCTAGAGAAAATTAATAACGGGGAATAATAACAAAAAAACATATTAAAAAGGAAAAAATCAAACTATCAAGGATTCTGACTAACCAATACAGGTTTTTCAGCTTAACAGGTCAAACTCCATTGATATGGGGGGGGGGGTTAGTTAGTATAAAAGCAGCCAGAACAAAACTTCAATAGCATCATTTAATTTATTCATGTCCTCTAAAATCCACCTGTAGAAGAACTTGCCAACATCAATAAGCACAATAACAAAGGAAAAAAAATCTAAATGTTCAAGTCTTAGTTTAACTCTGAATATGAGCTCATATTTCTTAGATTTTACTTTTTAACATTCTATAACATTAGCCTTGCTAGACTCTCTGACCTCGGGGAAACATACCAGAGTCTCTGTTCAGCATGTTTTTCCATTTTGCTCTCCATCAAACGTTATCTGTAGAAACATTCTGCAGTTTGTCTTGGTCAAAGACTACCATTGCATCACATCGCTCTAAATGTTTTCTGCTTTCTTTTGTTGTTATTTTCAGTTAATTTTAATTGAGCTTTTTCTTCTAATGCACATTTTTCTGGCATAGAAGGTTTCATTGCATTGAGGCTTTAAAGTCAAGTAAAACAGAAAATAACACAAAATTATTATACAAAAATCTGTACTTTGTACAATTTTTAAGATAAAAAATATAAATAAATGCACTAAATTAGTTAGCATTATAGAAACTAGCTCACTTTGGTGACTTGGCTAAGAGTTTTAATGCAATCAGGAACATCTTCCTGCTCTCCTCTCAGCACTCTATAGACTTTGAAGTGCAGGTCATATTGTGTCTGAGAGATCTCCCCCTCATTTGTTTTCCTCTGAAGTTCCTGGACCCCCTGTGAAGCACTTGCCAGAATTTACAAGGTATGTAACTCACCCTGCTGTTGGTTTCTAATCTTTTGAATTGCTAAGATCAAACACAGAGGCACTCCTCAGGAGCATCTTGTGTAATTCACGTGGTCCTCTTTGTGTCAGATAACAGCCGGTCACAGCTGTGTGCAAGAACGCCTAAAGGGGCTGTAAAATCACGTCCCCACCCCATCCTTGCACCCAAAGAGAGGGTTAACCAGCAGTAGGAGATTTACAAGCTGATAGGAGGAACACTGAGAGTCTTAGATTCCTGAACGTCTTTAAAAACTAGAGAACTGTATTCACTTTATGTAACACTTTGGCAACCTTGATAAGCAGTGTTTAATTTTGAGGATGAAGGTAAAGATTCAATTATCTAGTATATTCTTCCCAGCTTTGCACAACTACAGATGGAACTTGTTGACCATCGCCTTTCCAGTCTGGCAAATAATCCTGATCGGTGTGAAGTCGGGACTTTGACTAATATCTAATATTAAGGCCTTTTAATCTGATCTATTGTTGCTCTGGCTGCATGTTTAGAGTGACGATGCCCCTGCAGCTGTTAACAGATTTTATTTCAGGATTACACTTTATCTATTTTCCTCCATATTTCCATCACTTCTGCTTAAACATCCCCACGGCATAATGCTGCCTTCAACATGTTTTACTGCTGGTGCGCTCAGGGTGTCAGAACAGTGTAAAGTTTCCAGCACATATGGCGTTTAAGTGTTGGCTAAAGATTAATATAAAACAAGAGCAAGGTTTTCCTTTTGTTTGCATTCAAACTTCTAACAAGGTTTTTTTTTTATGGATTTCTTCCAATGACATAAAATAAAAATAAATCACGGTTCAGCTGTGTTTCTGCTGTGATTCAATTATACACATATCAACTGTTTTTATTTAAATATTTGTGTATTTTGATGGATTTTTTGTAAAAAAAAAAATCTTGTATCCTTTGTATTAATTCCATTGGTCAGATTGCTTTGTGTTGACCTGCTAAATCTGGATAAAAAAATGGATAAAGGCTGTGGTTTTAAAGGAACAGCACATGAAAAAGTAAGCATGAATACTAAAGAGAACTGCACATTATTCATTTGCAGCTTTTTTTTTATAAATAAAAGCAAAATCAATAGCTATAAATCTCTTATGTTTTGTAGCAGCTTATTTCTCACTTAACAAATTTTTAATTAAATCTATTTTCAATCCCGGACATACGGAAGAGGATTAGGGCCACTGAAACAATAAAAAAAAGTTAACTGATTTTTAGATTTTATTTCATTATAATATGAGAGCAAAAGTCAGAATTCTGACTTTAATCTCAGAATTCTAACTTTTTTCACAGAATTCTGACTTTAATCTCGGATTTCTGTCTTTTTTCTCAGAATTCTGACTTTTTTCCCAGAATTCTGACTTTGATCTCAAAATTCTGACTGAATTCTAACAGCTAGCAAACATGTTAGCATCAAGCCATAGCCATGTCTGTTATAAAGACTAAACTAGCTCTCTTGTTTTATTCACTTTCTGCTCTTCGAATAATGAAATAGCATCACAGGGGACCCCTCGGGCACGTAAAAAGTTGCCTAATTCCGTAATTTCCCACCAAAGTGTCACTTGCCCTCTCAAACAACTCACATCTTTGTCAGTGAAGCCGAGTGGTTCCGAGTGGTCCCACATCTACTCCTTAATGGTGCCCATCTAGATTAAGATCCAAAATGTTGAGATTAAAATCAGAATTCTGACTTTTTCTGTCAGAATTCTGAGAGGAAAAGGTCAGAATTCTGAGATTAAAGTCAGTATTCTGAGAAAAAATTCAGAAATCTGAGATTAAAGTCAGTATTCTGAGAAAAAAAGTCAGAAATCTGAGATTTTTGTCAGAATTCTGATATTAAAGTCATAATTCTGAGAAATAAAAGTCATAATTCTGAGATTAAAGTCAGAATTCTGACTATTTTTCATATAATACTAAAATCTAAAAATATGCTAACTTTTTTTAATTTTCAGTGGCCCTAATCCTCTTCCATACGGACACTTTTGGTGTGTACTGCATATTTATTTTTGTTTTAACCATTTACATGAAGACATAATTTGCTGCAGACTGGAATCCCTTTTCTGCTTCTCTGTGATGCAGCCAATCACAGAGCAGGGCTGAAAGCTGAGGAGATGGGAGGAGAAAACTTAGAGCATTCAGGAGATTTTTTTTTTTTTTCCTTTGCCTCATCTGTTCAGAACATGTTATAGGAAAAGAAAGAGAAAAGGGTCCTGCAGTACATCCTGAGACAGAGGGAACTGTGTTGTCACTTGTTACATGGCGGAATGAGCTGAAAAAAGCCTTCACTGGTTTTCACTGGAATTCATTTACGGATTTTACGCATCTGGAAGTCGCCTTTTTTGCGTAAAAAACAACAATCACCGAGCTATGAAGGGAGAGAGGAAGGAGTGATTTTACGTGGTTTGATTATATTTGATGCTGTGGAGGTTTCTGGCTGGTTTAAGCCGATTATTGCGAGCTGAGGACGGGAAAGGAACGCTGAGAGAGACGGAGAGACGCACCGCGGTGACTGGAGGGACAGAGGGCTGTAAAGAGTGGAAACATGAGATTGATCACCATCTCTGCGCTTCTGCTGTTAAAAGTAAGTAAAATAGAAAATATTCTTATCTTTCCTGGTCCCTGCTGTCTGAAAAAAAATGTTTTCGATCCCTCTTATTTCTTAGTTCAGGTAATTATCCTCAGATGAGCCTGAGGAGTTTTTCTGTACGTCACTGATTCTTGAAACTTTGGCAAAAACATGTCCCACTAAGAAAAGTGCTAATTCTGTTGGAAAGAAATAAAATTTTCATGAATAAAAACAATCAAGGTTATAATCAGGGGGTCGTTTGCACAAATGCAAGGTTCTTTTAAAGTTTTTTTTATTTTATTGTTAATTTAATGATTATATGCTGGCCCATTGCCTATAAAATCAGTTGTCCTTGGATAGGAGATAATCATTTCAACTTGATTAAAAAAACAAAAAGTAATAATTGAATTGAATAATATCTTTACCAAATGAAAGGGTACATTTTAATATGTATTTAAAACTACAAACAGTGAGTTTTGAACAATAATAACCATTATTTTGTGATTGTTCAAAATGTGTCCCACATATTTGTCACCACCGTCAGATATTTATAAAAAGCAATAAAATCAGGCAACTAAAAGGTCAACTACATGCCTGAGGACCCCATTTTCAAATCTACAGCTCTACTGGATGCCTTAAGGTCACTCAAGCTCCTGTAGGTTTGCTATTTTCTCTTAAACTTGTTCATATTTTTTGGACACTGCTAATGTCACAACCATAACATGTCAACACCGTCTCTTTTGTATAAAAAATATTAGATTAGATTATGACATAAATGTTTACTTTTTAAGAAGAGGTCTAAAGTAGCTAGCAACAGAGGGGAAACAAGATGGCTAATGTGAACAACTCATGCATATCATGTGAAAGAGTAGGATTTTGTCACCACCGTCAGACGTCACCACCGTCAGATTTTCTGTCTGACGGTGGTGACGCACAGTCTGACGGTGGTGACAAAAAACTACAAATGGTTCTCAATGGAGGCTAGAAAATAATTGTTGATCTGTAATGTTTCATTAACCTCTTTTATATTTTTATTTATGTAATTCCGCCTAGATTTCTTACATATTGTATAACCCTAGGGGATGGGGTGTGCCTTCCCTGTCTCTCAATTCACTATTATGCCATGTTCATTTGGTTTACATCATTTGGGATGCACATAGTGCACCTACTACCTACCTACATAGCACATAGTATACAATATTCCTTGTAAGCTATGGCAGGGCAACATTTAACCAAATCTAACATTTACTGTAATTCCCCCCAATTTCATAGTCATTACACTCAACTTTGACTTTATGTATTTTAGGAAGTTATGGCTAGGAAGCAGCTATCTGTGAAGGAAAGAAGGAAAAGAAACAGGGAATATCAAAAGAAGTGTGAAGGCCTACTGACAAAAAACCTACATATATTCAAGCAATTACTCAGAAGGTTCAAAATTTCTACCATAATGCAGCACGAATGACAACTGACAAACAGGACACAATCACACGCAAGAAAATAAAGCATCAGAGAATGATTCTGACTGATAATGATATTTCTTAATTGTACCTTATATTCCTTGAAAAATATTTGTCACAGTGCTCATGATTGTTATTTTTTGGACCAAATAGTTAAATAAAGTTAATAAGCAAGAAACCATTGACTTGAATTGTATACAGTTTGGAATTGTATGTTGAAATGAGGCCACTGTCACCACCGTCAGTTCTAAAGTCACCACCGTCAGAGGGCTTTTTATTCGTTTTAAATTAATATGCTTGCAATATGTTTCTTCAGTGCTGTTCTCTCATTAAAGTAATGGTCTCTTTTAATACAAAAATATGTTTGTTAAATAAAAAAACATGACTTTTTCTATTTAGGCTTAAAGTAAACGTTATCTGATGTTAGATATTTTAAAGGACTACACATGATACAGTTAAAAAAAATTAACAAAAATGATTATTCAACATTTAACAGCATAAATGTGTGCTAACAATGCCAGATAAAGATTTAAAAACTCTAAATACTTATTAGACCAAATAAATAAAAAATAATTAGCTTTTTATTGTGTCTGATGGTGTTGACAAAAACAAAGTAATAACTGGAAAAATGCCTATTTTATGAAAGAAATACAAAATGAGGAGGTTGCACCTGTACACTGCTGAACAGCCAAGACCTTGGTCTATAGCAATATACCTTCAGATTTTGTAATCCAACTAACTTTTTATTTTCAAAATTAAAACCTGTTTTATCCAAATTCCCAAGAATCAGTGACACCCATCCCGCTGAGATTAGAGCGCACCATTGTTCCCAGAGGATTTCTGTTTCACACCACAACCATATGGATCACACCAGTCCTCTCCGATGGTGTGCTTGTTGCCAAATAGTAATAGCAGGATGAAAGTCATGTGTTGTATTTGGTTTCCTAAGGAACCAGCTACATTTTGCTTTATGTCTGCATGCAGAGGCGATTCAAGATTATTTGGGGCCTGAAACAAGCGTTGATCTGGAGGGTCCTCCTAACTTCTATCACTTAGATAAAAAATCACATCAAAATCAAAGTTAATTCTGTAATAGTAGATAAGCAATAAGGATTGTTCACCCCTCACCTTTATGCCTCAGTGTGTAAATCTAAAACCATCTCAAATGTATGAAATAATTGCATGTTTTTTTTTTTGTTTTTTTTTTGTGATGAATGATAGTAAGAAAGAAGAAATTTTATTGCAAGAGAAAGAATAAATAAATAATAAATATATGTTCTTTTTTATTTTATATGATTTAGTTGAGTCTGTTTTAATAGGCAGATTATGATTCCTTTTTACACAATAATACCTTTGCTTTTGGACATTATTTCCCGGCCTGCCATCAGACTGTTGAACTGTTGAAACTCTAATCAAGTCAAAAATTGAGACTCTGCATCACACTTGTAAACATGGTGCTTGCTCTACATGGCGATTTTTTAAATCCCACTAAATAGAACTCAACTCAATGTTTCTACTGCATTTTGCACCATATTCTTCGGATCACCGCTGCACTTTAAAAATGGGAATGTTCATTTCACTCTTGTAGGCTGCTCGTTCACTGTCGAAAAGCTGTATGCATTTAAATGTCCTTTTGTATACACTCAACAGCTCATCTAAGAATCAAATTCATGTTTAAATAAATGCATTATTTGTGACTAACCATTATAACAGAGGTTTATCCTTCTGCACTTTGTGGAGAAATGCAAGCTGGGATACTTCTAAAATGCAAACCTACTCTAAAACAAAACATGTTGTAGAAAAAGGGGAGGGCACTGCTTTGAATAATAATAACTGATAGCTCTGGGTCAGTTCAACCTTTTGGCTACTGTACCTGCAGTTTGTATCAGTAAAAAGAAACTTTTCACGGCCATGAATTCAAACCATTACTCCTCTCTTTTATTTTCCTTATGAAGTGTAATACTCTCATGACTCATGGAGAAAAATAATCCTAACATTCTGGAAGCTTCCTTTTCCCATTCGTTTGATCCCTGATCTCCCTGTGAACCAGTTGGCTCTTATATGACATAATATGAGCCCCCTGATCAAGCTAAACTACTTTAGATCGCAGAAACCCTCTGCTGGTAGATTTGATTCATGTGTCTGAAAACCACATTTCCTTACCAGACTATGAGGAGATTATAGAAAATTGCTTTAAATCGTTGGTTGTCAAAGCGGGTATGAAATTTGCTTTTGGTTAGTAGGAAACGACTCACGGCACATGGCTCCATGTTGTACTCTGAAACCTTCGGTATGAAATCAGATGAAAGCAGTAAAATAACGAAGGAAGAAAAGACCCTGTGCAGATCTTGTACTTGGGCTTAAAATCAAAACTAAAATCTTGTTGCTCTATTGATGCCTATGTTTGTTTCTTTTAGGCTCCAAACACCTGTGTTTGTTTGCTAATACAATAGACCCAAGTCTGAAGACCCCCATGGCTACAGATCGTCCTGGAAATGTGTGAAAATACCTCTGATGAAGTTTTTACTCCCAATCCTATCAAACCCACAGAGCCCACCATTATGTGCTGAGGGTCTAGCCAAAACACAAGGGCAATTAAGCACCATTATCCACCACATACAAAGTAAATGATCTATTTTATGATGAAATTATAGTTTGGTTGATGTTTTAATTGCATACTTTATCAGGGTGAAAAAAAAATCCCTTCCTTCTCTGTAAAAGAAAAAAAAATGGACTCTGGTTTTTCTCCCAAAGCTGGCAGCGTTGGAGCTCCTGTCTAGACTTGCTCTTCCCAGTCAGAGCACTTTACTCAGATTTAAGTATTTAGAAAACACCTCTCCTTTTTTAAAGATGGATATCTCTTGGAAAGGGTAATCTGCAATCTATGAAACCCAAGATGTTGCTTCTTATCTGTCAGATGTTCTTCACTTTCTTACCGGATGATTGGTGGTAATGCATCTCTCTTTATTCTAAGAATCATATTTCTTTTCACTCACCTGTAAATTATCACTGTTCCTTTTGAAAATACAGCTCATCAGGGTGTTTCAATCTGGAACAAAGCAGTATTTCTCATTCTTTGTTCTGTGTTATGGTGTTCTTTATTTATTTAATCATGAATCATTTGTCATCAGAATGGTTAAAGCTGACAATTTCTCCTTATCTTTAATTAAAAGTAGGGTTTTTTTTCTCCAGAAACTTAAAAACATTCATGTTCTAAAGTTTCTACCCATCCAAGATGGATGTGGAGCTTAAAATCTACGTCGGCCCCTGCTGTCTTGGCTTCAGAAGCTTCAGTCAGATGTTAAATTCTGATGGATCAGCATTTTATCACGGGGGGGCATCCTGTTGTGAGTCTATTTTTCCGTGGATCAGATCATGCCTTGGAACTCGTCACTTCCGAGAAGGGCATGAAATGTTTAACGTTCTGGGAAAGTTAAAGTGAACAGTGTGTCTGTGTGTGGGTCTGATCCGTGTTGAGTGAATGACTCGGGCAGTCGTGGCGTTGAGAGGCCCATTGAAAGCAGCTCTCCGCGGTGGTCCGCCTGGTCTCACTGGGGAATCCCTTTAGATCGCAGCTTTCTGCTTTAATGGAAGAGGCAACTGCAGTTCTTTCCTTCAGATTTAGAGCCCAGATACAACAGACAGGAAAAACTACTAAGAGGAATCATAAGCATTTAGGAATTAAATGATAAAAGGCTTTACTTTAAAACTTTATCAGAGGAAAAATAATTTTGTTACAACTAGAGCCAACCTAAACAATACCCCTGCTAAGGCCCTCCACATAATAATGCGGAAAATGTTTGAATAGTTTTTTTTTTTTATTAAAATGTTTAATTTGATGAAATTTAACAAAAACTGTAGATTTTAAACACATATTTTTGTGAATAATGATATTTCTATTAGTTTGGTGTATTTTTAAATCGGAGGGTTTGTGATTATCAAGATTTTACAGGTGAAAAAATTTATATTTATGGCTCTTTTAACATACAATCTGATGCTACAAGTTTCCATTTTCTTTATGTTTGTTCACAAATGTATTTCAGCAAAAAGGAAAGACAGTTAACTCTGATTGTCGTAAGCTAAGCCAGGTAAGCCCCCCTCTCCTAGATTTTAGCAGGTCTGAATAGAAGGGCTGTTATTGGAGGTTATGAGCTTATCAAAAATGATTTACTAATTTCCACCCACACACCCTGAACGGGTTGATGTTATACTTAGAAAACTTAATAAAATCTATACAGAATAATACATATAAAGTCAGTTCATTCACATCATAAAAGCACTTTCCACACTCACTCACAGTGTACTGCGGTCATATTAGTCATTCAGTGTGTACAGGTTTGCTTTGATTTGCACTGTTTGGTCAGGCGTGTAAATAGACTATAGTTTGTGCTTGAAATGATTTCATTTACCGGTAGTTAGATCTCACTGCTAGTGATGTTTTTTACAGGAAAACGGGCCTCATCCTTGGTTTTACACTATGACACTATAACTATTTTCTCGATTCTTTAATATGCTCTTGTATTTGCCAAATATTTTCTTTTTATGGTTAAATGGATAAGTTAACCAAATTCAAGGCAAAAGTGTTAAAACAACTCCTAATCTTTTCTTGACACTTTGCATCCCTGAAAACAGATATAAAAATGCTTTTATAATTAATTTTCCCTTAAAGGTTTAGCTGCTTTTTACTTTTAGTTTTGCCCAAATGTATGTACCTGACTACGTTTGCAAGCAACAAGTGTTTAGAATATAGAAGCAGGACACGTGAAGCGGAAAAGATAAACAGTTCTGGAAAAAAAGATCTACTGGAGATGAGATATATGTCTGAAAGTCATGTCTTGAATAAAAAGGGCAAATCATTTCGCAACTAGGTGACAAAGGACCGTAGGGATTCATCATTCTTCGTCTGATCTGCTACTATGTGCCTCTGCTGTTTCCATAGAGTTAACTATAGAGAAAGATTCCTTCAATTATAATACCTGTTTGACAGATCAAGCCTTGTAGCCAAAAAAGCTCTCATGAAAATAGCTAAAAAGCAGATGCATCTATTATAGTTTCCCATATCTTTTGATAAAAGAAAAAAAAAAATGTATTCATATTGAGACATGAGAAAAATCTCAAATGTTTGAAGATGTCGGTTAAGGCAATTAATCAGATTGCAACATTATTGAAATGAATGTGGTTAGCTCAGAGGGAAAGGGAAAAGAAGTTTTGTTTGTACATGATGACATGACTGCGGCTTCTGTGCTTTAAATGCAACAAATTAAATGTTTACATCGTTTTAATCGATATTTAAAAAGCACCAACTGTGTAGTTTAACTCGTGAGATTGAGATAAAAAAACAACAACTAAATATTCCTGCGAAATTGGACGTATAAGGCAGAAGATTATTATTAAAATGAAAAGGTTTGGTAATTAGAAAAGCAAATCAAGCTAGGACATGAAAAAGACATTAGAAACGGAAAGCTGTTGCAGTTTGTGGTACATTCGGTGTGCTAGAAGTTTATTTTATCAGACAAAAATGTTTCTGTCTCACAATCTAAGGTTCTCTGCCATTAAATATAAAGACTAATGTTTATTTTCTGTTTTTTAATTTCTCCTTTGTCTAAAAAACTGAATTCCTTTTGTGAATCATGATTTAGGATTTAAAATGTCCCTTTTTTGTCAATTATGCAAATATATAACTGTAAGTTGTTCATTTGACAGAAAGTTTATTTGCAGCTCTGCAGTTTTTATTTTTTGGTCCATGATTACAGGAACTAATTTAGGAATATTATTTCATGCATCCATTAGATGCCTTTGGGCTCCACCCAGAAGGTACTGTATGTCTTGTTATTCTTAGCATGTAAATACCCAGCAGGTATGACTTGTTGTAAATGATGCATAAAACAAATTATGTTGAACAAAATGAGGCTGACTTTCTTCTTTTATAACTAAGCCTCACTTGGAGGCTGACTGACTCGTTTTTATAGATGAAAGTCGTTTCCTGTTTCATGTGAAATGTTGGTATTTCAACATATCTTATCTAGTGATAAGTCATTTAAGAAAAACAAAGCAGAAAAAACTTTAGATTTTTGCGAGTAAATGAGTCCAAGTTCATTTTTGTCTAATTCCTTTATGGCATTTCCTCTTTCTTTTCTTATAACTTCAAACTTGCAATATTGTCCTCATATGGTAATGCTAAATCTCGTACATATTATAAATTCTACCGTTTTCCTCCAGGGGGGCATGCATTCAATCTGTAATTCCAGTGTCAAACTTTTAGGCGGTTCCTTCTCTTAACTGAGCTGCTTTTTCTAAAAATCCAGGCTGTAGGTAAATATAAAAAAGCGCCATCGCCAAATATTTACCAAAGCAGATTTTAGTAGCTAAAGATGTTGGCAAGTGTTTGAAGAAGAGCCTCATCTGTCACATGAAAGAGGACCAGCTGTGATGCTTTTTTTAATTCGTTTTGCTCCCGCGTCCCTCTGCAGTGAGCTAACTTCAGACTGGTTTGTTCCTGCCTGATCCAGCCGCCCTGATACCATAATTCCTCTGATCCAGGATCTGTGGCGGCAGTTCAGATATCACCGACTCCTCATTGATGCACAGCAGTCGGACTGACTGTTGTTGTTGGAACGATGTGAACCTCGTTTCAAAGCTGTCGTATAAGCTTGGAACATTTTAGTGTTTTGTGACCAGGGGCATTGCTCAGTGTGTGTGCATCACTGGTGGGGTTTTAATGGAGGCTCTACAGGTCCACACATGTTCCCTGGAGCTTCCTGGCAGACTTCAGAGACAAAGAGAGACATCATCATCATCCCTGAGCTGTTTAGATGCTGTGTTACCCCTCAGCAGGAGGTTAGTTGTTAGACATCTGTTTGCTGAGGTCAGGCCCCCAGGCAGAGGGGGCCAATCACCTTTTTAATGTTTGCATATTTAAAATACCATTGCACTGAGGCTGCAGGCTGTTGGTGAAAAACTGATTTTCATAGACACACCTGGAGGGCTTACTGCCTTCAAAGGAGGGGCCTCTTTTTCCAGACGCATCAGTATTGCCCTAAGAAACCTGTTAGAGGCTACAGAATGCTGGGCCAGATGTTCGTCACCTTACAGCAGAACAGCAACCTCAAGTATCCAGTAAGAGCTTCAATGACATTCATGACTTATTAGATATTTTATTGCCATGATGTATACGATGAAACTCAGTTTGGCATATCTAGAGAGAGCTGGGAGTGCTGCGGTCTTAGGTTAACTGTCTAAAGTATATTGAAATGTTGTAATGGCCCTGTCACTGCATTCCATGTTCCAAAACCAACATTTTCCTGAAGTCTGTGGGTGGCAACAGGTGGTTTATTTTTTTATAACCACTTCTGACTTGAAAATTATGTTTTTTATTTTTTCAAGCAAAAAATAAAGAATTGAAAAAATATAACTAAACATATCGCACAGCTTAGATAAACATGAAAGTCAACTTAATCTGATGTTGGAGCCTTCAAACATGATCAAAAGTAGTCAAAAAATCTTTTTACACCCTCTCATCCTCACAGCAGAAATATAAACAAGAAAAAAAACATCTTCACTGCCCCTGCCGTGTGTTCCTGATCTCTAGATTTAATGGACGGGTCTAAAATTAATCAAAACAATTCCAAATATAAAAATTGTAGATCTTGGATTCAAACTATCTTAAACATTTTCGGTCAACAAAATAAGACAAAACAAACATGAAGCTGTGGTAAACATTTAAACTAAACAGCTGCCTGTGTCATATCTCAGGCTGGCCCTCTCCAGTACCCACTTGCAGATAAAGCCTCAGAGCACTTGTGTAAACTGAAGCAGATGGAAAGATTAGAAAAAGGGTTTTCTGTTTTCAATGTGCCTTTGATCACGATGGGGTGGGAAGGCTGGGACTTCTCCCTAAAAAGCTGATGTCATTGTTTTTTAACTTTACAGGATGTACTAAAGCAGGGTTTCTGTGATCTGATCACACAGAAATAGACTAGAAAATGGGCTGAAATATACAGTTTTATATGTATTGTTCTTTCCTTAAAAGCAGCAAGCTTATCTTACTAATTTGTGTCTTCCCTAGGTTGCTCTTGGAGAGGCTTGTGCCAGTGGCAAGTTCACTGAATCGGGACACTGCTGCAGATTGTGTCCTGCTGGTTATGAAGTGGAGGTAGAGTGTGGGAAGGAGGATACCAAATGCAAACCGTGTCCAAAGGGTAGGCACTAACAAACGCTCTCTTTTTACAGCATGCTGCCACCATATCCCAGCTGTTTTTTTTACTTTGTATATAGTTTTTTTGCTTATCTGTCTTCTTTTAAATGTAATTACCATCAAATACCACCTTTATAAGCACTTTAAATAGCAGTAATACAATAGCAGTAAAGTAGACAAGTGAAAAAAGATAAGTTAAATTTACATATGACAAAAAAACACATACATTAATTAAAAGTAATACATAGAAAATAATTAAAAAAATTATTGGACTAGAGGAACTTTAAAGCAGATCCTAAAACGTACAGTCAGCCAAAGAAGAGAATATTTTACCTCAAACAAAATGGTCAGACCATTTTGTTTCAGGTAAAAGTCATCCTTTTGCACAACCTGCATGTGCCTAATAAATGCATCACTAACTGCAAAATATAGAGATTTACAGATTTAGAGATTAGAGATTTACAAATGCATGGATCCCTGTTTCAAAATGCTGCCTCGGAGTAAAAGGCTTTATTTTAGCTACTTGCCTGAAATAGGGAAAATTACCCTCCTAATCATTTTTCCCCCCAAGTTTAAGTTTTGCGTCCATCTTTAATTCGAGATTTTTTAAGGTATTAAGCCAGAAAAACAAGATCTACAAGGGGCACAACACTGAACCCCGTGGGACCCCCGACTGAAGGCAGAGGACACAAAATCCAAAGTTTGATTGAGAAAGTTTGCTCTGCCAGATAAAACCTAAATCACTGCAATGCAGCAGCCCAGGGGCCCACACACTGCTTCAAAGGAGAAATTCAAATACTAGGATCAACTGTTTGAAAGGCAGCAGTTAAATCTAGGAGCACAATGATAGCACTGTCAGCTAATTAAAGCACATTTTATGTTTAGTCTGTTTCTCTTCTTTAGGTTTTACTAAGTCAAAAGCAATTTGCTCCAGTGGACAGAGTCTTTGAAAAGGCTTCAGTTTTCTTAGTCTCAATTTATAACTTAAAACGTCTTAAAACCAAACACTCTTTTGTGGGTCTTAAATGTAATATTGTCACATCCTTAATTTGTATATTTATTTTTTTAAAGCCAGTCTTCGCTGAAACTTGTTTTGTTTTACGCTAAGTGAAGAATAGCATCTGTGCTCTTGTTGTGTTATCCACTATTGATCTTAAAAGGTTAATATTCATACAATACTAATAACACATTGATTTGGGTTAGAGCTGAAGAAATGCAAGCTTAAGTTTAAGAGGCTTGATTTAACGTGCTTATTGTAAAAAATACTTTTATTTCACGTTTATCTTTCACATATTTTATATAAAAAAGAGCAATATGCTATCCATTGACAGTTTAAAAGTAGAGATGCACCGATCCAGTTTGGTCCAATCCCATTTGATACCGATACCTGAGCGTATCGGCCGATATCTGATACCGATATGATTCAACTGTTGAATGAGTAAACCATATATCTTGCTATGTTTGTAAAGTTTTAGCCTTAAAATAAACATGGTTGAAAATGAAGGCAGATATAAATGTACTTTATATTATTTTGTTAACAAATAAGCAGCAAAAATAAAGAAGTAACATTTGGAGGTAAGGTGCACTGGATCGGATCCTCGATATCTAATATCAAATGAATGAAATCCAATCAAAGTATCAGATTAGTGCACCTTTGTTTAAAATACCTTTCTTTCATATACTGGCATTTAATTTTTATTTCTATTTTCTTCTTTTTCTGCTGGATAATGTTCAAATATTTCCAGTGTTGCGTGTATTGTTGGTTTCCACTTGGCAGGAATATATTTATCAACTACAAATCCCTTGTTGAAAAGATTAAACTTTTGTAAGACATTAAATGAAAATAAAAATCTATTTGAAGTTGAAAGGCTGCCATTTTTTTGTCATTCCCCAGGACAGATGATATCTCCCCATATTTGCATTTACAGCATTTAGGGAAGATGAATCAACTTTTTTCATCTTAGAATAGTATAAATTACCATTAGTGTCTTTAAGATGACAGTCCACTGATTATTCTTTTAAACTTGTCTGTCCAGGAACCTTTTCCCCATCTGAAGGCCTTGAAGCTTGCCGTCCTTGCAGCACGTGTCCACGTGGTGTCCCCATGTTGGCTTCTTGCTCAGCATCCCAGGACATCCAATGCGACTGTGACACTGGCTATTACTTTTTGAGTTCCTTATCTCTGTGCGCGCCCTGCTCCAAATGTGGGCGGGGTCAGGGGGTGGTTCGGGAGTGCGACCATCAAGGAAACAGGGTTTGCCAGAAGTGTGGCCCGGGAACCTTTATGGAGGATGATTTCCATACCAAAGTGTGCCAGCTTTGCACTCAGTGCTCTGAAGAAGAGGTGGAGATCCGAGCCTGTTTGTTCTTTTCTGACACTGTCTGCTTGGGTGAGTGATATAAAGAGAATAACCTCTGTGAGGAAACGTGACTCTTGAGATTTAATTCTGATATTGGTGTAACAAAAACTCTTGGAAAAAAAGTTGACTTTGTATCCAGTTAGGATAAAATTGTAGATAATCTTTGCAATTAAAACTAGACTATTAATATAACAATACGTTTTTTTCTGGTGTTTAGCAAAAACTCACTAAAAAAGTCAATTTTCTTAAAAGAAATTGTTATTTTTTTATTTCATTCTGTGGAACATTTGAGTTGAGAATTTTACCCACAATAGAAAACCACATTAACTATAAATAACTTTACTTTTAGGTAAAGCTTTTCCAATAAAACATGCATCCAGGTTAGCATGGTTACCAGTACTTGTACCTATAAATAAAGAAATGCATAACTGTAAAGAAATGCTTAAAACTTAAGTTTTTTTAATCCCATAAAACTACTCTTTGGCTTTAAACCCAGCTGAATGCTTTAGACTTTTTTTTTCTGTTGACTGACATTGTAAATGATAAAGAATCGACATCAGGGAAGATTTTTAATCCTGACAACTCCACAGGACCCATCCAGACATCCCCAGTAGATTTGGTTCCAGCTGGATAAAACCTGTTACACTCTCTTGCTTTGATGACCTACTGTTTACCACACTGGCCTCTAATAGAGATTTAATGTGTTTGGAAGCTTTGTAAAATACAAGACCTGCACTACAAAGAGTGCCATCTTTCAAGGTATGATGCTGGAGGTCACAGCAGTGGGAAATAAAAGATAAAACATCAGTGTAATGTAGAGAAGATGAGGCAGACCAGGGCATGTGGTCAGCGCCTGCATCGACAGCTCAACTCTAATGGAGAAATTACATGTAGCCTGCGCCGCTTTAGTTAAGTTTGTATTTGCAGATTAAGCACCAAGAAACATGAGACCTTGCAAAAGCCCTTTTTATTGTTGCAGTCCAATTGATTGAAGGTCTTTAGGTCAAATGCTCCTGAAGGCCAAGAAAAGCAGCTGACCTTGACAGCTTGTGATTAGACCCCCGAATGGCTACATTGCTCCCTTAGACAGGAGTTATCTGCACTTACTTAGAGTCTGTGTCATGACCCTTTGACCCCACTCAGGTTGGCCAAGTATCCTCTACTGTTTGATCCAGAAATAGCAATACAGCAGGAGGGTGGATGCAGCTTAAAAACAGGGGCAATGGAAGGTTAAAAAGCCCAGGGGATCAACCAGCATGACAGAAGCTATCTTCACATCTGGTCCAAATATGTTCTGTTGAGCATGTGTGCCGCTGATCCTTGATGTGTCTTCTTTTCGAACAGATAAGCAACTGCACATTTTGTCTCGCCCTGCCTTGAACATCCCAAACGGGACATTGCTGATGGAGGAGGGGGAAGGTGGTAACCCCACACTCGTACCGTCCAAGCTGACCCCTCAGGACGAGGGGGACAGCAACAACATTCTGGCCTATGTGTCTGTTCCTGCTGCTGTGGTGCTCGGCTTGTTGGTTTACGTGGCTTATAAATGGTGAGTTTGTCACTCTGTTTATGTCCTGTAATAAGGAGGGCATGACTGGCCATGGGACATGCGCTAGCTTAAACTGCTTTCGTACACTTCTCTCAGTTGGCAGTCGTGCAAACAGAAGAAGGCTCTCTCCAAGGCCCGAGTGGCAGAGCTGGGAACATCTCCAGAAGCAGAAAAGCTCCAAAGTGACAGTGGTGTTTTTCTAGACACATACAGCCTGCAGGATAACCAGCCTAGCAAAGGTAAGCAGATCTGGGTACACCTTCTAACTGCAAATCCTCGCAGCTAATGTCTCCCTCTGGAATACTCTTAGCGCTAAACAGAACAAGACCAAATGAGCTATTATGACAAAAAAAAAAAAAAAAGAGAACATTATAGTTTGGTTGAAGTAACAAATAATAGTGAAAGTGAAAGCCCTTTGGGAAACTCCTCCAACTCCCATTGTCATTGTGACATAGCGCACACAAGTGAACACTGCACACTATGAAATTGCATTTATGCCTCACCCGTGCAAGGGGGCAGCCCTCAATGGCGCCCCAAGGGAGCAGTGTGGCAGGACGGTACCATGCTCAGGGTACCTCAGTCATGGAGGAGGATGGGGGAGAGCGCTGGTTAATTACTCCCCCCACCAACCTGGCGGGTCGGGAGTGGAACCGGTAACCTTTGGGATCCAAGTCTGACACCCTAACCGCTCACCCACGACTGCCTCCGCTCACCCACGTAGGAGAATAGAGATATGACATAGCAAAGAGAGGAAATGTGGTCCTTCACATTCTAAGGTTATAGCAGCACAACTTTAGATGTAGCTCAGGATAACCCGAGTCATTCAAACCATAAGCTTCTTTTTCTAGGATTTCTTTTGTAAAGCAGCTGGAAAATAATCTTTTTGAAGAATATATAATTATTATCATATGGAAATGTTTGAAGAATTTAATTTCAAACCATTTAAATATTAGGATTTTCCCCCAAATATATCAGTTTCTAAAGACAGTGGATATAATGTACCTTTGACAATCTGGGGCGACAGCTGTGTCTTTACCAGAGCTTTTAGTTTAAGGATAGATAGAGTGGTGGGTTGGAACTCATGTGGTTGTGAGCTCAAACCTCAGATCTTTGATTTTCTATTGGTTACAATCTGTGTCTGATGGTACAGAAAAAAAAATCTATGACAAAAGTTGTAATCCCCTTTCTAAAGATCTGCTGACTTTACCAGATAGGGTGTTAGAATAGCCAATTTCTATCTGTTACCATATGAATATGTTTGGCTCTAAATCAGAAGGCATGATCTGATTTGCTTTAATCTGGATGACCAATTGCTGGGTCATTATTAAGAACTCCTAATTTAGACTTTCATTAAGTGTGCCCCTTTGATTGATCGAACTGGTATATCTTCCTGATTCATCATCATCATATTTGTCTACCCACAGACTGCTGATCACTTTAGTCACACCAACTCAATCAGGAAGTGACAACATCTGCTTGAAACGTAAAATTTGCTAGATTTTATCTTTAAACTGTAGTTCAACCTTTCCCGACCAAAGGTTAGGTTGTGACATTCTCATACAATTGTCTAGTGGTAAAGTGTGGAACAGGGCTGAGCTGCAAGGGCCGTCCAAGGCCACTTGTGGCTTTAATTTTTTTTCTTCATCTGTTTTAAGTATCAATATAAATTGTCTCTACAATTATGTAACAACATTCATTTTTAGACATTTTATCTATTGTGTCATGAAAGTGTTGAACTTTCAATTATAATTGTAGTACCATATCTTGATCAGCTTGATACCTCTTAAAAATGAAATTTTGCATGTCTGCAGTACTTTAATTTGAAATCTCCATAAAGATTTTCAGTTTTATGGTTGGCTCTGGACAGTAAACACCATTCCAGTAGCTATTGCTGCAACGCACTGCTGATTTGGGTCATGTGCTTGAGATGATTTACTGATGTAGATGGTGTTGATCAGATTTATCTTTATATCGTTACATTCCTCAGCTAAACTGTGCTGTTTTCTTAGTCGTCCAAATTCCTCTGATAAAAATGTCTCCCCAATGCCCCCCTCTGTTCTATCTATCAGATGTTTTCTAATAGGTGCATCAAAATAACACATTTTGTTGTAAGCCCCTATTTTCCTCTCATACTTTGTGCGGAGTTTTTCTGGCATTTTGAAAACTTTTGAGTTTATTTTTTATGCAAGTAATTAATGAAATAAATATAATAACAGTGCATATAACCATGTAAAAGTTTTATGTAATAAAAACAAAACAAACTATGATATACGGTAGGTACTTAGAAATACAGGCATTTTCAGGTCCACACTGATTTACAGTCAGAGCCTTTAAAAGAAATGCAAGTAAATGGCAAATAATAGATAGTCTGACAAATAAACAATGCGAGCAGTGCATCATTACGCACAAAAATGAAATAAAGTTTTTTTTATAGTGAATAAGATAAAACCTCTGCAGGTTACTGGCATAAAGATCTACTGGGGTTTTAAAGGGAGAAAATACTAAACCACTAACAAGTCTTTTTATTGAGGCACCAATTCTTCCGTAAAAGCTTTTTCTCCTTCGGTTCCTAAAACCAACAAGCTGCACAACTGATCTCCCCCTGGGTAAAAATAAAGGAAAAAGCTTTCAATTAATACTTGCTTTATTTTCTGACTGTGATGGTAACTGTTTATGCTGTTTAAAGCTTTTCAGTTTTTGCTGTTGCTTTAGGCATTGGGATAATCAAAGGAGTTAATATTTCCTAACTTACTTGAACGTTTCACTGTCTTTCTCACTTTAGAGAGTGGTCAGGAGAAATTAGCTTCTGTGCCACATTTTTAATGGAAGCAGTTACATGTTATAGGAACTGTTAGTTGTAACATTGTGTTCACTAATTTTGAACTAATACAGGTTACATTAAGGCAACTCTGTGATTTGACCCAAGTATTAGTTCAATTTGAAATTAAAGTGTATTTTTAGGTATCTATAAAGCAATTGTTAGTCTGCTGGTCCGAAGTGGTCTGGTATCATATTTTAAGACTGTTTCATTTTGCAACAGTGCTGTGTTGCTTGTTGCTTTCAGGGGCTCTAAACCTGGAAGTTACAGGTCTAGCATTCAATGTTGTTTTAAAAGAATAGTGCAAAATGAATATCATGTTTTTTGAACTAATACAGGTGCTGGTCATAAAATTAGAATATCATGAAAAAGTAGATTGATTTCAGTAATTCCATTTAAAAAGTGAAACTTGTATATTATATTCATACATTACATACAAACTCATATATTTCAGATGTTTATTTTGTTTAATTTTGATGATTACAAATGACAGCAAATGAAAATCTCAAATTCATCATATCAGAAAATTAGAATATTACTGAAGACCAATAAAAACAAAGGATTTATAGAAATGTTGGCCAACTGAAAAGTATGAACATGAAAAGTATGAGCATGTACAGCACTCAGTATTTAGTTGGGCCTCCTTTGGCCTGTATTACTGCAGCAATGCGGCGTGGCATGGAGTCGATCAGTCTGTGGCACTGCTCAGGTGTTATGATAGCCCAGGTTGCTCTAATAGTGGCTTTTAGCTCTTCTGAATTGTTGGGTCTGGTGTATTGCATCTTCTTCTTCACAATACCCCATAGATTTTCTATGGGGTTAAGGTCAGAAGAGTTTGCTGGCCAATTAAGAACAGGGATACCATGGTCCTTCAACCAGGTACTGGTAGCTTTGGCACTGTGTGCAGGTGCCAAGTCCTGTTGGAAAATGAAATCTGCATCTCCAAAAAGTTGGTCAGCTGCAGGAAGCATGAAGTGCTCTAAAACTTCCTGGTATGTGGCTGCGTTGACCCTGGACCTCAGAAAACACAATGGACCAACACCAGCAGATGACATGGCACCCCAAACCATCACTGACTGTGGAAACTTTACACTGGACTTCAAGCAACGTGGATGAAGTGCCTCTCTTTTTTTCCTCCAGACTCTGGGACCTTGATTTCCAAAGGAAATGCAAAATTTACTTTCATCAGAGAACATGACTTTGGACCACTCACCAGCAGTCCAGTCCTGTTTCTCTTTAGCCCAGGCAAGACGCTTCTGACGCTGTCTGTGGTTCAAGAGTGGCTTGACACAAGGAATGCGACAGCAGAAACCCATGTCTTTCATACGTCTGTGTGTGGTGGTTCTTGAAGCACTCACTCCAGCTGCAGTCCACTCTTTGTGAATCTCCCCCACATTTTTGAATGGGTTTTGTTTCACAATCCTCTCCAGGGTGCGGTTATCTCTCTTGCTTGTACACTTTTTTCGACCACATCTTTTCCTTCCCTTCGCCTCTCTATTAATGTGCTTGGACACTGAGCTCTGTGAACAGCCAGCCTCTTTAGCGATGACCTTTTGTGTCTTGCCCTCCTTGTGCAAGGTGTCGATGGTCGTCTTTTGGACAACTGTCAAGTCAGCAGTCTTCCCCATGATTGTGTAGCCTATAGAACTAGACTGAAAGACCATTTAAAGGCTTTTGCAGGTGGTTTGAGTTAATTAGCTGATTAGAGTGTGGCACCAGGGGCCATCAATTTTGAACCTTTTCACAATATTCTAATTTTCTGATATGATGAATTTGAGATTTTCATTTGTTGTCATTTGTAATCATCAAAATTAAACAAAATAAACATCTGAAATATATGAGTTTGTATGTAATGTATGAATATAATATACAAGTTTCACTTTTTAAATGGAATTACTGAAATCAATCTACTTTTTCATGATATTCTAATTTTATGACCAGCACCTGTATTTCCCAGAGCAGTTGATAACTGTACACCAAGGTCCAGGACCCAAGTTCTGTTTCTGAGGAAATAGTGCGACCCTTCTGAAGTCACTGAGGAGTTATGTATATACAAGTTCCAACCAAAGTAAAGCTAAACAAGTAGGCAGGCAAACATCAGCAGGCAGAGTGATGTAAACAAGGGAGAAAGAAATGACTGTGCCCACAGATAAACACTGGTGTGCAGTGAAAGAAAACAACAGTGGGTTAAAGCATAGCTTGATGATATACGTTTCAAAGTGAAATCTAAATATTAAAAATAAACACCTTGACATCAGACACTCTTTCTTTTTCATTATTCATCCTGATTAGTGAAGCAGTAAATGCAACATTATGCTAAGAAATGCTTGTTTTTCACACAGGTACTAAGAGAGACAGCAAGTACGACAACCGCCTTTACATCAACCTGCCACCGAACAAGCAGGAGGAGGTGGATCGCCTTCTGCAGGAGGCGAGCGGCCGCGGATGGAGGCACCTTGGTGCTGCGCTGGGCTATGAACCCGAACAGCTGGACCTGTTCGGACGTGGCGAGGCCCCGACACACACACTCCTGTCTAACTGGGCCCAGAAAGAGGGCTCTACTCTGGGACTGCTGAGCTCGGCGCTGGCCCGCATAGAGAGATCCGATGTGGTGACGGCGCTTAACAGCAGCCAGCAGGGTGCCTCTGTCGTCTGACACACTAGAAGGCCCTGCAGTGACAATCACAGACTCAAGTGAGGGATTTAAAGAGGAAAAGGAAGGCACTCGGTTTTCAGATCTTCTGTCATGGTTAAATGGAGTCTCTTTTAACTATGTTGACAGATCTTTTTTTGTTTTTCACTAGAATACCAGCAATACTCTAAAAAATATATCTTTTTTTTTTTTGCTTTATTTGAACTGTAGGAGAGAAAGCCATGCTGCGTGGAAACAGAATATTTGTCTTGTATTGCAGGGCTCATTTCACTGAATATACAGTGCTGTAAAAAGAATTCCTACCATAAGGTTTTTTTTCTTTTTGTTGGTTATATTGAAATGTTTTTAGATCATCAAATACATTTTAATATCAGACAAAGATAAACCTTAGTAAATACAAAAGCAGCTTTAAAGAGAGGCTTCGGTTGATTAAATGAAAGTATTTTAAATCTGGCCTATTCAGAAAATGTAAATGCCCCCTTAATCTAAAATATGGTTTTTCAGCGTTTGACCAAAACACATACATGATCCCAGGATTTATTTTATTTCATTTTTCAGGAATGTTGTGTTAGTTTACACCTTAACAAGATGTACAACTTATAAAAGCTACCAGAGGAAACTGACCTTAAAGGAATAGTACACCCAAAACATGATTAGCCTTCATTTTCTACTCACCCCCATGCTGAACAACACTCTGGAGTACTTTTTTGATATCTCAAATGCATCTGGAGATCTGGGAGGCTTCTTGCTGTCTGCTGACATTCAAATAATGGAGGTCTATGGCGCCCGAGACAGAAAGGTCCATAAAAGTCCATAAAAACATGTCAATATTCCTCCATACTGCTCGTCCAATGTATTCCAAGTGTCCTGAGTGGGTAGCGTCCATAATTTACTCGAAACGAAGTCATTTAGAATGTTTTTAGAGCATAAACAGTAGTGTATAGGATTTCCTAATAGCGCCCCCATGCGCGCTCACGGCGCTACGGAAGCCGGCAGACCAAACCAGCGCATTCAGCTCGGCAAAGAACTCATGCTCTTCCTCAACACTGAAGTCCTCAGACATTTTTCTTTCGTTGTTTCTTTCTTTGCACAGGTAAACAGCACATTTCTTCTTCTACGCTTGCATTATCGGCAGAGCAGACGCTGAATGCGCACTTCCTTCCGGTTTGGTCTGCCGGCTTCCGTAGAATCGTGAGCGCGCATGGGGGCGCTATTAGGAAATCCTATACACTACTGTTTAGGCTCTAAAACGTTCTAAATGACTTCGTTTCGAGTAAATTCTGGATGCTACCCACTCAGGACACTTGGATTACATTGGACGAGCAGTATGGAGGAATATTGACACGTTTTTGTGGACTTTTGTGGACCTTTCTGTCTCGGGCGCCATAGACCTCCATTATTTGAATGTCAGCAGACAGCAAGAAGCCTCCCAGATCTCCAGATGCATTTGAGATATCAAAAAAGTACTCCAGAGTTTTGTTCAGCATGGGGGTGAGTAGAAAATGAAGGCTAATCATGTTTTGGGTGTACTATTCCTTTAACTGAGGTAAATGAGGTCTGCAGTGCTTTACATGGTGTTTTGTGACGTCTTAGATGAGTCAGGTACACACTATGGTTTGCCACCCTGTCCTGTCAAAGTTTATCTCTGTTCACTATGCTTAACAGGAGACAAAATAAATTAGACTGAAAGTTGTCAGTTGATCAGTTGATGTAAAAAATACTTACATCCTCCCACTTCTGAAATCAAAATTTCGTCCATAGTTGTTAGGGAGGTTTGGGTTATTAAAACTGACCCAAAAATTAAATTAACCATATTTGATTCAAATGTGAAAATGCATATTTTCACATGCAGCCAGGTTGTTTGGGATGGGTTATTTTTTCCTATTGAGAGGTCAAATCTGCATTTAAAAACAGAAAGTTGTATTAACTCTAGTTATCTTTTTTGATAACAAAATTTATTGGATGATATTTAATATTTGAGTGGGACCACAGGTAAAAAACTGCAAAGAGTTCAGGTCAAAATACCCGAACAAGCTGCTCACTACGCCCACAGTGTACGAATGTCACTCCTAGCCATATAAGGGTACTACGAGACCGTTAACAAAAGGCACCCAAATACTGTAAATACTCAGTAAATAAAGGTGCTCCATGTGTTATTATTATAAGGCATCTGCATTACCTGAACAAAAAAATCTGATCATTTCCAATGTCAACACAAATGATTTCTCTTGAAGTTGTTGTATATTGAACCCCTTAGCTAAACATGTTCATCTTTGGTAACCTTTTTTTAATTAAAAACTTTTTAAATGAATCCTTTTCTGCTCTTAATTTTACTGAAAAAGCTACCTTTTATGCTGATGAAGGTTCTTTTTGCATCAAGGATCCAGCAATGATGTAGACATTTGAATTGAGAAAGCTTCCTGGAGAGGTGGCGAAACGTCTTCAAACCTTGAAAACCAAGTCCAGTGGATATTTTTTGAATTTTTACGGGACTACCTTTTATGGTTTCTTTTCTGTGCATATACATTTACTAACAGAGGAACGTTCAGTCAATAAGTTAAGAGATTCAAACAAGTACTTGCATATATATATATATATATATATATATATATATATATATATATATATATATATATGCAAGCAACACAATGTAAGATTTGCAACAAGGTGCTGCTTTCGGTGGTGCTTTTGTTCCTACTGCAGCCAACGAGTAAGGTCTGCAAGTTTTTTCTTTTTTGCATCAAGGATCCAGCAATGATGTAGGCCCTCTAAGATTTTTGTTTCTTAAGCTTAGCTCAGAGGTCACATTATCTAACAACTTGAGAGTAGAATACAATAGAAAATCCAGCCATCCTTTTATCCTTTTATTTATTTTTACAGCAGTAAAGGTTAGATAGTGGAAGTGGTTACACAATGTGCACCTTAGAAAAGTGAATAAAAATAACAGATAGGAAAATACAACCAATATTGTACTGTACAGTGTTTTACAATATAATACTCTGTATCTGGACAATACAGCTGCTGGGAGGAAGGAACTGTGATAACGCTCCCTGGTGCATTCAGGGTGCAGTTGTCTGTCAATGAAGGAGCCCTCCAGTTCAGCAACAGCTTCATGCATGAGGTGGGAGACATTATCCAACAGAGATATTAATTAAAGTTAAACTTTTTCCTGAAAAAAGGGCCACTTCTAGACTCTGATGTTGCTCCAAGCAACCTCTCAGATTACATCAATTAGTGGTAAACAAATAGCTCAGAAAGGAAGGAAATGTTGTCCCACAGGGGGGGGAATTCAGAATAGGCTCCACTCTAATCACATTTAAGAGGGAAGCTGTTAGAGAAAACATTTTTATCTCCATTTAATTCTAATCTAAATGTATCTAATTGTCTGCATTTTTCTTGAGAGCAGAAGCTTCTTGGCTTATGCTACCTATCAGAGAAACATTGCTTAAGTTTCTTAAAATACATACGAAAGCTGATCACCTTAAAATATGTCTACAATTAAAAATAAAAAATGATATATCATATAGTATCCTCACTATTTAAGCAGACTGTTCAGATCCTACAGTCAGTGAACTCGTTAGCTTCCAAACCTGCTCTAAAAAATACCTGAGAAATGTTTATTTAAAAAAAACATCTAGTTATTTACCATGTGAACCTAATTTAAAGGGAAAGTTCTTAAACACTTCCCAGGTTACGACACTGATGTGATTTTACCGTATTTTAGTTTTGTGTAAAGCCTGAGCTTAGGCCCAGCTTGGCACGTTTACTGCTGTTTTTGGAACAGATTTTTTTTTCTAACTCATATTCCTCAGTACCTCCCTTCTGTTTCATCCTACTATTGTTTAAAGATTCCCATTTCCCATATTCTGGATTAAGGTGTGGAAGTTTGAACCTGCTTGGAATGTCAAACGTCTTTATAAAGGGATTTACAAAATTAAATCTCCTCCTGTCCAACACCCTCCGGAGAATTCTTTTTTAAACAGATATGTAATAACTTGAGTGTGAACTTGAAATAACGGCTTTACCCAAACCCTCTCTGAGGAGCGTCTCCTGTCTCTCACTGAACCCAGATCTGTTAATGAACACTCTGCCTTCGGTTTTAAGTGGGAGCAGGCATCTAGCATGGCCCGAGGCAGCGTTACATGCCATCACACACTCCAGAAGGGACTGTTTAACTGCGGTCTGGAGCACACAGGCATGGGACTGGTGGAATGTGCACACACTTTAGAAAAAAAAAAAAAAAAAAGAGGGGGATGGGATTGAGGAAGAGTAGCAGAGGGAACAGCTCTCCAGTCATCAACAGGTCTACATGTTTAGAACAAGCAGATATCTCTAATTAAGGCAATTAATCAATTTGTTCCCCTTTGTGGGAGCCAAACATCTGGGGATTGTGCGAATGTGCCAGAGTTGTTTTCATGCCATGTGCGCCACAGGCCTTAGGCAATTTTAAACAGGACTGGCTGTGCATTGAAATGCTAATAATGTGGCAAAACTTGCATTTCTTAAAAATAAAAAAGAGAAAATATTCTAACTCCAACTGATATCTAACTGCAGTAATTTGTATATGTATTTATTTTTTATTTTGCGAAAGTTTTATTGTCATTACACTGTCACAAGTAAAGAGCAACAAATTGAACTCTCTGCATTTAACCCATCCCGTTGGGGAGCAGTGGGAGGCCATTGTGCAGCGCCCGGGGAGCAGTGTGGGGGTTAAGGGTCTTTGCTCCTGGACCCAGAGTGGCAGTCCGTGGGAGTGGGGCCTCAGAATTCCAAACACAAAGCCCCAACCACTAGGCCACCACTCCCCAAAGCAGGCATTAGCATGAAGGGTCTTGCCTAAGGACCCACACTGGCAGATCATTCCTCCCAGCCGGGATACGAACCAAGGCTTCTTGTTTGCAGGATGGGTGACTTAACACTTGAGTTAGCCAGCTACTATTTAAACCAGTCTTCACTTTTCAACAAATTATCAAAAGACAAACTTCTGTTTGTTTTACTGGGATTTTAAGAGAGTGCCACATGGAGTGGGATGTGGTTGTGAAAATCATTTGTCTGTAGAAATGACCTTACTAGTAAACGGTCCAATTTTTGTTCTTTCCTCAGGTTTGTCTTAAAACATTAGCAAACAAAGAGCAAAGCGGAAATCCCAGAAGTATGGTTCAATCCATCATTTGAAAAAATATTCAAAGATGTAGAGGAAGGGTATCCGTCTAGATGAGAACTGGGGTTATAAACTAAAGTCCAATAGGTTGTTGAAATAAACACCCTAAAAACACCATCCTTTTTATGGAACATAACGGTGACAGAGCCACGCTTTAGGAATGCAATACAAAGACAAGAACTGCTTCAAGTCAATGAAAAGATGAGTAGATCTCAGCTGAAATCAAATCTCCTTACTGGGGTTCAAGGAGACAGAAGCAGACATTCAGAAAGAAGCACAGATACAAAGGAACTTGTCAACCAGATCCACAGGCAGCCCTGTCCAAGAAACACAGAGCCAGGCAGACGAGCTCCGAGCCAGCTCCCACGTCAGAGGACGAAGAGAGCACATCCAGCCTGTCACAGTCAGAGAAACAGGACTAGACTGAAAGATAGGCCAAGCTCAAACATCTTTAAAGAAAGCTGTTGATGGCAGCAGCACGGCTGATATTCCTCTCCAGGATGGAGTCACAGCCAAATAGGAACAGGCCAGATGAATCTACTATGAGAAAAGGCAGAGAGGGTATAACATTAGAGATTCAAATAACAAATTCTGCAGAGTGGGAGTATTGAGACAGAATGATGAAATAGGGGTCTCTATGTCCTCCAGAAGTCTAAGCCTATAGCAGCATAACTACAGATAGCTCAGGATAATATGAGCCCCTCTAACAATAAGCTTTATTAAAAAGGAACATTTTAAGCCCACCCTTAAAAGTAGACAGGATGTCTTCCTGATGGACTAAAACTGGTAGTTGGTTCCACAGGAGAGGAGCCTGATAACCAAAAGATCTGCCTCCCATTCTACTTTTAGAAATTCTATGAACCACTAGTAAACCTGCTGATTGAGAGCGAAGTGCTCTGTTAGGAACATAAGGAACAATCAGATCTCTGATGTAAGATGGAGCTTGGCCATTTAAGGCTTTATTTGTAAGGAGGATTTTAAATTCTATTCTGGATTTAACAGGAAGCCAATGAAGAGAAGCCAGGATAGGAGGTATATGATCTTTCTTTTTTAATTTTCATCAGAACTCTGGCTGCAGCATATGGATCAGCTGAAGGCTTTTAACTACAGTTTGTGGACTTCCTGATAGTAAAGAATTACAATAGTCCAGCCTTGAAGTAACAAATGCATGGACTAGATACTCAGCATCCTGCCTGGACAGAATATTTCTAATCTTTGCAATATTATGCAGATGTAAGAATGAAATTAAAGAAACCTCTTTGATATGGGATTTAAATGAGTTCCTGATCAAAAATAACACCAAGATGTTTTACTTTGTTATCTAATCTCAATTAAAGTGACTTACTAATCAGCTCCTTTTTCAGACTCTGGTCCAAAGACTATAACTTCTGTTTTGTCTGCATTCATGAGGAGCAGGAGGTTAAGAATCATCAAGGTCTTCAAGACACGCCTCTTATCTATGAAATAGATTAGCTTAATCTGGATTTATGGACAGATATAGCTGGGTATCATCTTCATACCAGATTAAATTAATCCCATGATGTCTAATAATTCTACTGATTGAAAGTATATGAATGTAAAATAAAAGAGCATTGGTCCTAGGACTGATCCCTGTGGTACTCTACAGGTAGCCCTGGAGCATAAGGAAGATTTTTTATTAATGTGAACAAACTGAAAACTGTCAGATAAGATTTAAACCAGTCTAGTGCTGTTCCTTTAATTCATACAAAATATTCAAGTCTTTCTAAAAGAATATTATGGTCAACTGTATCAAATGCAGCACTGAGATCCAACAGGACGAGCAAAGATACAAGTCCATTATCTGAGGCCATGAGAATATCATTAGCAACTTTCACCAGAGCTGTTTCAGTGATATGATGAGCTCTAAAGCCAGACTGAAACTCTTCAAAAAGTTCACTATTGTGTAAGTGATCACACACTTGTTTGGCAACTACTTTCCCAAGAATTTTAGATAAGAAAGGAAGATTGCATATACCGGTAGGTCTATAACTGGCCAAGTCATTTAGGTCAAGAGACAGTTTCTTAAGGTTTAATTACAGCTACCTTAAAAGCCTCCACACAACAGTTAGATTTTTATTTGTAATAACATTATCCACTACAAGGTACTTAAAGATTTAAAACTCAAAAATAGACCTTGTTTTAAAAAAAGAAGTTTATTATCTTTTAAAATGTTTGTACACTCGTTATGACAATGTGCTTACACAATACTTACAGTAGAGTAGGGTGGAACTTACTTTGTACATAGAAAAAAAAAAAAAAAAAACACACCATCAACAATTACAGAAAAAAAAAAAACACATTTACCTCCCTGGTCAGTGAAAAACAAAGAAAACTGAGTTAGACAGGCTGAAGTGGGAACTGCATCAGGAGGACTGAGCTGGTGAGGATGGAGGGGCTTTCTGGGCCCTTCTCTCCTACATACAGCTTTGGTACTTTTTATTTTTCAACACAATATTTACACTTTATTCAAGAAATGATAGTCCTTTTACAAAGTGTTTGCTCATTAAACATTCCCAAAACTATTATTCAATATATTCACATATAAAGCAATTTACATATGTTGGAACTTTGTTTAATGCAAGTTAATGGGCTGAAAAAGCAGTGAGCTAATGCTAAAGAACAAACCTTTACTGTCAACAGTAAAAATATGCTAAATTAATGGAGATCATGGAGCAAAGTCGACCAAGCAAAGGGTCTTGTATGAGAACTAACTAGTAAAAATACCCAAAGCAAAACACATTTTAGCAACTTTTAAAACTGCAATGCTACACTCTTTAGTATTCCTGTAAGAATATGAAGCAAAGCAGGTTGGAGAAAGATGGAGATTTAAAAACATCGCCTTGGTTTAAATAGCAAAACAAACAACTTTCATCCCTGCTTAAGCTTCTAACTTGATAAAATCATCAGGTAAATACAGACCTTTCACCTCATGTCCAATCGGCTCGTCCTCAGCTGATCTGTCAGGGAACTGCAAATAAAACTTAACTCCAGTGTGGGTACATCGCTTAGACCTCGGCCTATTCATGCATTCTGAAAACTAAGGAGGCTGCAGGCTTTTACGGGAAAGTAAGCAGGGTTTGGACAGCGAGAGCTTGGACCCTTAGCAGCCCAGTTAAAAGCAGCACCAGTGGAAGTGGGCTGGGAAGAGAACATCTGGACTGATCTGTCACTGATTCATTTTTGAACAGTACAAGGGTCCACTTCCTTATTAAATAATCCTTGTTAAGGGCCTGAAAGTATTTAAAAAGTAAAAAAAAGAGGTGATTATCTCAGGAACATTTAAGAACTAAAAAAAAAAAAAAAAAAACATCAAAAAGCTTAAAATGAGACAGTCATTGGACACGTTTGTCTCTGTAGCACCCCTCTGTGTCGTCACGCTCAGGCGAGCCACCTGAAAGTCTGTAATCTTGGGGCTTTCTGTGCGTTTCACAAAGCCTGGAGAGATTCGTGGGCAGCAGTGCAAATGCTTCGACATAAATACCAAATGAAAAGAAACTACTTCACTGTCCAGACTGGCCAGAACATACAGGGAGGAGTGAACGGGAAGGCCTCTCCAGTGTGAGCGCGGAGGCAGCAGGGACATCTGTGCCTGGTTCTGGTCAGTACACGTCAGTATCCTCCTTGGGCCTGTACACAGAGCCGAACCTCTGCATGTACTTTTTGATGTATTCCTTAGTCTTGTGCTTCACATTCTCATTGCACTCGAGGTCCTCCGGGTTCTTGCAAGCTTTCAACTCCTTATTCATGACTCCGTGAGTTAGCTGCGACCCGAAGCAGAGACAGAACAGTTATGAACGTTTCAGAAACCAGCAGAATGTAAATTAACCAATTATGATACATAATTACAATGAATCCTGGGAAAGTGGTTGGATCGTTAATCCTCTTCTAGATGCTTAGCTTCTTATAATTTAACAAAGATTAAATTCTCTCTTTAGACGAATGAAGCCAAACTGTTTCATGGATTGTAACCATTTCCTCTGAGTGCTGGTATGTGAGAAGTGGATCCATGCAAACCACAGTGAGCTATGCAACCACTTGAAAAGCATAGAGTGATAAGAGCTAAAAGATGGCAACATGTTGTTATTCTTCTCAAGAAAATTAAGATGAACAAGGATCTGACCTGGATGGAGCTCAGCTATTATATTCTATTATATAACAGTAGCTAATAATAGGCAGAGAATCAACTAATTACACTAAATTCAAATTATTATTTCTCAAGGATTAAAGAGTTCTCAAGCTTTTTGACTATATCTCATATTGATATATGATAGAGGCACAGAAAAACTGAGCATGTTGTGTTTTAAAATTCAATTGGTTCTGTAAATTCTTAGTAGAGTTTCAGTTAGTCTTCATTTTATTTTATTTTTTTCCAAGGCCTAATTTTTATTTTTAATTTAGTCAACGAAAAGGTTTTTTTTTTTTTTATTATTCTAGTTTTTGTTATTTCTGTAATTTTTTGTTATGATAATAACCTTAGTTGGGTTTTACTCACCTTTCTAGCCAGGTGTTTGAAATCCTCGGTGTTGCTGATGCGTCCAGATTTACAGTCTGGTTTCCGGTAAGGATTTAGGCATTGCACAATAAACTGGGACATCTAGTCGGCACAAAAACGGAATAGAACAAAGAGAACGAAATGAACCGCTGTGGGTAAAGATGGACTTGTCTGCAGGGATATGGCAGCCAGCACTCACCTCTTTGCGAAATGTCTCTTTACTTTTCTTAGCTAATTCACTGGAAGTGTCTGCTTCGGCCGTTTTTGTGGAAAACTGTGACAATAAGAATAAAGGATATTTTTAAAATAACAAAACAGCAGTTATTAACATTTCACTACATCATCCAGAAGGCGTTTCCTATTTTCCCTAAACCAAATCAAACAGATGTGCATAATGCCATCAAACAGCACCCTCCAGCAGCTAGTTTTAATCAGGAGGTATCCTTTCAGGATGCTCCATCTGGGCCTATAGCCTTCAATAACAAAGGAAGGTTTAATGCAGTGAGCCTGTACTAATCAGAGTAGAAAAAGCAGCTACAAAGGATGTAAACACACTGTTTTATGTCTAAGCGATATCAGATTTTAAACGTAATTTTAAGAGTTCCAGGTTTATATACTACAGATAGAAAAGTGAAATATTTAGACATCAGATCAGGAGCGGAAACAGGAAATTGATAGAAGAAAAATAACGAGCAAAGTACAAACAGCTTGGTTTCAAAGTTTTGCCAAAAGAACAACGAAGACGGCAAGTGATGTTTAAGTAGGTAAAGCTGCCATTTTCTTTGGCCAGTTTGAAAATCTAAGCAAAGTAAAACATAACAGGGTTCTTCTGTAGGCTGAAAACCATCTATAAGGAATCAAACAAACTAAATAAAACAAAGAGATCAAGCAATGTGCAGCAAAAAACATTTTTTTTCTCTGCATGTTTAGCCTGCTGACATTAAGCTCTTATGAATGTATCATATTTTCCAGGCTATGTAGCGCACCTAACTGTAAGTCGCGCCCACAAAATCTTTTGAAAAAAACTGGAACCAAACCTGTAGGGGGAGCTCTACATATTAGCTTGTTGGCTCGCAGCAGTAAGAGCTTCTATTGAAAGTTGGAACTTCGTCGGCTCTTTATTTTAGATCTGTAGAGGTTGAGCCCTGCCTCTTCATTGGTTAGGCAGCTTTAATGCAGCAAATAAATAACAAAAAATGTGTGAATTCGGGACATTTGTTCTCCGTCATGCCTGCTGCTAGCATGTTCCTGTGCTAAATGAAAATTAGCCCCTTATTCTTTCATTTTCAACTTTGAATTACCCCACTGGCAGTTAGGAAAAATCCACAGAAAAGCTGCATGGTTCAAAGCGTGGGAAAAAGTAGCAGCTTATAGTCCAGAAAATACAGTATTTGTCTATATTGGAAACCTTGTTGAACATTAACATTTATGTTATATTACGGATGGACAGATTTAAAGGGTGGATAGAAAACCAGGTTACAGGGTATGACGACTGGATGAAAAGAAAAAATGGATGAATGATGCATAGACTGCTGAACTGATGAATTGAGAGTTTAGAAAATGGAGAAAGAATAAAGTCAGAAAAACATCTTTTAAAGTTGTTTTTACTGTCCAGATCTGAAGTACATCTGAACTAATTTTTCACCCACATGGGAGATTTGACATTGAATCTTTTAAGCTCTGAGAGTACCCATCAATCTGCTCGACTGCATGATGTGAGGATGTTAATGTCCTCATATGTTTGTTTGGGAGGGAAAACATCTCATCACGTCCAGCTCTAATGTTTCCCTCCAAGTCTTATAGGCCGTTTTTAAAGTAAGCAAAAAGACAGGCAGGGCAGCATGCTTCACCAACACTATAAAACAAGAGGCTGCAAAGAAATGAGCACACAACTCTCCAGATGGCTTCCTTTATAGCCGGAGACGGGAAGAAAACAAAGAGGGAAAACAAACGGTGCAACGGAAGTGAGGATAAGTTCACCCCCCCCCCCCCAAACCACAAAAATCCCTCTGGCTAAGGGACATGAAGACGGTGGAGTGAATGGACACACTAAGAATTTCTGTCTCCATGTAGGATCTGATGAAGCAATTGTGTGTGTGTGTTTGTGTGGCGGGGCGGAGCTCATCAGCAAGTTTATAGAAGCCAACTGGGAGCGATCTGAGGCAACAGGATTTTTTTCACTTCCTGTAGAAACAGCTGAAGGTTATTACTGGTGCTGCATCTTCAATTACCCCATAAAACAAAAAAACCAATATAATCACACTGCCGCTTTGGAGCAGAATGTTTTTCTGAACCAAACTCTAAAGTGAGGCAGCATTTTAATAAAAAGGAGGAAATCATATGGATTTTCTATTTTACTTTGTAACCAATAGCGGTTATATTAACATGTTATAACAGATGACAATGAAGACTAATCAGTGCAGCACAATTACCCTGGAAGGATTTTCATCATAAGTCGGTGTTCCGAGGTCCATCTCAGACTCATGGTCCACACTGGTGTTGTCAGCATTGCCCTCCCACGTGGGAGGATCCCACTGTGTTTGCCTGAAAACAAATGCAAACATCAGGATCGCAATTTGGGGAAAAAAAAAAAAAGCAACACACACACATAAACCGCTACACCCACCTAGTGACGATGTGGTAGTAGTAGATCTTGCCTTCAGGGTCCCGGGCTACTTTCCAGTTGGGAGGTAGGACGATGGTTTTGGGTTTCGGGGGAGAGGGAGGAGGCAGGTCCATCACATTGTTGGGTACAATCATCTCCTGGTTATAAACACCACAGAATAAATACAGATCAGGAGAAATTATATCAAACTACTCCTATTTAGTTAAAACGATAAAGAAAGCAGCAGAATATTTTATTTCTTTATAGCTAAAACATATAAAACCAGCAGATTAGAGGGATTTCTCTAAAAAAGGGCTAACCAACATGTTAATCCCTCCCTGACCAAACTATTTACTTATGAAACCATATGACTGACTGACTGGATTTAAAACCGTATTTATATTGTTGTGGGCCTTTAAGCCTCCCATTACTACCTAGTGTTCTTGTCCTTTTAAAAAGCAAATGTTTTCATTATTTGCTGCTCACAGAGCTCTGTGTCTTTCTCAAGAAAAGTAGACAACATTTAAATTTCAACAGGTAATTGGCCAGGTCAGTCCTCTGTCACAAATCTCACCTCATAACAGCGTTTCTACTATAGAAGCCATAAATGTAATGTCCCTGCAGATCTATTTACCCCCCATGTTTACAACTAATGTCAAACAGGACGAAAAACCACAATGATTTCATGCAAAAGAAGCACGGATATATGCAACAAAACATTAAGTATTTTAAAAGATTATATAAAAAAAATGCATTATGCATTTGAAAACAAATGTTTAGTCATATACTGCCCCCATATGGTCATACTAATAATTGAACTTACTTATTGCATGTAAATTTTCAAATGAAATAACAATCAATCACATTTAAGGAAATAATGTGTTCTAACGTTAGACTTAAATTAAATTATCCTGAGAGGCTTGGCGCACAAGAGGAGCTTTGTATTTAACATGCCTTTCCTCTCAGTCATATTTACGTCATATTTAAGCATTTTGTAAGAGCAAACCCGGCTGAAAGAAGTTGAAGATCAACATTCCCTGTAGGACTGATTGGTTTGGTAAATGATCCTGAAAGTTTACTTAAACAATGAATATACAGACACTTGCAAACATCTTTTTAGCTGAGAATCCAAGAGGATGAAAATTCAGATTAGTTCTTGAATGAGAAAGTAGATCTTGCTTCTCGTTTCATTATGACCTTTATTAGTTCCAAGCTTAAACATGTTTCTCTATCGGTTTCTGATAATGAATAATACCTTCCAGGCTGCATACATTTATGCAGCCTGGAAGCAGGTGCAATAAATCCAAAATGACCTTGAGATTTACACTCATCTATACACAACAAACTGGTTCATTTTAGAGCTGTAAAGAAAACCGCACCAAATTTAAATTTTGTTCTTTCAGGGTTGTAATGTTACCTATGTGCACTAGAGGGTGCCGACGTATATTCATAAGCTGAGACTTGTTACTTACATACATACTGCAAGCACGATCCGTTATATCATCCCATTTGTGCATCTGCAACCAGATATCCATCCAGGTCGAAATAAATAATGCCATTATGGTACCGAAAGTACTAATCTCTACCCCTAAATCAACAAAGAATGCTAAGCTACATCTTATAAAAAATATTTGATGACTTTTCTGAGACAATGGGATGCGTTTTACATTCAGACATGCTCAGATAGAAATATGACGGAACCTTGCTTATCAGCATCTTTTCTTTAGAATATGCACTATATTATATAAAAGTAGAACAAAAGGAAAACATAAAACTCAAAAGGAGGACATGTATGTATAAACCTAAAGCTAAGTGATACAAACAGAATGGATTTAAACTAATTTATTCTCAGAAAATAAATTATTATCCTTTTATACTTTCCAGTTTAATGCGCTTAGTATTTTTAGGGAGAGAACATTTTAATTTTGGTCTTTTAAGTAAAAACGAGGGAGGCCTGGATGTATGTCTGCTTGTCCATGAGCAAACGAGCTGATGGTACAGATCGCGCTACCGCTACAGATCGGATAGTGACGGGCATGTTAGAACAGGAATTTAAATCGATTGAGAATCACCTAAATAGTGCCCACTTAGCTGTGCTGCATGACGATGCAGCATCAATATCTCTGCTGTGCTTGGAAGGAACAGCAGTGTGTCAGATTGACATAAGGTGTCTTTGAGAGAAAGATTAACATCTCTGTATTGTTCAGATAATAAATGTTTTACAGTTTCAACAAATATTTATTATTCAGCAAAAATATGCCTGATTTTAGGCATGCTTTGATGGCGCAGTGGTTAGCGCACACGACCCATGTACGGAGGCCTCAGTCCTTGACGCGGGCAACCCGGCCTGTGGTCCTTTCCAACATGTCTCTCCCCCCTCTCATATACCCTTTCTTCTCAGCCTACTGTCCATAAAAATGAGCCACTAGTGCCGTAAAAAAGAAAAGAAAAAAAGCCTGATTTAATAATGTCTGGGAAATATTTTTTGTTTATTTAGTCATTATTTAGTACAGATGGCACAATAAATTGAAAGCAGTGCACAGCAGTGGGCTGAGCTCCAACAGTCAGATTTAGTTACAAAATGCATGTTCATAAAATGAACAAAGATCCCTGATTTAAGCATCTGATGAATGGGAGAACTATGAGTTGCTTGTGGAACATTATTCAGGTAAACATCTAAAAAGCATGTTGGTTGTATCATCTGGTTAGAGAAGAAAAAAAAGAGGTACGAAGTCTCAACAAAAGCAACATTAGGAATCTGTCCTGTGATATAATGGGAATTATGAATTGATTGTCGTTATGGCTAGGCCCTAGCTATGGAACATTACTTGTCGCCAACATTTACTGTGTAAAAAAGGAAAAAAACAGATAGGGCCGGGATCTGTTTTGATTTATAGTGAGAAGACGTGAAATTGAAATAAAAGCAAGTTTTTATACAGAAGAAAAGCAACAAAAAATAAGACTAAAGCAGAGGGGGAGCTGTGGATCTCAACACCACAATAAAATGAAAACCTCCTTGTAAAACATTGCCTACAAAGCCAACAATGGTTCATCCAAGTTGGATGTTTTAGATTTAGATCAGACATATGCTTATAAAAAAATAAAAGACAGAGAAACTGAAAGATACAAGAACCTTAGACTGAGAAATGAGGAAAAATGTATCGTCTTGAGCTTGTTGCTTTAAATGAAAAACTGTTTCTCATTGACTTACAAAGATAATTTACAGAAGTTTAGACAGGCTGTTCTTCTGAGGATTGAATCGTATAAAGTTAAGAAATATAATTTGAGATAATCTTTCGCCATGTGATCCAGAGGCCTACTTCCTATTCAAGGCATAACAGTAAGCAATTGAACCCATTAATTCAAAAAGCTCCTCTAAGGCCAAGTGTCTTACCTGTTGGACAGTTTGGGATGTTACGATGGTGGTGACTGTTCCTCCCTGCTGCACCACCACACCCTGCTGGTGACCAGGATACACCGGCTGGCTGTGCAGGTAGCTGGCTGTGGGCTCAGTGTAAGCCTGGAAACAGAACAAATCCAACACTCAGACTTTAGCTGATCATGTGTTACTGTTTGTGTTGGACTGAGCTGGTGCGTTCAGCTAAAGCTAAAAAATGAATTTAGAAAGATGCAGCAATACGTCATCATCCTGACCAATAGACGGATTAAAGACAATAGTATTTTTAAGTTCCATTAAAGCGAAAAAAACTTTGCACAATATATTAATCTATATTTATATGGTTTGGGAAAAGAAAGAATTTTATAAATTATTTAAGACAGTGACATTCTCATTTGGATTAATACCTGAATGACAGGAGGGTTGGTCTGAGGGTAGGCAGTAGGGATGCTGTAGATGGTCTGGCAAGGCTGGCCCTGGTAATAGATGGCTGTCTGAGTCTGAGCCGGTCCCGGCGCTGTAGCATACTGCTGCGCCGGCTGGGTCTGTACCGTGACTGCTTGCTGGGTGGTGGGATCCCAGAGAGTGGCGTAGCTCTGCTGGCCTTGTACCTGAGGGGCCGTCTGGGCTGGGACAGAGAGCACAGCTACTCCTGCCTCCTGGGTTGCTACAGTTGGCTGCGTGTACTGCTGGGGGTTAACAGTGGTGAGGTTGGTGGTGGTGATGTGCTGGGAGACGTCAGAGACTGGAGGGGCCTGGGAGGTGGAGGATGGAGAGGGAAGGCTGAGGTTTGGGGCCAGGCCTTGAGGAGGTGTCTGTTCATAGCTGAGGCCAGGATCAACAGGAGGGGTGGGAAGAAGGACCTTTCCGGCATTGGGATTGGTTGGGTCCACAAAAGTCTGTATAGGGTATCCAGGGGGATAGGTGATGAAACCGGGGCTAGAGGCATAGGCCAGCGGATCGTAGGCCAAAGTCTGGAGCTGCTGCTGCTGAAGCTGCTGTTGTTTCTGAGCTTCCTGCTGAGCAACTTCCTGTTCAAACAGCTTTCTGCGCTCCTCCGTAGACAGTTTGTTGCGTTCCTTCACCCCAGCTCCTCTCTGGGTCTTGCTGCTGGAAGAATCAAACCTTAAAAATGGAAAGAATTAAATTATAGCTGAATGCTTTTTCTAAAATTATACAAAGGTCTAAAAACAAATGATATACAGCAGCTATGATTAGCTGCAAGCCATGTTCATCACCATGTTTAATAAACCTACACATGAACTACTCTTTTTCATTCAGTTAATTTAGCAAATTTGTCACTGATGTATAGATTCAGATGCCCACCGCTCCTCATTTCGCCTGCTGCTCCTCTCGTACGGTAAAGGAGGTGGAGACAGCGAGCGTCTCCTGCGCCGCTCAGAGCTGCGGGGGGTTTTGTCTGATGGTCGATCCCGATCCCGGTCTCGGCTACGCTCTCGTTCCCTGTCTCTATCGTAATCTCGCTCTCTGTCTCGCTCCCTTTCCTTCTCCCGCTCTCTCTCACGTTCCCGGCTGCGAGAGGTGGTGCGTGGCGCCAAAGCCAAGTCGCGATCACGGCTCCGATCTGCCAGGAAATTTGAAATCTATCAAATGAGATCCTGTTCCAAAAATAAAAACAATTTAAGATGGGTTGTTTCAGCTCTTACCTCTGGCTTCCTTCTCCACCTGACTCTTCTTTGGTATCCTGTACACCTCCTAAAAAGACAAGTTGAACCTTAATATTTCAGGACAGAGAAGAGAAGGCCGGTTTGACTTTAGAAGTGCTTTGATCTTTTCTAACCTTCAGATCCTTCCAACTTTCCAGAAGCCTGGCAGCCATGCCACTTATGTCCAGAACACTGAGTTGGGGCTCCTGACTCCTCTCGCTCTCCACATCGGACACACCTTCTTCTTCATCCTGAGAGGGCGTTCCTATTGCGGACGGCTCTACCTGCATTGGCGTTGCCTCCGTGGGCAAAGGTGCCTCTGGTGCCTCAGAGTTTGGTGGAGCCTTAGTGGCAGAGTCCCCTGGCTGAGACTCTGAACTGACACTCGGCATTTTCTCAGCCTCCTTTGCTTCTTTGTGCATCTCCTTCCTCTCGGATGGCTCCTCAGTTGGAACATCTACAGAAACAGTTTGGCTGGACTGACCTTCTGCCTCTTCCAATTTAATGGAGGATAGCTCTCCTTCTAATTCAGCCTTTTCTGGCTCTTTTTGAATTTCTGGCTTTTCTTCTCCCGACTGCGTTTCACAGAGAACCTTTGAGGTTTCTGTTTCATCTGATGGACACTTTGTCTCCTTGATTTTCAGCTGAGTCTCAGTTTCATCTGATGGACACTTTGTCTCCTTGATTTTCAGCTGAGTCTCAGTTTCATCTGATGGACACTTTGTCTCCTTGATTTTCAGCTGAGTCTCAGTTTCATCTGATGGACACTTTGTCTCCTTGATTTTCAGCTGAGTCTCAGTTTCATTTGATGGACACTTTGTCTCCTTGATTTTCAGCTCAGTCTCAGTTTCATCAGATGGACACTTTGTCTCCTTGATTTTCAGCTCAGTCTCAGTCTCAGTTTCATCTTTCATCTCCACGTCTTTAGGTCCCTGTAGAATGCTTGAACTTGTTTCCGACTCTTCCTGGTTTGGCGCATCTTTCCCAGACTCCTCCACAGATTCTTTTATTGGAGCTGGAGCTTCACTCGACTGTTCTTCCTTCAAACATGCTCCATCTGGAGGATCTGTGTTCAGGGTCTCGGCTTCCTCCTCTTCCTCTTCCTCCTCCTTCCCGTCGGATGCTTTGCTAGCATCAGAGAGAGCGCTGTCCAGACTGTTTTCACTGATGATCTTAAGGCGTCTGTAAACAGCGGGTTTAGAAGTGTCACCGTCCAATTCGGGAACCATTTTGGCAGAGGAACCGTCAGGGGTGTTCAGAGGGGTTTGGGCCCGGGAGGTGTTCTCACTGGAGTAGCCGTCCATCTCAGTCTGCTGAGGCGGGGTTTTGGTCTGAGCCCACCGCTGGATGAGGGTCAGGACTTTACTCTCTTCAAGCATGTTCTTGGTGGAGATGGGGAGCACAGCCAGGGTCTTCATGATCTACAAGCAGAGAAGAACAAAGGCAGGTTGTTTAGATACCGCATGAGGTTAATCATTCAACAGCATGTAAGAAGCCATCTTAATGCATTTATAACTCCTCCACCTCTTTCTTACAGATTCAATCTTGTGATTCTTCGCAACAGTATGTTAAGAATCACATACTGCTGCAGTTGAAGTTGAATCTTTCAGCTTACAACACCTCCACACTGAAACCTCTCCTTGAAAATGGCTTGAGTTCCTCAAGGGTTGGATGGGCAGCAATTATTATTTCTAAATCCTGCTTCAGATGCTTCCAATTTTAAATTGGATTCAGGTCTTCACTTTGAATGGGGCACTTTGCTTTGTATATTTGTGTCACTATTTCAGTGTAGCTGAAGTTTTTCTCCCATATCTAGTTAGAAAGATCTTCTAATTTAACCTGGTAGTATCCATATTGATATGTGTAGAACAGAGTTGAGTTCTACTTTATCAATCTGGGATGGCTGTCATTCAGTCTGTCCGTGAAAAGGAGGGACGTTTAGTATGATACTCCGGACTGTGGGTGACAAGCCAGCTAGTACCTGCCTTCCATAATAAGCTTTCCGCCAATCGCAGCTTCCTGAGTGTTTTCACAGCTAGCTGGGCAAACTTTTTCCAAATCCTGTCAGCAGAAAAGCACAGACATCTTTCCCCTTCTACAAATGCACCAAGTGCTTCTCTTTGCTCCTTTTTTAAACGAGAATTTGATGTAATTTCAGCTAAAACCGAGTCTATTGCGGTATCGACAGTTGAGTCCTGCAGCATAGCCATGTTTGCAACGCACCAGCAAGGGCCTTCTGACTGTCTCCATTCCTACACGTCCCGCCCCCAAAAAACACTGCTGGCATGCCATTAGTTGGACTTGCTTGTTGTTACGAGATGGATGTATTGGCAGGAGTCTTTCAAGATGGATGTGAGACTGAAATCTCAGATCTCACAACAATCCAGCTTGCAGCTCAAGGTTTCCCTCTCTATGTTGAAGAAAAGCCTCCTGACTAGGGTTGTCAATAGTATTGATACTCAAACGCTGTATCCAGATAGAATACTAATTTGTCATGGTATCGATACTAAATACAAGTTTTGTTTGCATATTTTAGCCATTTTCAATTTTTGATGTGATTATTTTCACATTGATAGAATATAACCTCTAACAAACTTTAAATCTTGTCAAATTGTGTTATATTTGGCCTTATTTAAATACTAAAATGTATGATTCTGCAAGTAAGCAGTATCAATGTTGAGAGTGAAAATGGCTAGATTTTCATGTAAATCCATAATTTAATTATTAGGCATTTGTTCCAATTTTCTTGGGTACTGTTATCGAGTTTGGAATTTTGGTACTTAGCATAGTATTTAGGATTTGAGGTAATGTTCTGTACATAACAATTTGCAAGTTTATAATCTTTCACAAAGTTAATCCTGAATCTCACCTCTAGCTGCAGTTTGGTGTTATTAGCACTGTTGCCTTTAGACTCAGAGAGCTCCACCATAAAGATCCACAACAAGGACAATCCATGATGATCCAAGAACTGCTTCAGACAAGATGGATTCTGGGTGTCCTGTGCAGCAAAAAAAACAAAAAACACCCCAAAAATATTTGGCATGCTGGAGGGATTTCAGGGATACATGAGAATAAAGCATCAGCGATGTGTGCTGTACTTGTATGAGCTTGAGACAGAGGAGTTTCTGCTCCATGGTTTCCACTCGGACCATCAGTCTGCACAGAGACACCACCTGTTTCTCATCATACAGCCCTTCTCCGTTCTCCAATAACGCCTCCAGCTCCTCATCCACCTGTGAGAGAACATAAGCTTCCACTTAAAATATAACTGAAACAATTTTCCTGAAAAAATTCTATTTCCCCAGGAAAAACCAGCAAAACGTGGTTGAATCAGAGAGGTTTAAGAATGGTTATAAGGTTGGTAAACTGACCGTGGTCAGGGCGTTCTTTCTGCTGCGGTCTTTCTTCATCTTGCCCCCAGCGGCTCGAACACTAACTCTGTTCTCCCCACCAAGGAAGCCTCTGCAGCTGGGTGCCCCACAGAAGCATTTCTGAGCTTCTTTTCTGCAGGGAAAATAAAAGCAAAGACATATTCCTCTTAATTATAATGTGGAGAATAATGACTTTAACATATGCCAAATATTTTGAACGCCATATAAGAAGGGCAACATAAGGGAAATTTTTACCCGTATCTCTGAAACTGGTAGTCAAAGGTTAGTTCAGTTCCTGCAGTGACAGCCTTGGTGGTGAAGAACCCGACTCGAAGTTGGCCATTAACAGTCCACTAGAGCAAAATTGTCAAAAGAAATAATTTTAAATAACAGAACTTTCGGAAGAAAAAAAACTGACTCAAGAGACTTTTTCCCTTCAGTTTCTGCACCTTTTGCGTCTCACAGTTCGGCTCACAGCTGTGGTTCATGAAACGTGAGCAATTACCCTTCAATGTTGCATCAATAATCTGCAGAGACCAACACAGCAGCAAGTAGATTATCATTTCGTTCTTGTAGGTACCGGTCCCCTTCAGGTCCATCCAAACTCACCTCATTATTCTTTAGTGCCATGAAATAATAGTGGATGTTCTTGTTGCGAGCATATTCTTTAACCCTTGCTTTGAACTCTTTGTGGTCCAACACTTCGCCACAGTATTCCAGAACAAATGTGTTTCTGAGATTAAATGAAAACCAGATGATAGTTTCAACCTCAAATGCCAACCTTAACTAATAAAGCATCACAATAGATGCTGTGATTTAAAAAAAAAATAAATTAAAAAATGAGTAAATAAAACATGCAAAACAGTAGAAATACAATCTTACGGAGCCAAGTCTCTAGCAGCACGCAGTCCCCAACCTTTGTCTTCTGTGAGAATGACCTCAAAGTCTGCATGCTGCTTCATCTGAAAGCGACGGTTCGAGCAATAGCCTCCATTCAAACACCGTGAGGAGCTGGGAAGAAATTAAAGGAAAAACTGATGCAACAGCATGAAAAAGTTCCTATTTCTACCGCCACAGTTTTTTCGACTTCTGCCATGTTTATTTATTTTAAAATCACATTTGATCTGGTGGGAATTTTTACGAATTTTCCCGTCTGACACCAGAATTACTTATGACTAAAATCTGCTTGAGTGCGGTGTGTTGTGGTTGCCGTGTAGCTGATCAAACCTGTTACACCCACAGCTTTTCATAGTCATGTGTGGAATCTCAGGTTTTGAAAAGCAACAGGCGATTTGAAAAACTTGCTGTGTGAATCCGGCATATGCACATATGCAGGCACAATGACGACACTATAACTTAGAAAAAAAACATTTCTTGATGAATTTATCAAAGCAGAAATAAACTGATAAGTTCGGCCGATATTTTTTACTTGAATTGACAAATATGTGGATGAGAGAGCACATAAACTGCATGCCGTGCAGCTCCCTCCATTTGTTATCCTTTTTTAATTTTTTCTTTGAATTGTTGATAAATGTTCCAGTAGCACATATCAAGAATTGGTTAAAATGATCAGCTCTGGCCTTGAAAAAAAACAAAACAAAAAAAAACCCCTGAATCGATCAATCTCTATCTGAAAGACCTAAGAAAGAACTGAGAATAATTTCTTACAACGTACCGTATTTTCACGACTATAAGGCGCACTTAAACGTCTTTTTTTCCCTCAAAATGTGCGGTGCGCCCTATGTGTGTTGTAACTGCGACTTTTGAGACCACCTCATTGAGGAGATGATGAAAGAGTGGCTGAATGTAAGGAGACCAGGTGTTTTTTTTTCCACCCCTCACCATCGCTGTTAATATGTAACTCCATGCGTGCCCATCTCACAGCTGATGTGAAAAACATGGGGAAACAAATTAACGCTGTGCTCGCTGTTCAACCGCTCGACATCGGTGTGAACCGGACCCAGCAGGTGCAGCAGAAGCAGCGAGTTTACATGCAAAGTCAATGGTTGACGCGCGTATAGGTGCAGCAAAAGGTCCCGCAGCGCGTTTTGGTGCAGCACGTCGGGAGCGTTTAAGCATCTGACGCACCGCCAACGCGCTGCTGCTGCTCGAGATGGAAAAATTTAAGTTTTGCTGCTGGAAGCGCCGCATCAACCAATCAGAGAAGCTGATCTGGGGGCTGACAGCGAGACAGACACAGCGCTCTGATGACATATGATATTAAATGAAAAAGGCTGGATGGATGAGGAGATGATGAAAGCGTGGCTGAGGGAGGTGTAGGCTATGTGAGGAGACTAGGTGGTTTTTTCCACGCATCACCATCGCTGCGTGCCCATCTCACAGCCGATGTGAAAAAAAGATGAATCAAATAAACGCTGTGCTCGCCGTTATCCCGGGGGGTCTGACAAAGGAGCTTCAACCGCTCGACATCGGTGTGAAGCGGCCATTCAAAGTAAGGCTGCGAGCGGCGTGGGAGCGATGGATGACACACGGAGACCACAGTTTCAGGATAAGTGGAAGGCAGCGCCGGGCAAGTTACGCCACCGTTTGCAGATGGATTGTAGATGGACTAACGTGTCTGCTGGCTCTGTTGTTCAAGCTTTCACAAAAGCCGGCATTATTTCTGAGGAGCCGCGCTGCACGGAAAGTGACTGACAGCGAAGAAGGGGAAATTGGCATGTCTGATTTAGCGCAGCTGTTTTAATCAGAAACAGAGGATGATGACTTTGATGGGTTTGATTAATACTTTGTAATAAATACATGAATAAAGCACAAACATACTCAGTTTTGCTCCCGCTCTATTTTTCTACCTGAAAACTTAATTCAACAGCAGCCTCTGGGCGGGTCTCCTCCTCTTCACCGCGGCGGCTGGCAGGTGTTTTTTCATCTAAATAATCTAAATCTTGCAGCTATATTTGCTGTGATCAGTGGGAATAAAGTAGTTTTAATATGTTTTTAAGTGAGAAAGTCCACCTGAAAACTTAATAATTGCAGTCAGTTCATCCAGATTATCTATTTCTGTCGGAGGCGCTCAGACCCCCACATACCAGCGATGCACCGACAGTAGAAATCCTTTCATCAGCAGCCTCTAGGCTGGGCAGCCTCCGGGTTCACGCGGTGGCTGGCAGGTGTTTTTCATCTAAATAATTTAAACTGCAGGCACCAGGATACCGGCAATAAAAGCGAACATATTCTGTCGGCAGGTTTCAGGATCTTAATTTAATTTAGGAGTGACCACAGCGCTGTGTCATCTGCGATGTGTCTGTCTCACGGCCAGCTCCCAGGTTTGATTAATACTTTGTAATAAATACATGAATAAAGCACAGTCATACTCAGTTTTGCCCCCGCTGTATTTTTAAATACGCAGTAGAGGTATTTAAAGGTAGTAGAGGACATGTACCTGTATATAAAAAACGCGCCCTATAGTCCGATGCGCCTTATGTGTGTGTTAAATACAGAAATGGGACACATAACTGAGAGTGCGCCTTTTAGTACGGTGCGCCTTATGGTCGTGAAAATACGGTAACCAGTTTGTTTGACTCACTGGAACCTAGAGAGATTTGAACTGGTTTTATGAGAAATATTTTTCTTACTAAGGATTTCAAAGTTTACAAAAATGTCCCCTTTAAAGCAAAATTCTTCTAAGGTCTACAAATTAAATCATTAACTACCATTCAATCATCAGGAGGCGGTTTAAACAGTCCTCCCCGCAGGCCATCACTCCTTTTGCACGGTCCTCTCGTGACAGTACGGGGCACTCGCACTGCATCCTCTTTATATCTCGATGAGACTTGCTTTTCTTTCTGCAAGAGATGTTAAAATTTTTCATCAGATAAGCTTTAAATAATCTGAGAATGTACTGATCAAATGTTACTGTGACTTACAAGCTTACCTCTCAGTTAAGTACATGTTCTCCTCAATCAAGTCAAAGTAAGGTGGCATCTTTTTCGTTTTGGCCAAGTCTTTCCATCTGCTGGCATCCTGAAAGTTGCGTAGAGTGAGCGATGGTCTATCCACCTCCGTCTTTGCGGGAGCTTCCTTAGAGACGGGGGCGTCTCTTTGGCGCTCCTTTTTCCTCGATGGTCCAGCTTCAGCCTCGTTGTCCGAGTCCGACTCGATTTCCGGACGCCTTTTCTTGGGCGGTACTCTGCCTCTGTGGGGTCTGGTGTTGTCCTCTCTAGGTGGGTCAGGTACAGCAGAACCCCTGCTGTTGCTGCTAATTTCGTGACCTTGCACTGAGCTAGCTGGCCCTGGAGTGTTTAGTGCTTTACTGCAACTCAATGAGTTTTCAGCCCTATAGTCCTCATGGTCATTAGTGAGGGAGTCTGGGTGTATTTCACTCGAAGGTTCCTGATAATGTTCATGTGTTTGGAGGTAGGGTATTTTGATAGTTTGTGTGTTTGGTGACTGATGTGTACCGGATGGAACAGTAAGTCTCCCATCTTGCTCCTTAGAAGCGGCTGCTGTTGCTTTAGTGTTTAACAGGGGCCCATGGCTGCTATCAGGCTGCTGGCATGTGCTGGTAGGCTGCTCTGGCTTAGAAAAATCCCACCCTGCACTGAAACTCATCATGTTGTTGACACTATCAGAAAATGTATTCGGTTGGTACTGCAGGTGCACCTGCTCTCCCTGGTTCAGACCTTGGTCTTGTTGTCTAGAATCACCGAACAAAAGGGTGGGATCTGTCATACCTCCATGGGCACCGTTAGGACCAGCTGCTGATTGCTGACTGTTGATGGCACTGGAACCTTCTGAGTGACTGGTGCTATCAATCATGTTGCTCTGGGACTGACAAGGCACACCCATATGAGGTGACTCAACTAAATTAGTAGTGGTGGGCTGTGTTTGCTGTGCGCTAACTTGGTTGGCTGTTCCCATCTGGATTTGGGGCTGATCTGAAACATCTAAAGGACAACACGAAGAGGTCTGTGCATTTCCAATGTCTTTAATAAGGGATGAATGCTTGGGTACTACTACCACAGAGTGAAACTGTTTCATAGCTTTGTCACAGTCTGAGTCATACTCAGAGTTATCGCTGTCACTGGCATCACTTGGCATTGCTAACGCTCCCTGACTGATGGGTGTTATCATACTTGATTTGCTTCTGGGAGTACTCTCCTGGGATTTACTCTTGCAGGCATCACTACTCTGGATGTGATTTAATGCGGCTGAGTGGATCTGGGATACATGATCATTAAGATTTGAGGGCTTATTTAGGTTTGGTGATTGAGGCATACAAGGATTTAGGCCAAAGACGTCAATGCTGGTTCTTGCTTGTGAAGGCTCACATACTAAAGAGACGTCCGGCCCCGGGATGGAATGTTTAGACTCTCTGGATTGAATATTGAATTTACTGTCCATGTCTTGTTGGGTACAATCTTTAGCAATCTCAATTTTTGTCACTTTTTTGGGACTATAATTATTTTCTGAACAAGCAGCCTGGTTTAAATTGTCATTTTCAAACAAGTCCTGCCCAACAATGTCCCAACGAGACTTTCTGGTAGTGCATGTACTCTTTTTAGCGACATCCTTACTTTCCAGTCCTTCCACCGGCAGATTTTCGGTTCCTAGATGGGAGAAATCCAATTTGTGAGGGTCAGATTGCTTTTCATCTGCCAAAACTTCATTGGGTTCAACAAACTCTGTATTAGTGTCTTGCTGGATCTCAAGTGTGACATTCATTTCTTTAGCATCAAGAGAGGCATTCTGGACTTTGTTATTTTGTTCACAGCTTACACTACCTTCACTTTTAACTGAATTTAAAACTGGATTTAAACTCAAATCATGCTCGCCATCCTTCACATTGCACACATTTTCCAGAGCGATGGTTATAGGCTTTAAGTTCTCAATCAAGGGAGTGGTTGAGGCATTTTCTGTTTCAGATTCAAGTACTGGTATCTCTTCTTGCTCATTCTCGCCTAAAGACTCTTGCAAACTTTTTTCAGTGGATAAGAACATCTCTTTAACACCCTGATCGCCCTGTAAACCCTCACTTGGCTCCGATTTGGATTTTTCCTTTTCTGTCAGAGGATTAGATTCTACTGTGGTTGCACAAAATGGTGCTTTGGTAGGACTGTGAAACGAGTCATCTGACTTTCTGTGACGTCTAGGGGATTTCATATAGGATCTAGAGGGGGTTACTCGTTTTGATTCTGATCTACTAGTTTTCTCGTGAGAGTCTCTACTTTTTTCCAAGGAGCTTGTATTCCTTTCGGAAGGCTGGCATTTTGCCTTATGTTCTCCCTCAGAATCACCAGAGCTGTTTTTCCTGTGCTTGTCGTGCGACTGTGACTTGTTGTGTGTACTGGAAGAAGAGGATTTGGCACCAGTGTCAGATTTGTAATGACTGCTAGATTTGCGGGAACTGGAGTCCAAATCAGGAGAGCACCTATGTTGAGAATCAGAGTCTGAGGAACGCTTTGAAGTCTTTTCTGACTTTGATGATTGCATTCTTCTATCAACCTCTGAGGAGTGCGGTGACTCCAGAGATTTTGAAAATTTCTCGGATCTTGAGTAGGAAGATGATTGTGATGCTTTATGTGAGCTGGAGTAGTTGGACGACCTGCTGGAACCACTAGTCCTCGTCCTTGTTTTCCTGTGGTCGTCCTCAGAGTCAGAACTGTAACGGGTTCTTTCGGTCCGGGAGCGAGAGCGTCTTTTCTCCCTGCGAGGAGAACCCCTGTGGGATCGTCGCTCGGATTCATGATAGTATGATCTGTCAGACCGAGACACTCTGTCACACCTGGATCTCTCAGATTTGGAGTGAGACGAACTTGTTCGAGAACCTCTCGATCTAGAGCGTGATCTCGACCTGGACCTCCTGCGATCCTTGTCAGATCTAGATGAGCGAGAAGTTATTCTTGAATCGCGGTCAGATTTGGAGTAACTTGAAGACCTTTCATGATTCTCTGTACGCTTGGAGGAAGCTTTCTCCTTTTCCCCACTACGTGAACCAGAGGAAGATCTTTTGGCCTCTTTGTTCCTACTGTCAGAGTTTGCTTTGCTTTTCGAATCATCTGATTTGCGAGTGGAAGACGTGTGGGTTAAGTCTCCATCAGATTCAGAGCAGGGAGGAGCACTGTCTGACTGTGACCTGGTTTTCCTTTTGTAAGAGTTGTGATCCCGATTAGCAGCGCTGGAACTATCATCTTCTTTTCCGGAGGAAGAAAGGGGTTTATTGGTGTTGGGATCTTCTTTTGTCTCAGAGGCTTCAGTGGCTGCCTCTTTAGAGGGGCTCTCATTAATGATGGTCTCAGAAGGGGGAGTGGGAAAGTCAGTTTCACTCTTGGAGTCTGGTAAAACCTCTGATTCAGAGGCGAGCATCTCCTCAGATGTAACAGGCTTCAGTTTCTCTTCAGTAACAGAATCACTGAGAATTTGCCTCTTGAAAGGCATCTTTGCCACATTCTTTTTTAGTCTAGTTGAAGAAGAGACAGGTGTTGGAGAATGTGTCTCTGGTGTAGATGACGGGACCGAAGCCGCCTGCTTTTGCTCCGTTTTGTTTGCTGTATTCTTTCCGACCTTGTCCAGGATCGACTGTGAAGAGGCATTGTGAGGCTCAGAGATGCCCGTTTCAGGATTTGAAGATATGAAGAGTGAAGTTTGCAGTGGCTTTTTTGTCTGCGAAAAGCTGAAGGACACTTTCTGACGACCCTGATCTTCCAGGTTGACCCTCATCTTGGTTCCTTTTGGCAAGAGATGGTTGGAGAGCATGACTCTGGGAGACAAGCTTTTAATCAGAGCTGACGTGGACAGACCCTCCACCTTCACCTGCAGGGAAAAAAGCACACAACCTTATGTCACAAACAATATAAACAGAACAATCAAAGTGCTGTAATTGTCAAAACTATAAAAACTAATAAGGGTTAACTTACAGACTCAGCACTCCCTTCCTGTCTGTGTTTAATAAGAACATAAAGAAAAAGAAAAGGAAAAAGCAAAAATATGAGACCATATTCACAAAAAAGGTAACGCCTGCAGTGCACACACAAATTTGAAAGCTAATCCACTGAATGTTGACATGTACCCGAACAAGTCTTCTACATCAACTGCAAATGACTTTAACATTAAACCACTTTCCTAAATATAGGCAAGATAACCTTGAAAAAAATAATAATAGTCTAACATATGCTTTTGAAAGAGGAAACTGAAAGCCAACCAGCTGCTTCCAGCCTACATAATGGTTTTAGATTGGACTTTTTAAGTCATTCAATTATTTCCTCCTCCCTCCTCGAACATTAGACTACGAAGCTCAGCAAGAGAAAAATAAAATGGAGAACAGTGTGTTAAAAGTTAAACACTGATTTTAGGACTGCTATGCTTTTTTAGACCATTAAACTGCTGAATGTTGTGCAAAATGGGTTATTTTATTTATAGAAAAGAAAGGGTTATTTTATTTATTTAAAAAAAGTTAGAACTGTAAATATACAGTCATGTTTATATTACTATTTTTTATTTTTTTTTGTATTTATTACTGTTTTTCAAGGCTGCACTTTGAAAAAATGAAATTGTCTAGAGCTGTTTTAAACAAAATTTATTTTGTATTCACTCGTGTTTAAAAAATGACAAATAAAGCTGTCTAAGTCTTTTTTTATACCAAGTATACACATATAAAATGTAAATAAAACAAAACAAATAAAGGGAGGGAGTAAAGGATGATCAGGTGGATGGATGGACAACTAAATTAGGTCAGTGGTTTCTGCAGTTAGTACGTCTTTATAGAACCTGATGACACGCTGATGAGCCAATTAATCCAACCGACCATATCTAAAACATGCAGCATACAAGCTCCTAAGGACTAACTTTGGACATTGCTTAATTAGATTAGTGAACAGACGGACTGGTGGCCAGCTGGAACTTTATGAAATTGATATTTTAAAAAATTAAGCCCTCAAGAATAAATCTGTTTTTTTCATTTCCAGAGCTTGAAATCACAGTTTTAAGAATGTATAGAAACACAAAAATTAGCTCTGAAAGCTTTAACCAGAACTGAATCCCTTTAATCAAGTGATTAAGAGGCTTTCTTCATGTGAATTTTTGTCTTCAGAATGTTCATTTCACATTGATTAGATCTGATTATTGAGAAATCCAATGCAGAACATCTCAGTTCTTTACCTTCACAAACTCCAAGACTGCTTTTTCAGTTAGGCCATTGTTCAGCTGCAGTGAAGCACTGTCTTCAATTTCGCTGAATTTGGATTAATCTGAGCAGACAGTATATAATAATACACTTTAAAATTCATTCATAAAGAAAAAAGATCTAATAGTAAAACAAATAAGTAGATCCCAGTTTGAGTGCCATTTATTTTCATCTCAATCCCTTGCCAGACGAACAAGCCTCAAGAGTCTTTATTTAAATGCTAAAAAAAAACAGATCTAGTGTTTGTACTAGTTTTGCCCGAATAACAAAACGCCATTCATCAAATTATACCACAGCTAAGAGAGAAATGCTGAAGCCATCAACTGTTGTTCCAATTCATCGAATTTGAATAAACAATTTGCATTGTGTTAAAATGTATGTGCTTCTCTTCGGCTAGGCTTGCAAACTATGAGCAATGTGTGGGTTATTTATTGTACTTGGTTTTCATTTTTTTCCCTCTGACCTCAAAAATCGAATGTTTCTGCTGAAGCCATGTAGTCAACATGTTAAGTCAACTTAACATCAAATTGGATCTTCTGCTATTTAAACCTAACCCTCTGCAAAGAGAACACAACTATGTCAATTTCAAGTGAATAAACAAACACTAAAACTCTGCTGACACTTCAGAACGGTAATTTAACAGCATGTTCTTTGTCTGAAACAAACTCTATAGCCTGAAGGTTTTATTCATGACTTGCATACTTATTTCTTGTTCCACCTGCAGTTCCATTGTACATTTCTATAGCTTGCAGTATTTTCTTCTCACTGACTTTGATAACCCTCAGCTGATTTGGGAGCCCAACAAAAAAAAAAAAAAAAAAAACACTCAAGACAGAACAATACAAAACATCAGACTTGAGCAGTGGAGTGAGGACAGCAAAACAAAGAGGCGAAAACCTGACAGCAAGGAGATGACCAGGCTTTCATAGAGTTATATATTGATATAACAAGTTTCTGCTGCATTGTACCTGAGCTCTGACTTCAACAGAGTGTCCATGGAGAAACACGCCTGTGGTTAGTAGAGCTGAAGAGGCTGCTGCATGGGAATAATCCAAATCAGAGAACTGGGGCCTTTAAAGTGACGCCACACCTGACAGGAAGAAAAAATCCAATTTATTCTAAAATGACATTTTGGAATATCTGATAAAATTATACAATTACAACAAAAAGTGAGAAACAAAATGTGTTTTATGCTAAACAAACATTACACCTCCAACACAGCAATTAGATAAATACACCTCTAAATGGGCACTTTTAGCAACACAATTGAAAAATGTATTTGTGGGTATTCGTCCCATAACTTTTATTTAAGGCTGGGCAACAAATCTAGGCAAAGTTGATATTATGGCTGACTTATATGTAAAAGTACAAAGGTTATGTTTTATTGGGTTACAACTTTAATTCGCTCTTCTCTTCTTTTTTGAACAAAACTAAAGGAATGTCTTTGTATTTTCATTCTAACTTGTGTTGTTATAAGATTAAAAAAAAACATGACATTTGTAAAGATCAGGAAAATAGTTAGCGGACAGTTCAAACCACCCTTCTCACTAATATTTCTCTCCAATGACTCCATTGATTTTCCATTAGTCAAATATAGCTTACATTGGGTGCATTGCCATATTATTATGATGTTCATAAAGTAAAGGACATCAGGCTGTGGCTGTCGAGTCTCTGAAGTTTCTACATGACATGTAGGGATAAGTGGTCATGCGATGCAGAAAGGGCTTAGATTTGGCGACTGTTTTTTTTAAGCGATGGTTTAAAGAAGTTTCTTCAACTTACTTTTTCAGACCTACGTGTATACCTGTACATACACCTATCCTGACATATACTTTGGTGGCTCAAAACCTGAATAAGCAATAAAAAACAGAAACAAAACAAAATAAATAAAGAGGAAGAGACTGGATGTCCCTGTACCAGAACATCTTCATTAACTTTACAAATTAAGAACCCTATTTCAAGCTAAAAAAAAACAAAACAAACTTGCAAATAATTCTCCATCCCAATTTGGTTGCAGGACTGAAAAAATGATAAACATATCTTGCTATCTTAATGTATAATCGTTGTTGCTCAATACTACTTTATAAACTTGCTATATTAAAACTTACTTGAAATAAATAAATCATAAAATAAAAAAACTAATTGAGCTTTTTTGTGTTAACATAGTTAGAAATGTGTTACTATAAGTAAAAAAAAAATGCAAGCCCTTTTACAATTTATTAAACTATTGAAAATTGAATGGTATTATATTGGCATGTTATGTTTGATCAGGACTTGTCATTTGGATCCCATATCAAACACATTTGTAGAATTTCCTTCTTTCATCTCTGGAATATTGAGATTAGTACATTTGTTTGTTCATTTGTTATTTCAAGACTGGACTGTTTTAACTACAGTTTCTCAGGAAAGGTTTCAGCTGATCCAAAATATTAAGCCCTATATAAGAAAAGCTGTCTTATATCAGCGATTTTATTTTACCTAATGTTACTGACAAAGCACTTCGCTCTCAATCTGCAGGTTTACTAGTGGTTCCTAGAATTTCTAAAAGTAGAATGGGAGGCAGATCTTTTAGTTATCAGGCACCTCTCCTGTGGAACCAACTACCAGTTATAGTCTGTGAGGCTTAGCTTTGTTTTTTTTTTATTTTTTATAAAGCTTATAGTTAGAGTACCATCAACTACCATCAACACCTTCAATTATAAATGATAGAGTTTAACCTATTTTATACCATTTAGTCCAGTTTCTTTTCCAGATATAGCTTTGGGCACTGCTTTAACTAAATGTATGTGCTCTCTTTCAGGATGAAAACTAGCTTAGAACTCGTCTTATTAACTGTTTCGTTATTAGATTGATCCACTTGTGTTGCTGTTTTATGTTACCTTTTCTAACATGGAAAGTGTTTATGGGTGAGTGCTTCTATGTTCTGCTTGTATCCCCTTTAACCCCAGTCGGCCTCAGCAGAAGGCCACTCTCACTGAGCCTGGTTCTGATGGAGGTTTCTTCTTGTTAAAAAGGAGTTGTTTCCTCTCCACTGTACCTGCTCGGTAAGAGGGATCGCTGTACAGTCAACAACATAATGCAAGCAAATGTGTACTGTTGCCACAAGCTCATCTAGGAGTGCAACCAGATGATTTTCCTTAGAAAAAAAACTTGAAAAATCTAATTGAATTGTCTCTTCAAAGTTCTTTGCGATGGCATGTGTTGTACATTGGTGCAACATAAAGAAACTAAACTGAACTGTATAAAAAGTATGCAGCCTTTAAAAGAACATTCTCGTGTCTCCATGCCAGATTTTATTTATCTGTTCTTGAAGTGTTTTGGGGGATTAATCTAAAACCCAAGCACACACATGGCTGCATGAAGCCTTAAACACTTTTACACGAAAACACTCAGTGATGAACAGCACTTTACTAATCCTAAAAACAAACCTGAAAAACTGAATCTCTACATTAATATCCAGCTTGTTTGATAGGAAAATTTCAGATCTAAGGGCAGCATGGCCTGGACTGGGGGGGGGAGTGGGTCCATCCAAAACATGGCCTTTAAAAGGAGCGAAGTTTCCGATGTGCTAAATAAATCATGTCAAAAAGTGGGTAAATAACCTTAATATATATTACATAAAATTGTTTTAGTTTAGACAAATAATAGGAGTAAAACTTTAATTGTGAAGGTAGGATAAGTATATCAATCAATCTAAACAATCTTGGCCATCTTCAGTAAGCTAGCATAGCAGCGGCTAGCATCGCATCGGCTCGGGAACATAGTTTGAGCGATTTGTTAGCTCAACATATTTCCCTTAGATTTAATCTGTTAATATTTATATACAGGACACTTTGGGGGTTCACCTGCTCAGCTGCGCGGTAAACATAAACATTGAGCAGAAATGCAGATCGACGGTATATCAATCATAAGCTAGCGCGAGCGATGCTAGCTTCTTCTGGCAATTAGCACTAGCAGTTTGTATGCTAACGTGGCTATTATACGCTAATTTTGCCAGTATTTTAAGATGTAATTATTACTTCAGGAGACAGAAAGTGTAATTTCCCCAAACACCCGAGCTCATTATCTTCACAATTTAAAGTTGAACATGGACACTTGAACCTAAAGGTATATGTTAACCCGGCTTAGCTCACATGCTAACTGTTGTTTTGTTGTGTACTCACAGTTCGCACAAAGTGAAGCAAAAAGATAGCTAAAAATTTGATCACAATACTCACTTTATGAAGTTATTACGTTTACAAGGTTCCCCCATCCTAAAAGTTATCAATCATCTCCTTATGAAACATTAAGAAGCAACGCATGCAAGCGTTAAATCCATACGGAGCTGTCGGAAATGATCCTCGGATGAGTGGCTCCTACGCTGCTGCTGCGCCCCAGCTTCAGCGGGGAGAACGGTGGAGCTAGCGAGTTAGCATGTGCTCGGTATGCTGCACAGCTGTCATTGGGAGGGAGGGGAGGTCATAGGTACAGACATTTAACGTGGTTCTATATTTATTCATACTGTTTCGTTTGAATTATTTTAAGTGTGTTTTCTGTCACTTTTATAAACAACATTATTTCTCACAAATGTGGCTACAGGCTGATGCCTTTAACGTCACATGATTACAGTCCAGCCGGGGCGCGAATCCTGGAATGAAACATATGAATAACCTTTTGCTGCCTTCTCTTTCAACAGCCATTTGAACACAAAACAGTAGCAGCCTTTTGTTTTTACGGCCAAAGATTGAGCAGGAAATGGGAAAAGATCATAGATATATATGATATGCCAAAATGTCAGCACCATTTCCAAGCTAACGCACGTCGCTCATGAGCCATCCGTGTGGGCGGGGTTTAGGAACCAAATAAAGAGGTGCTTTCTGGCTTATGTCATCCAATACTACATTCCATCTGTGTCATAACTCACAAAACAGACTTAGAGAGTGGTTTAGCATAATTAATGAAAACCAACAAGCATAAATGTGAAGGATGTGGAGAAAAAGAAAATGTAGAACGCGTACTGATAAACTGTAAAACTTATGAACATGAAAGGGAGAAATTGAGAAGGATGGTTGGAAGGACAAGCAAAGAATGGAGTCTTAAAGGAATATTGGGAAATTAAGGAAATATAAAGGATATTCACAGTTTAAGGAAAGCAGTATTTATTTATCCACAGAATACAAAATTAAAAAAGTAGAATTTGATGTAAAGTAATGCTGCTACTAATGAGACAAAAAGAAAAACTTTTATGATCTTTCTATCATTCTTGCTATCAGGCTGTAGAAAAGAAGCCCAGGTTCCAAAAATCACCCCTGGAACATTCTTTGGAGGGCTAAATCTGAGAAGAGGAATGAGACTCATTATCCAGGGGAGGCTCTGAAATTTGTCAGTTGGGGTGTTTTTTGCATCGGACTCTGATACTTCCTGGTCATCTCACTTAATAGTTTTTTCAAGAATGTCTCATTGAGAATCCAGGCATTTAAGGCTTGAGAATTCCTTGGATCTACCAGAATGAGCTGGATAGTATCACTTTGGAGGGCGATAGACAGATAACATAGGAAATAGCTTTTGGGTAAGATGTTTGGCCAAAAAAAAAAAAGCAGTGTACAGAATATTTCCAACACAGAAAACAGTTCAAATGTAGGATCATAAAGTCCCCTACTTTGGTCTTCTGTTAGCTTTTAAGACTGTTTGCTGCCTCATCTGAAAGTATAATGATTAGAGCATCAGGCTCATTTCAAGAGCTGTGAAGAAGCTAAAGGACAAAATTGTTGTGACAACATCCATATTATAAACTTTATCTTAAAACATTAGGCAGATGCTTTTAGTCTTGTGTCTTTTTAGGTTTACAATGCTGAAAAAAAGCCTTTAGTCACCAATATGCAGTCTTGTTCCCCTTTAAAGTCTTTTAAAAATTCAAAAGGATCATTATTTAACATTTGGTAAGGTTTTGGGCAGTTTGTATCTAGATCGAATTTAAACATATTCCTTTTAAAACAGCTGGTCCTCAGTTTTTCTCATGTTGAGGTTTTTACATAAAAAAATTATCTAAAGAGCCACAGTTGAAGAAACATTGCAGCAAATAGACACGTTAAAAACCAAAGAGGTTTTACATCTGAAAAATATTAATTACAAATCCCTGATAAAGAAATGCAATAAATAAATAAATAAATAAATAAAATAACTCCATCAAAAGACCTTTTCACAGGACCTGGTACAATCCAAAGCGTTTGTCTGGGCTGGCCAAGTGAAAAACTTTTGCAATAAATATTAGTCGCACAATTCACAAAAAAGAACTATTAAGAAAATAAAATAAGATTTTAAGATTTTCAGAACCTGAGTTTTGGGTAGCTTAACAATAAAACTGCAACAATGACCTTAAAACATACACGTGTGATGATAGGACTGATTAACAAATTCAATCCAATACACTGACTTATGAAGCAAATATTATATATATATATATATATATATATATATATATATATATATATATATATATATATATATATATATATATATATATATATATATATCAATTATGCCTGTAGGGCTCTTCGAATCTAAAATGGAATCTTATATTTTCTATGCTTTTTTTTCCATGCTACATTAAAAATAGTAAATATATAAGATAAAGATATTTAAAAATAAAATAATACATATCATAATGTTGCATTGAAATTTTCGGTCCTCCAGACCGACCTTCAAGGTTGTGACATTTCCATGCCAGCTCGGCAGGGGGCAGTGTGTCATTCTAAACCTGTTTAGCCAGCTCCTCAGGGGGAGGGGAACAAACATTTTGCTATTTCCTCCTCTCGGATACGAGCTGCGTGACGCTGACTGTCCACCTAAACATATATATCTGCATTTATCATCTTCCCATTGAGTTTTGAGTGAAGACTGTGGTTATTATTTGTGTAAGTTTGACACCCGCTTTATTGGCCACTTTGTGGCATGACGCATAATTCATTTTTTCTCGACACTGGCATAATGAAAGGAACTGAAGCTGCAGGCTAGCAGGCCTAGCATTGAAGCTAGCTAACGTGAACCTGATTTGATCTTTAGCTGAGCTGTGAGAAACTCCTCAGTCAAACTTGGGTGTCTTTTTTTCCCCCTGCATTCGACATTAAGGTTTATTTAATTTTGTTCCGACATGCTTATTGAACGGCGTGTACGTATTTGTCTAGGCTGTTTGGGCCGTTCCCATGGAACTCTTGTGTTTTTGTGACATTTAGCTAATATTTAGTGAGTATTTTCTAAGACTTTGTACTGGTTAGTGAGAGTCTTACCTCTTTTGGTAATTCTTAAAAATGAGGCCATAAAGTCAGTGACCCAGATTCGTACTTTTCCGGACGGTTTAAACCGAAAGTACGCCTTGTGAGTTTATCACGTGACGGATGGTTGAAGCTTTTTGTTTTCTGTCCCACTGAAGAGCGTTGGATTTATGTAGAAGCGTGGGTTTTGTGAGCATCAGCTTGTATGAACTTTTTTTTTTTTTTTTTTTTTTTACATATTGGTGGCTTTATCGATTGAATATTTTTTTTACAGACCTTGCGACTGAATTCCCTACGTTCTTGCTCATAATGGCTCAATCTGATAAGGAAGTTCGCTTTCCTAGTATTTAAACCTCTGATCCAAGACAAGCCTGGATTGAAGGTATCATCTGGGGATCCAGCTCAGTTTCTTGGTGGTGAAAGAAGGGAGCCTTTTGGTACCACAAGTGGTTAATCCGAAGAAATGCAAAGGAGGAACATGGAAGAACAATGATATTATGTTTTCAGCTTTTAAGGAAATCTGTTCGGTAACATAATTTGGGAACGGGGAAAGAAATCCTGAATGGAAATAATCCCAGACTAAACATGGGGGAAAAATATACTACCTCTGTATAAATGGATGATTGTCATGGAGCGCAGGAAGCACTTAATGTTGGAAGGCTGAGATGGTCTTAAACATGGAATGTGATGAGGTATAATGATATACACATTATAGTGTATATAGAGTATATTCTGTGATATTAACAAGCACAGACTTGACTTCCTGGAATTGGTATTTCTCAGGCTGATGCATTTGGTTTAATAATCCAATTGTGATTCTGTTTGTGTCGGGGTGGCTTTTGTTTAGACTGTCTAGTTAGAGTAATAATGTGTAACACTCAGTTTGGTTTGGTACTATTTATGCCTAAACACTTTCACTTCTTGTCTTCCAAGGATGAGATCATGGATTCTAACAAACAGATGTTATACAGCGGCTGCGACTAGGTCCTCCTGTGCTGTCATGTTTACTTGGGTTTGTTTGTTGGCTTGGCAGCACTTGCCTTTTTCACAGTTAAAGACATGTCTGTCTGAGATGGTTGAAGTTGGAGTGGTACATTACGGATTGTTGTTTGAGATTGTGTAAAAAAAAAAAAAAAAATACTGCAAGAAGTTCCTTTACACTACTCTTCCATTTAAATGGTTGAGTTGTTTTTCCCTTCCTATAAGAGATTTGAGCCACCTAAATATGAATCATATTTTATTGTGTGATGCTTTGTGATTTATTGTCTGCAACTGATTCATTTGAAAACCTCCAATTTTTTTTTAGATTAATCTGCTGTGATATTTATTTTTGAGTTAGTCTTTTAATAATCTGAGGGCAGAAGGTTCTTTAAAAAAAAGTTTTGCAGATTTTCAGCCAGGTGAAGCTAAAGCTTGCCACTTTAAGCATTCTGTATGGCTTCAGTATTCTGCCAAAAATCCACATATGCAACAAATGCTACGAGCAGCTTTAACTGCTTATTAACTCTTCCTCACGTGCACGATTAACATGTTACATGCACAAATAGAGTACCACAGGGTCCTAATATATCACACACACAAGTGTAGGAAAAAAACACACGCACAGCCTCCTCACGTGTGGATATTTTTCTGTGCGCTCATGTCAACTTTTTTTTTTCCCTTTGAAGGTTTTACCGACTGGAAAAAGCAACCTGCCTGCGATTAGCTACTTTTCAGGAAATCCCACTTCAGTTCTGACACGTTTCCAAGTTAACCAGCATAAACTGTGTTCCTCCTTCCAGTTAACGTTTTGACCAGTCCACATACGCAACAAATACTCATACGAGCAGCTTTACCTCATACAATCACTGACTCTTGACTCCCATACATGCTCAACATGTTAGAAGCACAAATCGAGTACTGATATATCACACACATCAGTGCAACACAGTCTGGATAAATACTGGATTTTGACTAGTTGTTGGGTGTCTGCTAAAAGTGGTTATAAGTCGTCTACAAAAAAAGGTTCTGGTGAAATAGTATGCTAGTTTTTGCTAGCTGAAACGTTAACTGTAAATGGGGAAAAAAGGTCTACGCTGGATTTCCTGAAAAGTAGCAAGTCACAGACGGGTTGTCTTTTCCGGTCGACAACGCCTTAAAAGGGACAAAAATTGACATCAACGCACAAAACAGGTTCACATGTAGGAGCAGGGAGACTGCGTGTGTGGTTTAATATCCAGAAGCACACAGCCTTCTTGCACACGTGTGTGTGTGTGATATATTAGGTCCCAATGGTACTCTATTTGCACATGTAACATGCTAAACATGCATGTGAAGAAGAGTTAATGACTGTATGAGGTAAAGTTACTCATAGGAGTATCAATTGCATGTGTGGACTTTTGGCAGCATGCTGACGCCATAGCTTTAGATGAACCCCATATTTTTGAACAAAGTTTTTTAATTGTAAATGCAAAATATATTCGGAATACGGTTTTGTCCAGAAATGCCCTCATACCATTTTTTTCCATTTCCGATTTTTAACAATATATATGAGAACTACTGCCCCATTTATTAACCAGTAGGTTACTAAAAAAAAAAAAAAAAAGAAAGCAGTAATAGTAGATTATTTCTAGTTGCCTGTTTATATCAGAGATTTTAGTTCCAGGCCGGTATATTCCGGTATTCATTTTTTTGGCTGATATCAATCCTATATTAATATTGGATCGGACATCTCTAGTTTTAGCATAATTACTGCTCTAAGTTATTTTTTGCAAAAGGCATGCAATAGTATCTTCATGCTGCAGTTAACCAGTTATTTACTTGTATACAGGACAATTCTTTTACTTAGTCCCAGAACTGGCCACTCATATGAAGCCAAAGGGCAGAGGTTTTATTGTGAATTAGTGGCTCTATTAAGAGTTTAATTTCCAACATCAATGCCATGAATACATATTTTTTTGTTGTTTTAGTTTTCACATCATTGTAACATCCAACAGTTGGTATTTATGGGATTTATTTTCAGTTTACCAACTTGGTGTTCCACTGGTGGATGTGGCTCCATTGTTGACATTTGTAATAGTTTGTCTAAAATCGTCACTGGATTGATTTGTTGAATCTAGTAAAAACAATCAGTTTAATTTGGAGTTCTGGTGATTCACTTTGGAGAAATTATTAAAGATTCATTTTGAAGCAAGAGTAGCAGGAAGTTTTTACAGTTCCAATAAATACTTTAGCATGGGTATCATGTTACAGCAGGAACTACAAAAGACTTTAAACCACTGAGAGTAGTAGTTTGTGCATCCATTTAAACCCTGAATATAATGATCTTCCTAGTCATGGTCATTGCACATGTCCTCACTGAATGGACCTTTTTTTGTGGTGTCAAGCCTGTTGGGACAAAGGGATTCTGTCCTGTTGAACTTTCTTTGTGCTGCACCTCTCTGGGAAAACAACTCTTGCTGTGAGATGAAGAAATATATAAATATAAAGGAAATGTTTGCGCCATCTTTGAATAAGGTAGTTAAAGCTGGAAATAAAAGCTACTGTGATTTAAGTACATATTAGACATTTAGTAGTCTTTTTTTATATTTGTTTTAAAAGCTACTTTTACACTAAGTTTACAGAATGTCAGAGTTGGTGCGTGTTTGGTGTTGTGCTGGAGTCAGTGGCGCTCTTATTGACTGGAGTATTGAGGCTGCATTAGTTCTAATTCAACAAATGTATCTGGTTGGTTTTCAGATTATCTGATGTACAAAAAGCTTAGTTTCTAAGATACTGCTGGATTGAGTGAGACATTTTTTTTTCTGGGATTTAGGCTTTCGGAGCGACAAAAGGACTCCTTTCATCAATGCTGGGACTCTTGAAAATAGACAACCAGTTTTGAAAAACGACGATTACAATGAAACATTTTCTGAAAACTGAAAAATATTGGGAATGGACTTAAATCAGAAGTGCTATTCATAAAGGCCCCATTCCTTGGCATCATTTCATTAATTTATTCATTTTTGTAAGTAAAGAACTTAACCATATGATGTATTTTTACTTCCGATATTATGATGCCCAGTAAAACATACCTGAATTTGATGAGACACTTTCTTGGATCCAAGTCTTGGTATCTTAAGAAGAATTTAATGTGGGAGGCCTGACTCTTATATTTTTATTTTGCACTCATATTTGTATCAAGTGGGTGGCTTTTATGGACATCAGGAAGTTGTTCTTTCCCTTATGTTGTTTTTTTGAATATTTATTTGTCCTTTAGGAACTAAATGTTGGGATATTTGTACAGAGCTAGCAAGGCTCTGGAGGCAGTAATGCTGTTCTTTACCCCTTTGTCTACAGGTGCCGTTGTTTGTGCTTCATCATGGCAGTCGTCATCCGTTTACAGGGACTGAGTGTCACAGCAGAATCTGCAGATATTCGCAGGTTCTTCACGGGCCTCAAAATTCCAGATGGAGGTGTGCATATAATTGGCGGACCTCTAGAGGAAGCTTTCATTATCTTTGCTTCAGATGAAGATGCCAGAAGAGCCATTGCACGGTCAGGGGGATTCATTAATGGGTCACCTGTGAGATTGTTGCTAAGCAGCAAACAAGAAATGCAGAGTGTGCTTGAAAGAGCAACGCAAAAGGCAAACTTTGATCAGATGGGGCGACCTGAGGGCAATGGGAGAGCAACTCGAAGATCCATGGAGTCCGAGGTGGACAGAAGATCAAGAAGCCGGTCGGGTTATAGCCCTCCTTCCCTGCATCAACGGCCGTCAGTCACCAATCCTGACCCTTTCATTGTGTTTCTTAATGGTATGCCTTTCTCAGTAACAGAACAAGATGTGTACAAATTCTTTCACGGTTTGTGCATTGTTGACATTATCTTGTGTAAACACGAAAGTGGCCAAAACAATGGCAAAGGCTTTGCCAAATTTGCATCGAAGGAGGATACATTGGAGGCCCTAAAGCATGATGGGAAATACATGGGGTCAAGGTATGTTGATGTTCGCCAAACAACAGCTGATTTTTGGCGGAAAGCTGCTGCTAGAAGGCAAGCCGCTAACGACACAATGGAGACATTTGAAAGGGGAAGAGCACCTGTTCGCAATCGGAGAACCCCAGAGTATCAAGCTAGGTCTCGATCCCCTGTGGGCCCGAGGCCAGTTGGTCCTAATGAGGAGGAATACTGTGTGCTGTTGGACAATCTGTCCTTTGCAGTGGAAAAAGATGACATAAGGCACCTTTTTCGTAATGCAAAACTCGAGAATGATCAGATTCTGTTTCTAACTGACGATTCTGGCAGAAGAACCAGGTCGGCCTTTGTGCTCTTCAAGAGCATCAGTGAGTATTGGGATGCTATAAGTAAGGAGAAGGTGCATTTTCTTAATCGATGGATTCATATCCGGTCCATCTCAAGAGAGAACATGATCAGGCTACTGGAGTCTAAAAATGAACCAAGTGGATCACCTGGTAACTCTGAAAAATATCAGGAAAGGCCTTCATCTTCCTTTACTAGGGACCCTTATGACTCTGAGAAAATCTGTGCATTTGTAAGGAACCTCCCATTTGACGTGAGAAAGGTTGAGATAATAGATTTTTTTAACGAGTTTAATGTCACAGAGAACATGGTACGGGTTCTGTATGACCATAAAGGTGAAGGGGTCGGGCAGGCTTTGGTTCTCTTTGAGTCTGAGAGGGAGGCAATGGGGGCCCTTTCTCTCAATGGACGGCGGTTTCTGGGCTCTGAAGTTGCAGTGAAGTGCATTACTCGTGCTCAGATGGACCAGCTGTCCAAAGAGCAACCAGAAGTACAGCAGGCGTTACCGAAAACGGGGCAGAACTTTGCCAGGAACATGGAGCCTTACTATGGATCTGGTGAGAATGCTTCATACTCTGATATGAGGAAATCCAGGGAAGGTAGTTTACCTATTCAAGAGGAGCGTATCCGTGGAGGCTATGACTCCGAACCTCGTGGGGTAAGAGCTCATTCTCCGCGGGACAGGCGCAGTGGAGGACGTGGGAGGTTTGGTGCACCTACTCAGCAGTACGATGGTCCCACCTGTGTGCAGTTGGTTAACCTGCCGTTCCAGATCAGGACTGAGGAGGTTTATGATTTCTGTTACGGATATCGCATCATACCCGGATCCGTTTCACTTCAGTACGAGGCCAGCGGAAAACCTAAAGGCTCGGCCACTTTGGTTTTCGAGTCTCGCCAGGAGGCCTTAACTGCAATTCGGGAGCTGAGTGGAAGGCCGATCGGACCGAGAAAAATACAGCTCATACTTGTTTGAAATATTTTGTAGATACAGAAAAAAATAACAGCTGCATAAGTTTTTGTGGGGGGTTTTTTGTACTTTTTTTTTTTTTTAGACAGATGGAAATGCAGCATAGCTCCTTTGACATATATTTATTTTTGTATTTTTTATTCCATGAAACTAGGCGGTTATTTTTTTCTTTCCACTGATGAATATGTACATTTCTTTGAAACATTATTTGGGGTATGTACAGGTAAAAAAAAACATGTCATACATTGTTTTCAAAATTAAAAATAATTTCAGTTTGACTCTTGTGAGGTGTCCTTTCAAAATCTGATTCTCTGAATTTCGATTCTCTTGAAATTGTTAATGATTGGTGTGTATAATAAAATCCATTGTAAGGGATTTTGAGTAAAATGTCTTAGAAGAGAATATTTTAAGGTGCGCTGTTTTTTTCATTTTAGTGAAATAAGCTCAAGCACATAGTGAAATAGTTTGTGAAAATTGTGCAATGATGAGCAAAATGAATGGTTTGTCACTTTTATTCAAAAATCAAATGTATCACAGTGTTAAGTTTTAATCTGGTCTGAAGTTATTCAACCAATCTTTTAGTTAAACCAACCAGTGTTTTTACCCCATCTATGTTGGCCAAAGGGCAAACCAATACAAATTGCTCATTTTATCCAAAATACTGGTTAAGTAGTACAACTTTTAAAACTTCATACCAAGAATCGAACCCACAACCTTTGGATTAAAGGGTAACACACCACATATATACTGTCTCATCTTTAGAAAGCAACAGTACAAATCACTAAAGACAGGACTGAAACCAGTGCCTTGTTAGAATTGTGATCATTATATATGTTTGATCTAACCAAATTTGTTTTAACTAACTAGATTAGTTGTTTTTCCAACCAATCTATTCCTAGAAAAATATATTTGGTTCTGATTATTTCACAGCTGCAAAAACCTAAAGCATTAAACATGATCCAAGTAGACAAAAGTTTCTGATTAATCTTTTTAGGCAACGCGATTTTCTTGGTTATTTTAATTTGAACTCAAAGTGAAGGGTTAAATGTTAGAATGTGAATAGGAATTGCAGAATGTATTTTGAAGCAATCTTTTATGTGTTTTTCAGACTGATACAGCTTTGGTCTGTTGATGCTGGTGCTTAGTTATTTACTGATATCAAGCCTTTCGTACAGAAGAAAAAATCTTAGGTTAACAAAGCATTGAGTCTGATTTTTTTAGCTCCTTAGTAACAAATTTTGACAACCCTGCTCTATAGAATTAAGCTGAATTCTATGTAAGGATGTTAAAAATAATGTAGGAGACTTAACAATCCAGTAGTAGATAAGAAAGGTGTTCTATCTAGGACAGTCTTGTATGTTTGATTTAAAGATAAGGAATTCATATTATGGGTTTAGTATATTCCTAGGTAAAGCATAAGGTACAATTCTTTAGGTAATGGTACAGATGTGAAAATATAAACATAAGGGATTGCGCCTACTCAGGACTCTGGGAAAGTTAATGAGGCTATTTTCTTGATGTTTTTGGTGGTCACCATGCATTAAACCTCAAAATAGAGGATGCACATTGGAATACCTCAACGAGGTAGAGGCATAAAAGTCACATCTAACTTGAGATGCTGATGGTGATGGAGACGAACAGGGCTGAGGACCATCACTCCTGAAGATGCAGGGCCTTGCTGGTAGCAACACCTCAAGACGGACAGTCCAACTACATAATAATGGGATTCCCATATACAAACCAGAGAGAACACAACTTCTCCAAACTTAGTCGACATTACTAACAGACACATGCCGAAAGCATTTTTTTTAAATCTTTTTCAGTTGCAATGAAACAAGCATTTGGTGTGATACCCAATGACTTAGACTTCTTTATTTGTCATTTTGTATGCACAGAGTGCATACAGAACGAAATTGCGTTACATACAGCTTATGAACGTTGCATTGATATTTCAAATGGCACAAGTTATACAAAAATACAAAAAGTGCAGCAGTGGTCAAAGTGTGAACTGCAGAGGATAAGAGACAGTGTGCAAGTTGCAGTGGTTCAGTGCAAATAGGCATTTGTGCAAAAAATGCGTTATTGAAAATAGAAATGAGATGAACAATTATAGAAATGAGATGAACAATTTAATAAACCTTTTGACTTAGTTACAAAGGTACTAAGTATTAATGTAAAAATACAGCAACCCAAACACAAACTTGCACCCCTTGTGCTTTGTCTTGTGGGGAGATGTAATTTCCATTAACAGAAAAGAAGCCCTGGCCAAATGACTTGTCATTTAATGTATTTGTGATTGTGAACTAATTTTAGTTTTTAGCTACAAGCAGAAATAACAGCAAAAAAATAATGTTTGAAACTCATATTGAATGTACTTTCAGCTTTACAATGCTAAGTCATGATTTTTACTAATAAGTCTCATAATAATGATTGAAATTCTGACCTATGACACATCTTTTTATAATGGGGTTGTAAAAAACCAAATCAGCCTGTTTTGTTTTTGTTTTTTTACTTTGCAACTAACTTATTTCATATGGCTTTTCTTTGCTATTGTTTTTGTAAAAAAAAAAAAAAAAAAAAAATTGGAATTTCAATCATAGCAGCCCTGGTTAAAGTCACATTGAGTTAGTATAATTTAGAAAATCCAAATTTCAAGCCAATAGTGGTATTGGAATCCAGGACAATTATTACCTATGTAACATTAAAAAAATATGGATATTTTGATGGCAAAACGTTATGTCAATGTAATAAGAACTTATCAGGAAAAATAACAAAAGTGCTTCTATAAGATATTCATAGAAAACTGAGAGTGAAAGAAACACTTTTTTTTTTTGGTCCAACATAACTTTAGAGGTATTAATGCTGATACGGACTCTTACATGTTTTAGTTTAGAAACCTAAATACAATTGTAAACTAGATTTATTGACTTTTTAATTTTACTTTTTAACTTTTCAATTAGCTTTTTACCTTTTTTTCTTGACTTAACTAATCCAGATGTCACTTTTTTCTTAAAATCAGTGCATTTGTTCTTGAAATGAGATAAAAGAGACATTTTGCCAATGGAACAAGATAATTTCGATTTAAAATAAGAAAAAAAATAACTATTGGATTGTCTTTTTATGTTATTGAATTATCTTATTTTAAGAATAGTAATACTCATTCCATTGGCAAACTATCTCATTTACCTATTCAAATCAAGGGTAAATACACTTCATTTAAGAAATATTTACTTGTTTCAAGATCATTTTTCCAGAAAAAAATGAAATTGGGAGAACACAACAGTAGCCATGTTGGATTTTTAGTCAGAATTAATACAATTTCTATACATTACATCAGTAGTTCACTGTTTGATTCTCAATCTTTGCATCTGAACTTTTCTCAACTCTTAGAACACGAGTAGGGAATTAAAGTAACCTCTATTTAAGTTAGAAAAAAAAGTTTGCTTCATAAGGTGAGCTGGGAAACGTTATTAAATACCTGATCACATCCTCAGTAACAATGATCAGTCATAATACTTTATCCTACAGTAATTTAGAGAAATTCAATATTCATTTTTTTTCATTTCCCCTCGATTAATGAGTTATCAGCATTATGTATTTTTTTAATATATGTATAGAGCTCTGATTTTACTTCAAGCGCTACCAGCAGATTCCGAGCATTTACTGTATAAGTAAAAAAAATCGGAAGTTCGTTTTGTGCCTTGCAAAGCAGACAAAAATCATAAGATAAAATGTCAGGACATTTTTTTTATTTCTCCTCGATGTATGAGTGAAATCACTCTTAAATACATACATATATATATATATATATATATATATATACATATATATACATATATATATATATATATATATATATATATATATATATATATATATATATATATATATATATATATATATATATATATATATATATATATATATATATGTAATTTTTTTTTATAGAGCTCTGGTTTTACTTTGAGCGCTACTAGCAATGACATCGAACGTCGGATTCCGAGCTTTTATTGTGAAAGTTAAAAACCGGAAGTTTATTTTCTGCCCTGTGAGCATACACGCTGACGCCGGGGAGCTGAGCAAACCAAAAACTTGATCCCACACCTGGAACATTTTACAGAGCAAGAGGTAAATGTTGAAATACGTTATCTTCTTCGTAGTGTAAAATAAGTAGGTCCTATTTTTTATTTTTATTTTTTACAAAGCGACCTGCTTTCCCAATCTATGAAACCCTTTAAACAATATATTTTTAAAGTGTGAAATCAGTAACGATCGTTTTGGGGACTAAATAACTGCTGTTTTCACTGTTTTGCACTGTTTTGAGGCAATCCCAAGTTTGACCGTTAAAATTCCACATCGACTCCCAAACGTTGGAGGCAATTTAACAGCAACGTTCATACTTTGCTGCACATCATTTAACTTATGTCTTAAAAAAGGAAAAAAATGTTGATATATTTTTTAAATATTTTTCTGTAGTGATTAGAATTCATTGGCAACATCATGGCATATGAAAGTTGTGAAAGCAAAAGTAACATTATTATTATAAAGTGAGGTAACTTGCAATCGAATATCAGCTTTTCTATCTATCAGGTATTTTCTACATTTATCTGATGCTCAGGTCCTCTACCAGAGGCCTGGGAGCTTCAGGGTTCCTCTCAGTATCTTAGCTGATCCTAGAACTGCACACTTCTGGACTCTGATATTTCTCCATTTATATGTTGGAGCCATTTCTCCAGTGTGGGGGTTACTGTCCCTGGTGCTCCAATGACCATGGGCACTACAATAACCTTCACCTTCCAAGCTCTCTCCAGTTCTTCCTAAAGGCCTTGGTATTTTTGCCATTTCTCATGTTTTTTTTTCTTCCTCCTGATGTTTCAATCATCTTGGATGAAAACATTGATCACTGTCTTTTGCTGCTCGAAATATCTGATTGGTTGGTCACAACCATTTAGTCTGTGTGTACCTGGAAGTCCCACAGGATCCTAGCTCTGTCATTCTCCCCCACCTTGGGAGGTGACTCCTATTTTAACCTGGGTGTATCAAGTTTGTATTCTTCACAGATATTTCTGTACACTCTTCTGCCAGTATCTTCCATCCTGATGTGAGATGCTGGATTATTTTTGGGGCCTCATTGCAAAGCCTGCACCTGGGATCTTGCCCTGTATGGTAGACCTGGTCTTCTATAGGGCTTGGGCGTCATGAGATAATTACTTTGCGTGGCCGCCATGTTGATGGCCTCCTTTACTGCTGCTCAGACTACTGCCTACGACTACCGCATACTGTACTCCCTCCCTGTGTTTTAATATGAATAATTTAACTTTAACTTGATTCCAAACATGGTAAACCGTTGCTGTACTGTGGGCTGTAACAGCGCAACACATCATCGCCATGGGAAAAACATAGAAAATGGGTTAACTTTCCACCGCTTTCCTGCCTAGAAGCGCAACCACGGAAACCAAGTGTCAGAGATAAAGAGTTGTCAGCTAGCTTGGATCGTGGCTGTAAGACGACCGAACATATGTGTTCCCTGCATTTTCATTCTGGTAAGTTAAAGATGCACGGTTTTATTTTGTAGCCTACATTGTTTCTTTCCTTCAAGGTTGGGATCTTTTACGGGGAAATAATAAAAACGGCAGCAGGAAAAGGCTCAAATACGTGAGAAACCCGGAGGGTTTAGGGAGGGTTGGCAGTTAACGTTACTAACTACACCTTTGAAACACATAGCAGCTAGTTCAGAGTACATTACATGCGTGAGTGGTTGTTAACACCAGCGGTTAGCAATTACTAAACTAGCAGTTTCCAGAGCCCATCTGAGCACAGCTTACCTTTGTACGGATTACTGTGTTCCCACTGTTTGCTGGCTTTATGATCTGCAGCTCCTGAACCCATCCATTCATGAACTGCACATGAGACTCCAAGGACTTGTAGCTTCTGAACTGTTTTGAAGTATAGGCGCTCACTCATCGGGGCTCCACTCATTGTTTGGAACTTCATATAGATCCAAATTATTAATAATGTTGAATTTGTCAACATACTGGTCCCTGGCTTCTCTATTTAATGTGTTCCAGTAAATTCCAGATCCTTTTCGGGATTTTAAAATCTTTTTTTTCTCTACTTCTACGTCTCTTCTTTCAACAACGTTGTATCAGAGCTATGTTTACATTGGTCTAGCCCTCAACATGGCCGCCACATCCCACAATGCAATGCGGATCCCAAGCCCTATTGCTCTGGTGCTTAAAGGAATAGTACACCCAAAACATGATTAGCCTTCATTTTCTACTCACCCCCATGCTGAACAACACTCTGGAGTACTTTTTTGATATCTCAAATGCATCTGGAGATCTGGGAGGCTTCTTGCTGTCTGCTGACATTCAAATAATGGAGGTCTATGGTGACTTCAGTGTTCAGGAAGAGCATGAGTTCTTTGCCGAGCTGAATGCGCACTTTCATCTGGTTTGGTCTGCCGGCTTCCGTAGCGTCGTGAACGCGCAGGTGCGCGCTTTCAGGAAATCCTATACACTACTGTTTATGCTCTAAAAACATTCTAAATGACTTCGTTTCGAGTAAATTCTGGATGCTACCCACTCAGGACACTTGGAATACATTGGACGAGCAGTATGGAGGAATATTGACACGTTTTTTGTGGACTTTTATGGACCTTTCTGTCTCGGACACCATAGACCTCCATTATTTGAATGTCAGCAGACAGCAAGAAGCCTCCCAGATCTCCAGATGCATTTGAGATATCAAAAAAGTACTCCAGAGTGTTGTTCAGCATGGGGGTGAGTAGAAAATGAAGGCTAATCATGTTTTGGGTGTACTATTCCTTTAAGTCTCCTGTGTTTCCATGAGCAGTGTGTCTGTACTGTATTACAATACTGTTAAGCATATAGAAAATGAACTTTACTTTTTTGTACTTTTTTACTTTAAAAATTACAAAAAAATACATGAAAAGGCTTAAATTGGAAAAAAAAGGAGTATGCCTCATATTTCCAATGTAGTAGAACCATTTCTCACAGATTTTGAGTCAGTGGTTCACGTAACATAGAATCTATTGAAGAAAAACTTTAAAAATCTAAATTTTAACAAAAATGTCTTTTGAACTATGAAGACTTAAATTAAAATGAGTGTGCCTCATTTATGTAATCTAGTAGCAGGATTTACCTTTGGATTTGTTTCAATTGGTCATAAGACAAAGAATGTATTTATGCAGGTGGTTTGGGGAGGGGGACCTTCCCTCAAAAAAGAAAAAAAAAGAAAAAGAAAACATAGATCCAGGGAATTTAACCCCAGTAATATCACATTTTTGTTGTTTATCATAGTAACTTGCATAAACGATTAGCCAGCAAACGAGCCACCCCAATTACAGATTAAATCTGACCATCTTAGACTTTTACCTAACTGGATCAGAGCCAGATTGATTCCTTGTAGAATTCAAACTTATACGTATAGATCTGGAAAGCCTCTTCCCATTCACAAAGGCAAAAATTGTGTCCTTTTGCTTGTTTTCATAAAGAAATAGAGGGAATCCCAGCTGAAACCAACGCAGCCATGTTTGTTTTGCTTCAGCGTTCCGCCTCTGGTTGACGCATTGACGTCATACATGTGACTGCATCTTGTTGGTTCAAAACATTACTGTATCAAGGCTAATTCATCCTCATTGCTCCTGATGTATTTTCGGAAGTCTGTGAATCCACAATCTCATGACAATTTACCTTGTTAGTAAGGTAAACGTTTATAAAGTATTTACTATTTTCCCATACTTTTGACACAGTCACTAGTGCCAGTGGTTGCACTTGAAAAAGATGAAAAGAGGCAGTAGGTTTTTGTTTTCTTTACTGTTCGTCATACTATAAATACCCCCAAATCTCATAATATCTGTTAAGAATATGCATTAATCCATTACTTCTATCCTAAAGTAGATAGATTTTTGTTATCGCTTTCCATGAAATCCGTCTGCTCCACCTAACCCGACTGAGTTAAAAGGGAATGACACGTAACAATGGGGATTTGCAAAACACAGCACAGTGACATTGTGTTGTTCATTATGATACAACACTAGCAGAAAACTGACCCACTATACCGGCTCTGATAATAGACAATTGTATTCAAACACATCTCACTAACTTTACCTGCCAGTGTTAAAAATTCTTCAGTAAATATTAAATCTGATGTTATGAAAAACACAAACACGAGCTTAATCTACATAACTTGGACGTCCTTTGCAGGGTTTTAATGTGGAAAAAACTAATTAGAAGAAGAGAAGAAATAAACATTTTAAATATTTGCATTTATTTAGTTTTATTTGTAGAAGTAATCTTTAAAGGGGTATTTCATAGAAAGACAGATCCTTGCAAATATCAGGAATGGAGCCTTTTTTTCATGAGGTCTTTCACAACAACAGAATTAAGTGCATACTCAGAGGGCTGACTGGAAAAGGATGAAATCATCTTTTTTTAGTAAACTATGAACTTAAATGAAATTTAAGAAATCTATTTTATCAATGTTATACTTATCTTTTATTTTATTAAATGTAGGAAATATTTCTTCAATAAATGAATAATGAAAACAGCATCTCCCTTTAAGATTTTGATACCCTTTTTTGTCCTATGAGGCGCACATGTGACGTGTGTATGCACGTTCATGTGGACGTAGCATTAGTAATTTGCCACGGTGCTTTTACCATCGATTTGTGGCCTCTTATAAAATGTTAGGTCAGTGCTTCTGCAAAAGGGGCAGCTCTCACCTGGTTGTTTGAAGTGCCTTTTTTGGTGGAATCAGGAAGGTAGAGGTGAAAGCAAGGTGGCTTATGTTATTACTCTTCCATTATTGATGTCAACACAGAAGGACCAGAAATGCACTGCTGTGGAGAGCAAGCTCTGGGCTTTTCTAGTTTGCACAGAAAGCTAAAACAAAACAAAAAAACAAGCCATTTTCACACTCTAGGTTTTTGTTGGCTGTAATTGAAACCCAACATGCACATTTCAAAAATTCTATTTCAGAAAGTCTGATTTTTTAGTGATGACTCCTTTTAACCATATAATTGCCATAGAAATGCTGAGTTAATTTTCACTGTCAAAGGTCCCATATCATGCAATATTCACTTTATAAGAAATTGTAACAGTCATATTTCTCCTAAAGCCTGTGTATGAGGCTTGCAAATTCATTTATACACTATTACACTTTAACACCCCCCCACCTCCCACCTCAACTTGAGCCGCCATGCTTTCTTTCTGCACACATCAACCAACATCCAAACAGACATGCCTTTATCTGCAAAAAATTCTGCGGTTTGATCACAATTTTCTAGCTATTATCTTTAAAAAAAGCTTTTCATTCTCAATACCATTATGTTCTGAAATTGAACAGCTCAGCAAGAGTAGGCCAACATTTGTCTGTTGAAAAGACTCACTGGCCATTTTCAAAAATACTTGCTGGTAGTTGGTGCTGCCGAAATTTGAAAGTGGTTATCAGGTTTATTGGCCATTTAGGTTTCCTCACAGTGCAGCATTGGTTTGGACTGTATTTCCCTTAATAAATGAAGCTGTTATTGGACTGCTGCTCGTATGCACCCAGACTACTTCCTCTGGGATTAAAATGTTTGATGTGATACATTAAGCTGCTTGAATGTGAGAAATTTTAAAGTGGTTAAACTTTCTCAAAGCTATTAAGTTATATTAAGTGTAAAACAGTGGGCAGCATAGACCCGAGTGATGTACTAATCCCAACTAAATTAATAATTAACATTGCCAAAAATCAAACAAAAATAAAGAGTAGAGGATATAGAAAATGTCCCTACGATGTTCTTAATACAATGATGATTACCGGTAGTCATTGCACTGTTTTTTTTATTAGTGGCATCAATGAATTGTTGAAATATAATTTTTAATTATTATTTTACATATTAAATGGCTTGGATACACCCACCAGCCACTTTTTTTAGGTATCCTTTTCTAGTACCTGGTTGGACCCCCTTTGACCTTCAGAACTGACCTAACGGTTGTGGCATAGATTCAGCAAAGTATTGGTCCCCAGAGACTTTGGTCCATATTTACATGATAGCATCACACAGACGCTGCAGATTTGTCAGCTGCACATGCATGATGGCAATCTCCCATTCCACCATATCCCAAAGTTGCTGTATTGGGTTGAGATATGAGCTGCGTCTCAATTCGCAGGATGCGTACTTCGGAGGACCCAGCCTACCCAGCCTCCAGAGGACACAGCCTGCGAACTGAGACTCAGCCATGGTGACCATGGAGGTCATCTGACCACAGGGAACTTATGTGCATAGACCAGTCTGAGTTGATATTCATGCTTTATGGCATGGTGTGTTATCCTGCTGGAAGTAGCCATAAGATGGTGGGTCCAACAGAGGTGGCTCTGCATAAAATCCTTGAATTTTATAGGGAGGCGGCTCCATTCTGGGTGTCTGAGCAACACTCTTCGACTTTGATTGCTCCCCGGGCGCCCCACAATTGCAGCTCACTGCACCCCAAGGGGATGGGTTAAAAGCAGAGATACTTTTCTCCAATGTGAAATCAATAAAGTTTATTTATTATTATGTTATCAGCACTTCCTGAAATATTACTGCCAGCCTGTCCGGCACCAACAACCATGCCAAGTTCATAGTCACTTAAATTTAACCTGGCATAAGCCAGATTAATATGTTTAGTCCAATTGGAATTCTACACAGTGTTGTGTAGAAGTGTTGCACTAGGAAGGGATAGATATACCCAATCTGCAAGCTGATTGGGTAAATCACCAAGTGCAACCTTTCTCCCGACCTATTTAGCCAATCGCTGCAGCAATAGCAGCTGTCATATTCTTGATTTGTTTCCCAACTAGTGGAGTTTACTGATAAATCAAACTCTTACCACATCTGGTCAGGAGGAACGAACAAACATCTTTCCCATCCATTAAGACACAAATCACCTGCCTTTGCTCTTTTATTGAAAAGAAAACAGAGGGTAATCTAGCTAACACCAGCACAGAAATGTTTGCTTTAACTCAGCCTGCAGCTTCTGGTTGTCAGAGAAGTCACTGCATTACATTGGTTCCAAACATTTCTTTATTGAAGGCTTATGCATCTATTGGCTTCTGGCAGGATATATTTTTGGAAATTTGTGAATTTTGCCAATCTCGTGAGAATTCATCTTGTTTGCAAGGTAAACTTAAATCACTTTACTTCCCCTCTCTGATGCTCTGAACACCAGCAGATCTTGTTGATTATGTCTACATGCCTAAATGCGATGAGTTGCTGCAATGTGATTGGCTTACTAGAAATTGGTGGTTACAAGCAGTTGGGCAGGTGTAATAAGGTGGTCCATGAGTGTATCAGCTTGATTATACTTTGTTTCAAGCAGAAATTGTACGGCAGTTGCAATGTTTGCTGTAGTGTTACATTCAACCAGTGAAACCTTAATTTACCACCTGCAACATTTTAATGTTGCTTTGGATTATTTGCATTTAAGTTGTTTGTTACGTTTTGAGTAAAGGATCTTTTTAATTCACCCATCTCAGAAGAAATAGCCTACTTAAAGCAACAACAAAAAAAGATGTTTCCCTCTTCAAATCTTCATCTGTGAATACATCTACTTTAAAAGTGAAGGGTCCTGAAACGGTTAACCAAACGGACTTAATTCACAAGATTGTGTGTTACTACAGAATTATTGATAATATTAAGACACAATTTCATGAATTACGGTAAGTTAGTTTGGGTAACTGTTTCCTTCTACTTGAATTTTTAATTACATGGCACCAGCCATTGCAGTAATTATGATCTTTTTCAGCACATAAAGTTTAAAACATCTGAGACCCGCTGACGCCAGTATGGAAGTATCAAGAAAAAGGATCCTACTGAGGCACCTGGAGCCGGCGAGGCCCCTGCGTCGCTGTGTCCCTGCCAGTGTTGGTGAGTTTAAAGCTGTCAGCTAACAAACCAGAGTTTTCATTTTTTTAAGTTAAGTTTGGGTTGTGTCCTTTTATTTATAGGTCCTCAAACAAAGCCTGCGGCAGGTGACCAGCCCCTGATGGAGGGGGAACTGGTGAGGCATTCATCGATTAATGAATAGCTAATGAATCAGGATGTTTAACCAATGAAATATTTAGTTTCAAAAGTATTTTCAGGTGGTTGTTTCTTTTCTTTTTTGCTGTTTTTTTGTCACTTATGGTACCTGTACTATAGTTGACTTGTAATGAGAAATTCCCATTAAAGACGTTGATTAGTTATTAAGCTGATTCAGACACCAAGACATTCCACTGAGTTTTTCTAACCTTTGCACTTGACAGACTACTGTTGGTTTAGAGCAGTTCCTCAAGATTCTCAACCTCCATAAACAGAAGAAAGGTAAGAAACAGAGCAATACAAACGATGTACAGTAACTAGAAATGCATGTCAGCTTCCCTCACTCACCTACTCACTTATCTGTAACACATATTTGGTTGAAAGGGCAGATACCTGTATACTAGCTGCTGTTTCCATTTTCTCTGCAGAGAGAATATCTTATACAAGGGACTTTTTGATTGCTTTGGCCGGCTGCCCTGACGCCAAGAAGAGGCCAGAATACCTCCCAGACCACCCCATTGTGTTACCCAAGGCAGTAAGTTGTTGATTTCAGTTTAAAGTTTGATGCTTGTTCATCGGTGGGTCACAGATTTTAGCTCTTTTTTTACGATCTTGACAGAGGGATCCAGGGCAACAAGAGCTGAGGGAAACGCAGTGGAAAGAAGTAACAGAGGACGTATGAGTAAGTAGCTTATAAAATTGTAAGGAAGAGCACAACAGCTGGGGTGGTGATCCAATACCACTTTACAAGTTTGTTAACTGAAACATGCAGAAGATTTAATACATCTTAAAAGTTTTGGATATTGGCACTGTTGCCATGGCAACTGGTGTACTTTTGTATCCAGGACCTCTTTCTCTAAAACAATAGGCATTTAATAGGCGTTCCCTCTAGGGCGCTGGTACTGCGTTGTGCATATGCATTTTTTTTTTTAAGTGGAGAGGATGGGTCTTTTCAAAATATTCCAAAAATCCTCCACTATACTTTTAATGCATTTTTAGAGCATTGCTAATTTGAATCTAATGAAGAAAAAGAGTCTAAACCAGAAAGTTGGCCAGTGTTTTATTTAAACGTTAAGCTAAAGCCCTATTTAGAATTGTGTAATGCTTTCAAAGTTAGCTAACCCTTCATGTTAACATTTACCTTACAGGCTTCAAGTTAATTAGCACTGCAGAAGATTTTTTTGTTCTTATCAACTATGGAAAAGGCGCTATTTGCTTTCATCTTTATTGGCAGAAAGATAACTGCTCTACTATCTCTTTATGATGAGCTTCATCACACTCTAGACTCTGAAAGTGCTCAGAGAATTCAAGTTATTTTCTGTCATCATAAAAAAACAAAAGCCTATTGGCATTTTTATGGATAGAAAGGATTCACCTTCTGCGTTTGGCTCAGATGCTATGTGGAACCAACTGCCAGCTTGATAATCTTCATATTGATATGCAATGCAATGATAACTAATGTTTCAAATTTGTCTTTTGTTAGGGTGGCAGAAAGGCTTTCCAAGTCTTCAGAAACTTGTTTTCCACAAATGGGATTTGCACTGTAGTTTGTTGCTTTACTTTAATTTATTTTAACCCATAACACTCTTTGAATGTGTGCTTTGCATGTTACTTTGAGCTTTGTTTTTGCTGTGTGATTTTTTTTCTCTCCATATTGTGTGTTTAAAATATGCTTTAAACAGCAAGCCAAAAGTGCCTTTTTTTTCTGACCTAATGTGTGACCCAAGTGTGACTTTTTAACTTAGTGTAAATCAAGCAGTAAATCCTGTTTATATTAATTCACTGCCTATGTCTCTGTTGGATGCATGCAAAAGATGTCATGGCAATAAACAAACCCCCCCCAAAAAAATCACCATAAATGTGCAGCAGCTTGTGTTTTTCATGTCTTGCTTTCGTAAAGAACAGAAGTGTCGGTTTTCATTATATGTGCATTTTTACCATTTTGTGTGCATGAAAGCTTTTCCTATTAGCTTTTGAAGTTTTAATGGTCTCCGATAGTTCTCTGATCATTGTTTGGTCTCTAATATTGGCTCTGGAGCAAGTCTGTTAAATCACTTATCTTTCAAGGATAGCGTTTAATGAAGGATAGCGTTTAATGAAGGATAGCGTTTAATTTTAGTTGTCATTACCAATTCTCGTCGGAATATACTGGAAACTGTGATTACAGGATGTTTATTCAGCTGTTTCCTTTTAGTGTGAGAAAAATAAACTTTTATGCTAAAAAAAATCTAGTGGTAAAAGGTTAAATTATCTTGCCTTGCTAACATACTCTCATATCTTTACATCCACTGTATCTACTGTATACTTATTATACTTTTTTCTCCATCTTAGGATTTTTGTTCAATTTCTAAATTTTTTGTTTATAAAAGTTACATTTTATTTTGAGCCTATATGATAAAGAACAAAAAACAAAAAAACAAATATGCTGCTGGTTTAAAAAGAAAAACTGAAGAAAAGTTAAAAGAGATATAAAACAGATTTGTAAATAGAGAAAGCAGCCTTATAAGATATTCAAACCCACAGAATTTTTTACAAATCGGTTTTGTCTGACATCTCCAAACTTGGCTTGCTATATTTGTTTTTCTGTGATAAACCAGCCCCCAGGATCATTCAGTTTATATTTTAGCTGCAGTTGCAGCTGAATGTCCTTTTATGAAGTCAGACGAGGGGCAAACGAACATCCCAGAAACTTCCAGTGTCATCACAAGGTTGGTGTCTGGTAGTTTTTGCCACAATAACTTTTCAGATTGAGTTTAAAGATTCCGGTTGTTTTATATGTAGAATATCTTCGGGCTATGTATGTATATATATATATATATATATATATATATATATATATATATATATATATATATATATATATATATATATATATATATATATATTTTTTTTTATATAAAGCTTGCATCACAATTATTAAATTTGACTATTTTGCTTTAATCTATGTATATTTATAATAACAAATAAATAAATTTTGTTTTACTGCTCATAACGGAATTAAATTTCACCAGTTATAGGGCAGAGGTGGGTATACACTACTTACATTAACTCAGTTACACTTACTTTGAGTAACAGCGACAAACATTTTAGTAGTTTTATTTCACTTTTACTTTAGTAATAGCTTAGTAAAATATCACTACTCTTATTGAAGTAAAATGATTGGCTATCTATGGTGAGTAACTTCATTGAATAATAAGTATGCTTTATTTTAAAAAAATTTCTCCACAGTACGACGTATATTTATGTCAACATGGGTGTTATTTTATTTGTACACAAGCTTACTTGAACCTACAATGATACATGGAGGTCAAGCTGATACACAGGGAGGAGTACATATTGTCACTGGATGTGCTGGTTTCATAAGTTTTATGTTATAAAATAAATTTGATTTAGAAAAGTTTCTTCTGCCTGGAATTGTTATCATTACTTTTTTATTGATTACTTTTTTTGCCCTTATTTTATTTCAATCTTTAAATTATCGGAATTTACAAATTACTTCACATGTTTGTCAATATGTAATTTTAAACACCAGATGTTATAACTTATTTATTCCTACTGTAGTATTTTAAGTACCTCTCCTATAAACTAGTCCCCACTATATGTTGTTGGTAGCAACATTTGTGATTAAATTCACATTTTTATCTGAAATCTCAAAGGGCTGATAATATCATCACTGGGGATTTCCATATTGCACATTTCTGGAATAAAAGGTATTGCATCACACATTTTTGTTACAGCTTTACGTGACACCAAGCCTGTACCTCCCAGCCAATAGGAAAACTAGTCTGGACGTGACGTATTCACTACGTCACGGTAGGCCGGCGTTTCTGGTTACCGCAGCGGCGTCAGATGTTCAGAGCGAAATTAATTTGTCCAAATCAGAGGAAACAGACGCGAAGCTAAACAGCTCTAAGAGATTTATTTAATTTTTGATCATTCGTGGCTTTTCATTATCAGACCAGTCTAAAGGTAAATATGGAGTTTATTGATTCTTTATCCCCGTTTGCGATGAAATGCTGTGTGTGCAGTATATCTAATCTTTTACTACAAGGGTCGGAGGGTTATATAAAAGCAACCAGTGTTTGACTATACTGATTATTATTTAGCTTATTTAAAACCATCTCTTGGTTTCTATCCATAACGTTTTTGTAAATTAGAAAGGCTGGCATATGCAGGTGTTTTTTGTTTTTGTTTTTTTCTAGGTACCTGAGGATCATGGACCAGAGGGAAGAAAAACCAAACCAACAGCACAGCAGGTGGGGAAAAAATAATAGTTATTTTATTCTGTCATATATAGCAGAAGCCCACTTTGGTTTACATCATCATTAGTTAGGAAACTGCTGGGAGTAACATGATGATGATCAATCCACACAAAGTAAGGACAGTAGTTTCCCCTCATTGAATGTTACTGGGAAAAAAAACAGTCGCTGATCAGTAAATAAACCTTTCCAGATTTGCCTCAGTGGTTTTTATCCCAGCATTTTTTATGCATTTAAATTATTACTATTGTCCAGATCTCCAACTGGTACATTGAAAGCGGCAATTTCCAACATATAAGAGCTACAGTTTTCACTTACCTGTCAGTCAAATCCAATAAATTATATCTGGCAATTAAAGTTCCTGCCTAATATTTTTCACAGTGCAAAGATAAACTGAGCCTTTGATTGCATTAGTCCCAGGTTAACCATTTTAGTGTCGAGTTGGAAAAAGAAAAAAAAAACAGATTTGCAGATTTATTTCAATAAGCAGCATAGACTATATATAGACTGCAGAAACACTCATTATTCATGTTAGACCAATATTTATTATTTTGTCAGATGTGTTGACACAAAAACTACCTAGAGTGCAAGTAAGCAGTTTATTACTGTGTTTTAAATGCATGATTTTTGGGTTAGTTACCTCCATCTGTTCCCATTTTAAATCTCACTTATTTTTCTAGTTAAAAAACAAATTAAAATAAATAAATGGTCAATTCTCTGTTGACCATTTTTGAAATGTCACTGCTTGGTACTGATTTTCAAACAGATTCAAATAAATTTTTTTCTTCCAAACTCTTAAATACCTCTGTAAAGGGATGTATATATCTTTAATTTTGAGTTTGCGTAACCAATAGACGCGCAGTGATATTGGTATAGTCTGATTGTTGGAATAAAACTGAATTTAACACTCACATTTCTACCCTCTGTCCCTCTTTTAGTCCTGTTTATGTTCACAACCCACACCTGGATACTCTGAAAGATGACATCCTCTATCACTTCAGTCTCGGGACTGGAAGCCATAACCTACCAGCCATGTTTGGTGACGTCAAAGTAAAGAATCATGTTACTTTTTTATGGAGAAAATTATGTTTTTTCACATGAATACATTTTGTGACTAAAGTAGTTTAAAACCTCAAATGAGGCTTCCTTTGCGGTAATGTTAGGTTTACACAGGCTATGCGTTGACATTTTTCCTTGATGGTTATATGACTAAAACTGCAGATTTTTTTTCCTATTTTTTTAAATCAATTTATATATTCATGTATGAAAATACGTCTTTTAGTTTGTGTGCGTTGGAGGAAGTCCCTGGCGGATGAAGTCCTTCATTGAGTTCATTGCTGCTGAGCTTGCAATTGAGGACCCTAAATCCGAGTATCCCAACATCTGCGCTGGAACTGATCGTTACGCCATGTACAAAGTCGGGCCTGTGCTCTCTGTCAGCGTGAGTTTAGCTGGTCTACTGTAAGGCTTCAAGCGCTTGTCTCATTGATTTGTTTTAATGTTTTACTAACTTTACTGTGATATGTTTGTGCTTGACTTTCACAGCATGGGATGGGCATTCCATCCATTGCAATAATGCTGCATGAACTCATAAAGCTACTTCATCATGCACATTGCACAGATGTTACAATCATACGTATAGGAACGTCAGGAGGAATAGGTACAGCTATTTATTTATATATTATAGAATTTATGTGAATGTGTGTGTAATAAGATTCAGCTTTGAGTAAAATCAGGAGGTGGGAATTTATTTTATATGATAAGCAATGCAACTGAGTAGAAAGTGCAGCTGGTGGGAGTGGCTTTTTTGAAATAACATGTCAGTTAGTGATAAGAAAAGCAGGAAAGCAGCAAAAAAAAACTAGAGAAAGTGAAAGAATATTTAAATTTTGAAACCTTAATTCTGCCTCTTACATCTTTAGTATAATCTGATTGTATTCAGAGCTGGCAGTGGTATATAACTTGCATGATAATTTAAAATACTAAAGTGAAAATGACCTCATTTGACAGCAGAAATTTTGCTTTATGGGTTTAATAAGTATTTAAAAGAGGAGATCTTAGTCCTGTCTTGACAAAGATCAGCATTTTGTAAAGGGGAAGTTAGGATAAGCTGGACTTTAGTGCAGTTTCAGGTTTTAATGTCTGCTTAAGAATTTACATTTTGTATTTTAGCAGATAGAGGAGCATGGACTGTTGAACACAGCTGTTTTTAGTTTTTTCAAATGAATGTAGTAGGTATTACTTGTTCAGTTTTATTTTTTTTTAAACAAACTCCATAGTGTAAAGCTAGACATTCTAAAGAAGCAATCTTCTTTGTTGAATGTTTACTGGAATAAACCTAAATTTGAAAATCCTAAAAAATACATTACATAATTTAAACCATTTGGATGTAAAACGTCAGCATTGTATTATTAGACAAAATGTTCTTTAATTCCAGATTAATTTGATTTGAATTTTTTTTTAAACTTATTGCTCTTCAGGACTTGAGCCTGGTACGGTTGTCGTTACCAAGCAGTCTGTGGATGCCACCTTCCTGCCTAAGTTTGAGCAGGTGATCCTGGGAAAGACAGTGGTACGCAGTACGGATCTGGATCAAAGTCTGGCCCAGGAGCTGCTGCAGTGCAGCAAAGAGCTCAACCAGTTTGAGACGGTCATCGGTAACACCATGTGCACACTGGATTTTTATGAAGGTATGCACTCTACTGTGTTTAATATACTGTTTTTCCTGCTGTAAACTTACAGTATGTAAGAGTCTTTTATATCTATTACCTATAATCCAAAGGTCAAGCCCGCCTGGATGGTGCTTTCTGCTCCTACACTGAGGCTGATAAACAGGAGTACCTCAATAAAGCTAAAGAAGCAGGAGTCTGCAACATTGAGATGGAATCATCCGTTTTTGCTGCTATGTGCAAACTAAGTGGTCTGCGAGGTATTAAAACATTATCCTGTCATCAGACCATAAAGGTATAGTGGAGGATTTCCGCAAATTTTTTAAAAGACCTCTCCAATTTGAAAAAAAAAATGCACCTGCACAACCCTGTACCTGCTCCCGAGAGGGAACGCCTATGAAACGCATGCCATTTCTCCTCATGCACGCTCTGTTTAAAAGTTGCTGTTTGCATCGCTCATGCAAGCTTACTTTCCAAAAGAAGATTTGCAATTTTTACACTTTGTCAGACTCAACACAGTAATTGAAAATGGGGACGAGCACATACATAAACATATCAACAGAATGATTGACAATGAGGAGCACCACTTATTTTGATGATCCACCCTAAAAAAGAAGATCCTCCACTACACCTTTAACTGAGAAATGTTAGATCGGCTCATAACATTTTTTATCATCAGTTCTCTTGGTTTACTAACGTTCTCATGTTGTGTTTTGAAGCGGCCGTTGTCTGTGTTACTCTGTTGGATCGACTGAAGGGGGATCAGCTGAGCAGCTCTCATGAACTTCTTCAAAACTACCAGCTTCGTCCTCAGATGCTGGTCGGCTCCTACATTAAGAAGCAGATGAAAGCCAAAGCAGAGCACAGCTGAATGCAGGCGTTACACTGTGAGAGTATTTGTACAGATTATCCTACAAATTATACATGTTTGAGCACTGAAAAGACTGTGAAGTCGCTTTAAGCAGCTGATCTTTACTCCAAACACCTAATGGGTGTTTGGTGGATGTCTTCACATTTTAAATTTTGACTTAATTTAATTCATTGATAACGGTTTGGTTGATTTAAGCATAAGCATGCGCTGTTTCACTTTTTATCCTTTTGCTTGGTTTAAAATATAATTTAACTGAGCACTAAAGCCATTGATATGCAGATTTCTTTTAGAAATATTTGATTCAAGGCACTTTTATATATTTAAGTTCCCGATCCTTAAAACTTGAACTTCACCTGTGCTTTAACAGAAATTTTGCTGACAGTTTTGTGTCAAAGGGATGGTACAAATATCAGGTGTTTTTTCTATATTATTTTACTGTTGATTTTATCGGAACCCAATTATTGTGAATCGAATCCAGACTTTATTGTGCATGTCTGCTTATGTCCTGTTAAAAAACATGTGCACTGATGTTAGTTTTTATCAACCTAAAATAGCAAATATCGGTGCTAGAAACTTTATACAATATATACATTTCTATATATTTACCAAAGTAATTGTCTATACAGCATAGCAGTATTTGTATTTTGCTTAATATTGTATAATTTCACATGATACACCAAATGCAGTGTGGAACAATTCGTTCGTAATTGTCTGGGAAATTGTTTGTGGCCAAAACAAATAAAGCCATTTGCAGATGATGGAAATTTTCTAAGTTCAGCATTTCTCCTCTATGTCATTGAAAAAGGTGTTTCTTTCAATAACATGTTCCTGTTTGCAAAATTTGCTGCCTGTATTTAAACTATGTAGCTTTGTGTTTTTATTTGTTGTTGTTTCTCGCCCAGGACTTAATCTCAATGGGATCATCCTGCTTAAAAAATTAACATCTTATTCTCTCATGGAATGTCAAAATTTTGGATCGGTTTTACACCAATCACCTCCAGTGACAATACAAACCAAATGTTATGTCTAACAGTATAGTTTATCCATTGCTGTGGAACATATCCTTTCAGTTTGAAAATGCTCAATCCTCAGTAAGTGTATTAGGCGTTTAGATTGTCTTGGAAAAGTCTTAAAATGACCAACCTACAACTTTGAAAGGTTTTAATATGTAATTTATCAATTAAAAGGCAATGATTATGATTATTATTATTATGATAATGGTTTTACAAATCAGAAAACTGATGGGTCCATGCATGCTTTGTCTACTTTACCCTGATTACCCAAACTTTGGCTTAGAACTCTAAGAGCTTCTAAGCCAAGCATGTGAAAATGAAGAATTTGTTATAACCTTCTAAAAACATGAATTTCTACCAAAAAATACAATCCAAGCAATGAGGGCTGTTATTTAAAACACAGCCAGTGTAACCTAAAGCACCCATCATCATTTTGGAAGAGGAACTGATTTCCGGCTGGGTGGGAGGAGCTGTGCACAGGACAGGTAAGAAGAAAGTGAGAAGCTTGCAGTTTGCTGCAATTCATGTAGGAACCAACACGAGGAAGAAGATGCTCTAGTTAAATAAAACCGGAATTAAACCTTATGGTTCGCATCCAACACCAGCAATCTCCCATTGCACTTCACCTTCAACACAACATCTCCACCTTAAAGCAATGGGGGGGGGGGGGGGGGGGGGTAGTTAGAGGCGTTGACAGAATTTTTTTTAAGGGTGGCCATTCAATAACCAATGTACAGGTGCTGGTCATAAAATTAGAATATCATGAAAAAGTAGATTGATTTCAGTAATTCCATTTAAAAAGTGAAACTTGTATATTATATTCATACATTACATACAAACTCATATATTTCAGATGTTTATTTTGTTTAATTTTGATGATTACAAATGACAACAAATGAAAATCTCAAATTCATCATATCAGAAAATTAGAATATTACTGAAGACCAATAAAAACAAAGGATTTATAGAAATGTTGGCCAACTGAAAAGTATGAACATGAAAAGTATGAGCATGTACAGCACTCAGTATTTAGTTGGGCCTCCTTTGGCCTGTATTACTGCAGCAATGCGGCGTGGCATGGAGTCGATCAGTCTGTGGCACTGCTCAGGTGTTATGATAGCCCAGGTTGCTCTAATAGTGGCTCTTCTGAATTGTTGGGTCTGGTGTATTGCATCTTCTTCTTCACAATACCCCATAGATTTTCTATGGGGTTAAGGTCAGGAGAGTTTGCTGGCCAATTAAGAACAGGGATACCATGGTCCTTCAACCAGGTACTGGTAGCTTTGGCACTGTGTGCAGGTGCCAAGTCCTGTTGGAAAATGAAATCTGCATCTCCAAAAAGTTGGTCAGCTGCAGGAAGCATGAAGTGCTCTAAAACTTCCTGGTATGTGGCTGCGTTGACCCTGGACCTCAGAAAACACAATGGACCAACACCAGCAGATGACATGGCACCCCAAACCATCACTGACTGTGGAAACTTTACACTGGACTTCAAGCAACGTGGATGAAGTGCCTCTCTTCTTTTCCTCCAGACTCTGGGACCTTGATTTCCAAAGGAAATGCAAAATTTACTTTCATCAGAGAACATGACTTTGGACCACTCACCAGCAGTCCAGTCCTGTTTCTCTTTAGCCCAGGCAAGACGCTTCTGACGCTGTCTGTGGTTCAAGAGTGGCTTGACACAAGGAATGCGACAGCAGAAACCCATGTCTTTCATACGTCTGTGTGTGGTGGTTCTTGAAGCACTCACTCCAGCTGCAGTCCACTCTTTGTGAATCTCCCCCACATTTTTGAAGGGGTTTTGTTTCACAATCCTCTCCAGGGTGCGGTTATCTCTCTTGCTTGTACACTTTTTTCGACCACATCTTTTCCTTCCCTTCGCCTCTCTATTAATGTGCTTGGACACTGAGCTCTGTGAACAGCCAGCCTCTTTAGCGATGACCTTTTGTGTCTTGCCCTCCTTGTGCAAGGTGTCGATGGTCGTCTTTTGGACAACTGTCAAGTCAGCAGTCTTCCCCATGATTGTGTAGCCTATAGAACTAGACTGAAAGACCATTTAAAGGCTTTTGCAGGTGGTTTGAGTTAATTAGCTGATTAGAGTGTGGCACCAGGGGCCATCAATTTTGAACCTTTTCACAATATTCTAATTTTCTGATATGATGAATTTGAGATTTTCATTTGTTGTCATTTGTAATCATCAAAATTAAACAAAATAAACATCTGAAATATATGAGTTTGTATGTAATGTATGAATATAATATACAAGTTTCACTTTTTAAATGGAATTACTGAAATCAATCTACTTTTTCATGATATTCTAATTTTATGACCAGCACCTGTACATTGAGGGGTGACAAACTGGAGACAAACTATCCTTTCCTACAGCCTTTGCTAACAAATAGACGCATATATATAGTAGATACAATTCTTTTAGGTTTAAGTTCTGGGGCAAACATCTTTTCCATTGCCATTACTTATTTTAATCAATAATCATTCGGCAAAAAAATTATATTTACAAGTGAAAATATCCACAAAAATTCATTGTTTAATACGTTTTTATTAAAATAGTTATCTATGATTTCACTGAAGACTGTCAGGAACCGAGGACAGAGGGACCCAGTATTCAAGGAGAGACAGTCAGACACAGTCCAGTCCTAGAATGTCCCCAAGTGCTGCAGTTCCAGATGACATGCTGGAAGCTGATCCTGGTCAGGGATCCAGAACAGACAGGGACAGGATCCAGATCAGGCAGGAACAGAAACAGGTGGCAGGATCCAGACTTCCAGGCGTCCACAGGCTCCCAGGAGGGTTCAGAGTCTGACTGGGACCAGAAGCATGACCAGGTGGTCACGCACAGGAGCAGACAGGATCAGGTGCAGACAGGCAGGCTCAGTGGAAGAGGGTAGCCGAGACAGGACGAAGAACCTGAACTTGATGCAGGACTTTAAACTGGTCTCCTCCCTGGAGCCAGGCTTACTGAATAAAAACTGAACCTCCCCACATATTGAGCCAAAAACCCAGAGGACTCCGCGGGGGAGGAACAGTGGACGATCAGGAGACGAGACAAACACAAAAACCCTCTTTCCACTGGCTGCTAGGATCCAGGACATGAACCATGAAATCAAAAACTGAACGGACTAACAAAAAGACAAGTAATGATCTGGCACTGAATGCTCAGGCTGAACTGAATATAAAGCAGAGGAAACAGGTGAGAGGAATAAATAATAATTGAGGCAGGGAGGGAAAACGACAGGTGAAAGGAATGACTAATTAGGGAGGAGCAAACAGGCCAGATCATGACAAAGACTCCTTGATGACTTACAGAGACACATGATTTTCTCTTTACCCCATATAACACAAAGTCTAGTTCTGAAAAGAGCATGAATTATGTACTTATGTACTTTAATTTCAGTATATTTATGTGCATAATTAACCACATCATCTTTGTTGTCAAGTAAATATTAATATATGAAAAATTAAAATGGTTTGAATAATCCACTTGAGAGTACTACTGTTGCCACTGTCTGCATTAGAGGGAAGAAGTGGTAGGGGTGGCCAATGATTGGCTTAGGGTGGCCATGGCCACCCCTGGCCCCCCAATTAGCTCTGCCCCTGGTGGCAGCTTCATGCTGTGGGTATGCTTTCCTCAGGACGAATGTTTTCATATTTTGTATTTGTTTGAACAGAATTACGTTTCATGTTATTTTCCCTTTATGGTTATGTATTTTTTTTTTCACAAAAAAAAAAAAAAAACTACATTAAAGGTTGCAGCAAAACAAAAAAATTATTTAAAAACTCTGGATACCATGTTCCAGACATTTAATTAATTTCAAATGTGGATGTAGTTTTAAATTGAACTGAATGAATCCTGCAGTGATTCCTGCTCCTGTGAGGGCTGCAGCTTCTATTGGTGGATGCTGGTTGCGCGTCATGGCTCAAGAGGGAGGCTCTGCATGCGCGCTCCCGTTCGCGCTCCTCTTGCTGTCTGCTCCCCAGGTCCAAACCCGGTCTGTTCGCTGACTCAGTGCCTTAAGCAGCATCACGGCTCATCGGAACAGAGCTTCAGCATCCTCTGCGGAGAAATAGATCAGCCATGGCTAAAACTGTAACCGGTAAGAGTGATGAACCTGCTCTGAAAAGACGCAGAAGGTTATATGGATGAGATAATGGATGGATGGGTGGGTGGATGGATGGATGAGGTGCATCCTTTCTATACCAGTAATGTGTAGTTCCCAGCTGGCGTTATGTTTTGACCTAAAAAGAAAAGATTAAATACTGAAACAGAAGCTCTAATTTAATTCTTTTATCTATTGTCTCGGTTAAAGGTAAAAATAGGCTCACCTACAGGGCCAGGAGCCTATTATGTTCCTGAAACCTTTACCTATTTTATTATTATATTATAGTTGTTTTTATTTCATATTCTGTAACAAACATTTGAAACAATCCGAACCTGGATCGGCTTTATTCGGAGCCCAGAACCTGCGCTGCTTGATGGCACAGCGGCCCCCAACATGCAGCATAATGCAGACGGACCCCACCCAAGATGCTCTCAGCAAAAACAGACATCCTTACCCAGCACTGCCTCCTGCGTGTCTTTTATTAAGAGTATACATCCAATTGTTTTATTTTGAATTATATTTTGTATTAATGTTTTCGTATTATTATTATTCTGCCTTCTTTATTCTTTAGCTTCTCTTGTTTCCTCCAGCTCCATGTTGGATCTCCAGCTGTGTGTTGCAATTGGGCTTTTGAGTTGAAATATGTAAACTAATATAGGCCTAGCTATTTTAAAGTGTGCATGCATTTTCTCCCTTCACCCCTTACCATCCTGGAGGCCCAGCTATTT